TAATGCAGTTGCGTTTACTCTGCGTACATATTGAAATCAGTTCTCTCTGGGCGGAATTTGTAAACAAGAATGGGTGCATCAGTGTTTGTTTAGTATCCATGGAGGATAAACGCATTTAATTTTGATAATTCACATAATAATTTCCTATGACCAGAATATTTCATTGATTTTATATGTGAAAGATGGATCATATGTCAGGCTGTGACATCCGTCTTGTGTTTACATTACCGCCCAGAGACAGTACACTGCAGTACAAAAGTGTGCAACTCTGAAATAACTTTCCTTGCATTATAACCTTGGTTAAACGGATCATAAAATCGGTTCCATGCTTTCTCAACCCCTATCGTGGACACTTCATCTCAGTTAAGTTTGTTATCTCAACATTTACCCCTCTCGTTAAAATAGCATTCAAGACAATCAAATGTATTCTAAAAAAAGTAGTTCTCTTCATAGAAACGAAATATATTTCCTTTTTTAAGCATTACCTTTTTCACTTAAAAGGACGGTTAAAAGACGTAATAAGGAGCCCAATAAATTTGATTTTACGAACAAAACATTCAAATTTGTTGCTTGTCCATTTTGTTGTGAGTTCTTAGTATTCTGTGACTAAGTTGTAATTTTACAGATAATTTGTTTCTGCTTAAACTTTATTTAGCACTTTTGTTAAAATGATCTAAAAAAGGAAACACGTGAAATATTACTTACTTAATTGTATGAAATCGTCCAATTATTAGATATTTTTCGACATGTCTGAAATGAAAAGATGAATTTTTGTGATTTTTCTCATAAAATTGATTTTTTAGTTTTGCAGTGAATTTACTCTATTATGAAAATATTTTCATAAGATAATGCGTTTTTTTAATTTGATAACATATTCATAAAATATATTTACGTCTGTTTTACACCAAACACGTTATGTTTTTTTATGTGTTTTGTACATGTATTCATTGCATAACATAAAGCATAACATAACATAAAGCAACGAGTTTAATCAATAGAGATATACAACAAAATTTTATTGTGTAAAATTTCACTAAACTTGCATTAAAAAACACAAGGCATCATCTATAATACACAATGTGGATAATCTAAAGAATTTGTAGGCTTTCTAAATTACCCCTCCTCTGTCCCTCTAAGAAAACAAAAATGACATTTGAAATATCATTCCCATTTGTATGATAAGAGTTCTGTAGAGATCAGAATATGCATCTTAAAGGGACTGTAAACGCAATTTTAAGTGGCCCTCCCAGCAAAGATGGCAATGCCTGATTCACAACAGTACTCTTAAAAGCTTTGTCTGATTAGGTATGAATTCAAAATCAATAATCATTTTCATATATTTTCTCTACAAAATTTACTAGCATATTTTTATTGCAAGAAAACATAATGGAATTATTTGAATTAAACACTAAAAAACGACAATATCCATAAAATAAAACATTCATATATATGTTCCCCTATAACCGGCCAAACGGCTGGACCGAATGGGCTGACATTTTTTGTGGACTCTAATGGGTAACTTTAAATTACGCTAACATTTCCTTTAAATCATAAAAGGGGTAACCTGAAATTACGCTAACAGTTCCTTTAAATCATGAAAGGGGTAACTTGAAATTACGCTAACAGTTCCTTTAAATCATGAAAGAGGTAACTTGAAATTACGCTAACAGTTCCTTTAAATCATGAAAGGGGTAACTTGAAATTACGCTAACAGTTCCTAAAAATCATGTAAGGGGTAACTTGAATTTACGCTAACAGTCCCTTTAAATCTCAAATGAACATTTACTGCCTGGGCTAGAAGGCAGAAGGCTAGAAGGGCTAAAGTAAGATTTATTTTATTACCCAATCATTCTGTTTTCAAGGATTGACAAAAGCTGAACTTATGACTGTTGTTCAATTATTAAAGTTAAAAATACATTTCAATAGACTATACATTTATTAAGGCAAAATATATAAAACAAACTGATGTTTGCACAATAATTCATGAATTATAATATTTTTTTTTTGATTGTAGCAACTTTCAAATGTGAAAATCTATGTCAAATGAAGATATTGCAATGTTAAGATATTTATTTGCGATCTAGTGCATAATAAACTAATTTGTAGAACATTTATATCGATTAATTCTTCCTCTTTATAGTTTGTTTAAAAGATAAAAAATAAACTATCCACAGCTAGAAGCAGTTGGAAACTTTTGAACGAATTACATGAACTGATTCAAATTCGTTTCGGTCAGTAAATCTTCACAATTACAAATCTAATCATTTTAATTCTAAATAAAAAAAAATCCTACGGCTCAGACATTTTTATCTTTAGATTTAGACCCAATAATCTTTCTGGTTATCTCGGTGAGTAATGGGCATAATGTATTTATGTGATTAAATCCAAGATAAGATGTTTTTTTTTATAATAATAATCAATATTTTTAATCCTGCTTTTTAGCCCCGAGCTGGATTTTTAATTGCATAGCTTAACTCTATACAAACACTTAACTCATAGACTAATTAAAATAACAGATAGGACACTAGATGTCGCCTTTTCTTATCGGCGTAGAACAGGCTCACTCTGCCTTGTAATTCTACGCCGACTGCGCGAAACTCATCTGGGCTTCCACCGTAGGGTTATGAGTTTCATCCAAATCTTGAAAAGACATCTAGTGTCCTATCTTTCATTATATTTAATCTATGACTTAACTAAACTTAAATTGAACTATGTAACTGATTAATTACCTCAGACTCTTAATTTACAGGGTTACTCACAGATGATGAGACTTTGATGACGACCTGAAACTTTTGAAATCTGACATTCTAAATGTTTATCTTTTGAATTCTGACATTTTAAATGTTTATCTTTTGAAATCTGACATTCTAAATGTTTATCTTTTGAAATCTGACATTCTAAATGTTTATCTTTTGAAATCTGACATTCTAAATGTTTATCTTTTGAAATCTGACCTTCTAAATGTTTATCTTTTGAAATCTGACATTCTAAATGTTTATCTTTTGAAATCTGACATTCTAAATGTTTATCTTTTGAAATCTGACATTCTAAATGTTTATCTTTTGAAATCTGACATTCTAAACGTTTATCCTTTGAAATCTGACATTCTAAATGTTTATCTTTTGAAATCTGACATTCTAAATGTTTATCTTTTGAATTCTGACATTCTAAATAGTAAATGTTTATCTTTTGAAATCTGACATTCTAGATGTTTATCTTTTGAATTCTGACATTCTAAATGTTTATCTTTTGAAATCTGACATTCTAAATGTTTATCTTTTGAAATCTGACATTCTAAATGTTTATCTTTTGAATTCTGACATTCTAAATGTTTATCTTTTGAAATCTGACATTCTAAATGTTTATCTTTTGAATTCTGACATTCTAAATGTTTATCTTTTGAAATCTGACATTCTAAATGTTTGAGCCGCGGCTTAAATTTAAACGCGGCCCAAAGTCTTTAAATTCGGCGTCTGATGTCTTTGCTAATAGATTATGTAAACCTCTAATATTTTAAACTTTTTTAAATTTAGTTACAAGAGTTCATAGTTATTATTATTATCAAAGGTCTCTCACACCAGGTTGCAAAGATGGAAGGATTTTTGAATTTTAATTTGAGACGAGTCATCATTTTCCTTGAAAAGATAAAGACTGTTCAAAAATTGTTTTGAGTGGCCGAGGTTAAAAATATATGGATTGACCTTTCATCGTTAGAATACCATACTTTTACCACTGTTTTGGTTAAGATTAAAATCTCTGGGATTTGACATTTTCCCTTCAAAGGAAATGACAAGATGTACTATAACAATTCAAATGACACAGTTTTTTGGCAAATTTTGTAAATTTTATGCTTTCATATTCTCTCTTTTTTTCCTGAAGCATCGCATAACATCAAAGCAAATGTTAGTGGTAAGAGTAAATAAAAAGTTGGGGAAATATACGACAAGCGTGTTAAAGCTAGAAATAACTCTCCTTGACTCGTTGAAACATTATAATATTGTTCTCACTACTATCTCGCTATCTCTCTATCTCTCTAGCTAGACAAATTCTAGATATTTAACATGAAAAACAACAGGCCTAAAATACAAAGATTAAATCTCTGCATTTGAAGTTGGAACGTCAAAACTAACGAACAAGTGGATCAAATTAGAAATTTAACACGCGCTTAATTAACCATAAGCAGGCTGGGGGGGGAGTTTGGCGCCCCCCCTCTAGTTTATTTGCTCTAGCACTCTTATTTTGATAATATTTTTTTTTTTTATGCATAGGGTAGGATACACGGCAATAAAAAGTCCAGTTTGTGTATACAAAATCTAAAATAGCCCATAACTTTTGTGTGACTAAAGCTTAAGATCTAAAAACTACAGTTTTGAAACGCCCTTGAAAAATGGATGTAGAAACATGTGTCACCCTTTTTTTACCTTTTTTTTGACATTTTGTTCAACCCTCCCTAGCACCCAAACTATAAAAGTTATCTATTTTTTTTGCAATGAGCTTGTCTTGAATAATCGGGCTATAAACATGCATTTCAACCCTAGACCAATTCGATCTCTAAGGCCTTTTTTAGGGGTGGGGTCGTCTATACATAGATTCAGACCCCCCCAGCCTTTATAGGGTTAAGGAAGGGCTAAATACGTTTATATATATATATATTAATGGAATTCGTCCAATTAAAAGTTCAAAACTTAAATATATTTTCTAAAAGTTCAATAAATAAGAATATTTTACATTTTACAAGTTAGAAAAACAGAAAAATACATATATATTTGGTTTGAACCAAAGAAATCAAAATATTTACGTAAATTATAAATTGATATGATTTTTGAAAGAGATATAATATTATTTAGAAAATAAGAAAAGATCCCCATCTTACATTCACTTTATTAGTTTGAACTCCTAAATTTATCTTACCAATGATTTTATTTTAATTATTTTTTTTTAACAAATGTATTTAATTTTAGCACAATATTCAGATCTGACTAAACCTTTTTTTCAGAAGAATGATTCACAAATGACAATACTTATCCGGTAAGATTTAGTAAACTGTGAATTCAGTTTTTTTTAGTATTTTTTGCCTTTATATTAAATTGTTGAAAATTAAAAAAAAATCTAAAGTTCTCTTTATAAAGAACAAATTAAAAAGATGAAACTAGACAACAGTGGAATTTTTGTGGTCTTACGTTTTTCTTTTAATTATGAAAAGGATTTGTAAAACTGTGCTCTGTTGTTTGGATGTTGTTAATCTTGACCTCGATATCCAATGTGGATATTGAAGAGGAATTAAGTTAATCTGTAGAATTGTATAAGATGGAGATCAATGATTGATCCTGAGATTTACAACAATAAAGATCTGACTTCTGAACCACGCACCTCTGACCCTCTAGTAAAAGTATATTCAACTTTAAGTCTCACCCAGTCAACCTTGTTGCACCGGCTAGTCCTATTGAGTGTTTTGCTTTACTTAGCCAATGTCTCCGGGCGATACAGTACAAACTGGGACCGGAAAGGCTGACCCGGCTCGTAAATTCAAATGTACTACGGCTGCCCGTGGAACAATTTTAAAACTATATTATTTAAAACAATTACTAATACAAATTACAAATCCTTAGCAACATTAATTAAGTGAAAGAATGCTCGAAAACGACGTTTATTCCAAAATTTTCTGGTTCCTCCGTAGATTTCGTGGCAAAAGATACATCTAAATGAAGCAGTAAATATTTCGTCTTATTTAATGTTTTAGTGTTTAAATGCAGTTATTTTTGCAAGCATGACAATCTAAACAAGACAGTTCATGATTCTAATCAAGTTAGATTACATGCATTGCAAAATACAGCTTATGACAAACAGATTTTTTTAGTTTCTTGATTCTCGTGTTCTTTCCAATCCTGATAGAAGCTGCAGCTAGTATAGTAAGTATATACAGGGGGATCCACACAGAATCAGACTTTATATGAAGACTTTAAAGTCTTTAAATATGACGATCTTAAGTTTGAATTTGCTCCCATGCCAGTATTCAATGGTATACATTTTGCTGATTTTGTGAAGAATTAAACAAATGTACACAGCAAGAAACCATAAATGTTTGTAAAAAACTTGATTTTCTTAAAGTCGTCTTAAAATCTCATTCATTTTTGGCTAACCCTGCACCTTTATTATTATCGTTCAAGGGATTATCATCGTAATTTTAGTTGATCAAGTAACATATTTGATTCAAAACGTTACCCTGTAGCTCTTTCTGATCAACAATGAGGAAGATATTATCAACAAATATGATTTTTTTGAAAACAATTTTTTTCATCATTATTTATCATAAATACTATTATAGGAATACTATTATATCTTTGAATTTATTCTAACATGAACGTGTCGCTAGTAATTGTTTTTAAAATTGTGACTGCTAGTTTTCCGTCTTAAAAAAAAATATTTGTTCAGTTATCAACTGATTGGAATGGAGAACTTGGTTGCGAAGGATCTCTCCAGGTTCTCCTGGATACTGGGAGCAGGATCATTTACTCAGGATCCAGATCCAGGTACTAGAAATCTCTGTGGGACCCAGGAATACTGTTATAGATTAGGTAGACGACTGTTATGAAATTAGTCCAAAGAATATGGAACACAGAAAATGTGGCGTACACTCAGACCAATTTCACATCAAGAATTGATTTTCAAGTTACTGTAAAACAATTTGCTTTATAAAAAAAATATACGTTTTGCTTTTTTATTGTTTCATGGGTTTCAATGCAAACTTAATCTGTTTACATTTATTTGACTGCGTTTTATTGAACTTTTACATTGGATTAAACTGCAGAAATTTTTATTATCAATTAAGTTTTTTTTCTTCATTTTTTTGAAAAGCGAAAAATTGCAACAAAAAATAAATAAATGTCGAACTGTGTGATATACTACCCGTGATCTAATGCAATAATTTTTTTAATTCTAGAAAAATAGAATTTTCTGTATTCAAATAAATTGTATTTGCAAAACTGTTTCATGTTTAGATATTTATTCAAAAATATACAGTTCGATTACACTATTAGATTTTAAATTTGATTGGTTTGATTGATTAATTGATTATGTGGATATAATTTCAAGTGAGCCTTCATTTACAGATTTGAACGCGGCACCCTTTTAAGTTTTAACCTCTATCTCAGTAACCTTGAGGAAAATAACGTAATTTTCTATCTTAAAAGTGTTTTATTCTGAAAGTTGTTTTAATCTCTCTGAAGTAAAAATCCGCAAGTCATTTTTATAGAGAAAAATTCAAGTTAAAATATAAAATGTTCAAGGATCATCCTGATCAGACAACGCTGGGTAACGCTGTGAATCGGACATGCAACTCAAGAAATGAAGGGTCACTTGATATTGCTTTAAAATACTATTCAGACTAGCTGATGATGTGAAAAGTGTAGAATATACTGTATACTGTTCAGACTAGATGATGATGTGAAAAGTGTAGGAAAAGTTGGAACATGTTGTTGGAAACTCTACAGGCTAACATACTTTAATGGACGATATAAAACCGTTGAGTAAGTACAAAGCTCTTTTTTCTAGTTTATATTTCTGGTTTATATATTTTGTTTATAGTTCGATCTGTACACCTCTTCAATCCGTTTAATACATTCGTTTATCTCATATAATTTATACATCCTATCCATCTAAATTTTATTTATCACCTTAATCACTAATCAGTTCAATCTAATTTAATCTTTGCAATTGATAATATTTGTTAAATTTTTACAACTAAACAAATAAGCTAAAGATTGATATAACATTAGTTGAAATATTTATTTCGATCATATCTCACGGCGTATATCAATCATCAAATCATCACACGTCATTGATATGATAAATTGATATAAAAAGGAATTTTTTATCATTTTGTTCATTTATTTGTTTCATCTTTTTGAATCTGCATGACAGAAGTAATCTCAAGAACTGACGAGGGTCAACCCAGACCGAAATATATTTTTAATAAAATGTGGAACTAACATCTACTTTTTTCACTTTACAGAGGTTTGGTCAATCACCATCACCAAATTTTAAATCTACTAGATTTCTTTATATATTTATATAGAAAATGAGTAGAAGAATTTAACGATTCTATACAACTTCAATAAACCAAAGTACAGTTGACAAAATAGAGATAATTAGCTGTAAATGCATTTTATTTCCTATAAAAATAATATTATATTTGCCATCTACTTTTTTCACCCTACAGAGGTTTGGTCCATGCACCATCACAAAATTTAAATTGGTCACTTTGTCATAACCAATCATATATCCAATCAGATTGAGCGACCTCTAATTTTATCCTTTTAGTCAATTAAGTTTACCAATTCGTCCAAGTTCATCTCAGTAATTAAATTTCATCCAATTTATCCATTTTTGATTTAGAAAACGAACTATTTATCTGATTTAGACCAAAATGCATCCAATATATAATTAGAGTAGAGATTTCTTCATTCAATTTGATTATCTATCCAATGAGCTAAAATTGTATTATTTGAATTAAAAAGATTGAAATATAAATCAAAAATATGAATGAATATTTTTCATGAGGTTTGAACGTTAGAAAATTGATATTTTAATCCTGAAGATAGCATGTGCTGAAATATGGAAGCCCCCCTCCGTTCATACTCTAGGCAGGCCAACTTCGACCCGTCCCGTCCTACCCCACCACCTCCCTACAGTCAGCCCTCCTCAAAAGAATAGGGGGGAAAATGGGGAAGGCGATACATACATTATTTAGGACGAGAGGTTGGGGGGAGGGGGGTTTTGGAAATGGTCTTTTTATGAATTTTGGGAGGAGAGAGGGTGAAATTTTAGTTTTTTCTTCTACTGAAAAATTAGGATGAGTTCTCCTGAATGTAGTTAGAACTAGGATGAGTTCTCCTAGATATAATTAGAACTAGGATGGGTTCTCCTGGATATAATTAGAACTATTGGATGAGTTCTCCTGGATATAGATAGAACCAGGATGTGTTCTCCTGCATATAGTTAGAACTAGGATGAGTTCTCCTGGATATAGTAAGTAACAGGATGGGTTCTCCTGGATATACTTTAAACTAGGATGAGTTCTCCGGGGTATAGTTAGAACTAGGATGAGTTATCCTGGATTTAGTTAGAACTAGGATGTGATCTCTTGGATATAGTTAGAACTAGGATGAGTTCTCCTGGATATAGTTAAAACTAGGATGAGTTCTCATGGATATAGTTAGAACTAGGATGAGTTCTCCTGGATATAGTTAGATCTAGGATGTGTTCTCCTGTATATAGTTAGAACTAGGATGTGTTCTCCTGGATATAGTTAGAACTGGGAAGATTTCTCCTGGATATAGTTAGCTCTAGGATGTGTTCTCCTGGATGTAGTTAGAACTAGGATGAGTTCTCTTGGACATAGTTAGAACAAGGATGAGTTCTCCTGGATATTGTAAGAAATAGGATGGGTTCTCCTGGATATAGTTAGAACTAGGATGAGTTATCCTGGATGTAGTTAGAACTAGGATGTGTTCTCTTGGATATAGTTAGAACTTGGATGAGTTCTCCTGGATATAACTAGAACTAGGCTGAGTTCTCCTGGATATAGTTAGAACTAGGATGAATTCTCCTGGATATAGTTAGATCTAGGATTTTATCTTCTGAAGTAGAATTCTTCTTTTACCAAAGCGAAATTTAATACAATTTTTGACATATTTTGGAAACTATCTTTTGATTGACTGAGATCTAAGAACCTCCCCCCCCCTCTACTTCAGGTTTTGGAATATTTTTGCTGGGAAAAAGCTTTTTCACATTATCAATATGAAAACATTTTTAAAGTCAACACCCATTTAAAACTAGAACATGAAAACTGTAATAAAAACTTTCATCATAAAGTCCAGCAGACATATAGTTTTCATCCTTTTTTATATGAGGGCAATCTTTTTTTTGAGCGGCCTTTACTGTATCAGTCATTGCATTGTGAATATACATTTTTGGAAATGCCAGGACTAAAGGATTTATTGTCTCAAGGATTAAAAATGTAAAAGTAGTGCTCGATAACTGAATGCATCAAATTATTTCAAAGATCATAGTCATCTTTAAACGGTTATGTTTCGTGGACACCCTAAACTCAAAACATGAAACTTGTATTCAGGTGGATCGTCCCTGTTAATTTGGGATCAATATCTAGCTTGTTGATAGCTAGGCTGAAACCAAGTTTTGATAACCGTCCCCACCATTTGGGATCTTTATATAGCTTGTTGATAGCTAGGCTTGTGATCTTGTGCGGCATTTAGAGCAGATCGTCCCCATCATTTGGTATTTATATAGAGCCTGTTGGATAGCTAGGCTTGTGTCACTGTGTGGCATTTAGAGCCAGGTGGGCTGTGTCCTGGTTGTACTAATATTTTGTTGGATAGCTACGCTTGTTTCCCTGTGTGGCATTTAGAGCTAGGTGGGTTGTGTCCTGTTTGACCCTGATAGCGGACGGATTTTACCTGGATAGATACGTTTTAATATGCCTCAAATAAATCCTAAAATTTGTTTCCTCAATAATACATTCTCAGTTCAAATACCATACATTGCCAGTCACTCTCTTTAAGTAATAACCATGCCCCTCCAATTCATGAAAATGATAAACCAATGTATGTCGTATGTACCTTTATTTTCGAGATTCGCCAAAGATTTCCTAATCATAAATTATGATGGATTCTTTATCTCTTACCTCGATATCCCTTCATTTATTTTTCTGTTTATAAAAACGTATAAACTAAAACTTTAGAGCCGGTAGTCTGGGAAATTAAAGTATACATTTTTGTATACTATATATGTGATGTAGTGTAAACAAATTGTATACAAATCTTTTTGCTTTTACTCCAGCTTTGAAGGACGAGTGGCCCTTATAAATCTGTTAGTGCAATATACGTTTTTATTTGTTCTTTTAAAGTTAGTATAATTTAGCTTAATTAAATGTTTTGCAAGGATGATGTTAAGAGAAGGGGATGGAGGGGGCGGGGGGTGGGCCGGGAAAAGACCTGAATGTAAACAAATATTACCAGAAATATAATTATAAATGTAATAAATATCGTCTAACTTGATATCTCTATATACCTGAACTATGGCGTACCTTATTATTTATCTCCGTTTAAAAACATCTCCGTAAACCCCATTCAATGATCCATTTTAACTGCGCTGTAAATAAATACGTAACATGATTAGCTTAATTATGGGATATATAATGACTTACATCTTGTAATTGCGTCTATTTTTAACTGTGCTGTATATAACTACGTAACATGATTAGCTTAATCATGGAATATATAATTACTTACATCTTGTAATTACGTCTATTTTTAACTGTGCAGTAGATAACTACGTAACATGATTAGCTTAATCATTAAATATATAATGACTTACATCTTGTAATTGCGTCTATTTTTAACTGTGCTGTAAATAACTACGTAACATGATTAGCTTAATCATGGAATATATAATGACTTACATCATGTAATTGCGTCTATTTTTAACTGTACTGTAGATAACTACGTAACATGATTAGCTTAATCATTAAATATAAAATGACTTATATCTTGTAATTGCGTCTATTTTTAACTGTGTTGTAAATAACGACGTAACATGATTAGCTTAATTATGGGATATATAGTGACTTACATCTTGTAATTACGTCTATTTTTATTTGTGCTGTAAATAACTATGGGATATAGATACTGACGTATAAATTGTAATTACGTCTATCAACTTTAACTTGTAACATAGAAACCTTAAATAAATTAGTTAGAAAATACTCTGCTTTGATTACAGTGAGAGAGTAATTCGTTCCTGGTCTAAATGAACAAGATACAAGATTGTATCTATTGATTTGACATTGATAGTTGTGTGTTTATGTCCGCTTGACATTGAAGCCTATGCGATTGTGCCCATTGGTTTGGTATTGATAGCTTGTGTGCTTATGTTCGGTTGACAATGAAGTCTATGAGATTGTGCCCATTGGTTTGACATTGATAGTTTGCGAGTTATACCTGAACAGATACGAATCTGAAAGCAGTGTATGGAGTAGGGAAATATCAAACTAAGAATTGAAATATTATTATGTGACACATTGTTATTATGTACATTTTTCAAAATATCAATACTTCTGTTACAACACCCTGTATCTTCAAGTCAATATAAATAGTAAATACCAATATTTCAGTTACAACACCCTGTATCTCCAAGTCTATATAAATATCGATATTTCTGTTACAACACCCCGTATCTCCAAGTCTATATAAGTATAAATATTTCTGTTACAACACCTTGTATCTCCAAGTCTGTATAAATCTAAATATTTCTGTTACAACACCCTGTATCTCCAAATCTATATAAATACCAGTATTTCTGTTACAACACACTGTATCTCCAAGTCTATATAAATATCAATATTTTTGTTACACTACCCTGTATATTCAAGTCTATATAAATACCAGTATTTCTGTTACAACACACTGTATCTCCAAGTCTATAAATATAAATATTTCTGTTACAACACCCTGTATATCTAAGTCTATATAAATATCAATATTTTTGTTACACCACCCTGTATATCTAAGTCTATATAGATATAAATATTTCTGTTACAACACCCTGTATATCCAAGTCTATATAGATAAAAAATTTCTGTTACAACTTACAACACCCTGTATCTCAAAGTCCATATAAATATCAATATTTCTGTTACAACACCCTGTAGGCTGTATCTCCAAGCCTGCCTAGATATAAATCAGTATTGTCTGCTTGAATAAACCATTTATTTAAACAGGTTTGGTTCAATACAAGTTCCTATTCTTCAGAAAATTCGGTCAATTGAAAAAATCCAATGCACAACACTAAGGTGAGAATTTAAACTAAAAAATCTACAAAGTGTAATCTATTGAATCTATAAATAAATATCTTGCAATCAAATCTAAAAATTGTGTAAATGGATAACAATCTTCAAATCTACAACAAAAAGAAGAATTGAATACATTAATAATAACAATAATAGTTAATAGTAATTCGAAGCTGTTGTAGAACGGATTGTTTTTTCGAGGGGGGGGGGGGGAGGTGGCCGGGGGCATTATCCTTGAGTCTGAAATTTGAAGTTTTCGATTGAAGTTTTTTTTTGTTAAAGGGACTGTCAACCTTATTTAATGTGACCCCTTAATAAAAGTTGCAATCCCTATTCACAATGGTACCGTTTTAATCTGAGCACAAGTGAGAAAGATGTTTTCTATCTAAAAAAGTGTTGAATTCTAGCTGTTTCCTTTTTTCTTTCCTCTTGCATTAATCTGCAAGTCAATTTTGTATTTAAACATAATCCTTTCGTCAGACCCAAACAACAAGGAATAAGAATGGTTTAAAGGGTACCGTAGAAATAGGGATTGTATTTCAGTTTCTATAGTTTTTTTTTGAAAGGGAGTTTCGATAAACATGGGAGTGTTCAGTGTGTCATTCATCCTTCAAGTTTTTATTTTTATTAAAATAGTTTAGAACAGTGATAATGCTAAATAATTTTCAATTGTAGAAATAGATATTTCCTTTTGTTTTTAGTTTTTAGCTTCTGTCTAAAATTTGAAATACGGACACTGCAACTGTAATATTAAGAAAAAATGAAATGTTATTAGACAGACTGACATTTGTTAGGACTTCTGTATTATGGTACTAACAAGAGGGCCCGTAAAACTGAGGATTAGGAAGACGAGGTTTAATCAATCCTCTGATATTATAGAGCAAATAGCTTGAAGCAGCTTGAACATTAACTTATTTAGAGAAATAAGTCTGTGTACACTGCACAATTTATTTTATGTTCATCGGACTTATAAAATCATAAGTTGAGTCTAAAGTCTTCATCATGTTCCTAGTTTTATAGGTCTCACTGTATATATAATAATAGATTATAATATATAATCTCTGAGAACCAGTTTTTTTGAAGCAGAATTGAAATCTCTCTACCACAAAGGAATATTTACAGTATATATAATTGAATTACTTTAGGCATGTTGGAGTTAAAACTGTCCGGCCCCCTACAAGCCAAGACAATGTAAAAACAGGTTAATATTTTATTCATCAACAAAATAGGTGTTTTCAAATTCAAATCCTTTTGATCCGAACCGCCATCTTGGTATTACATAATCTAAAAAATAAAAAATTTCTGACGCGCACAAAAATTCTCAAAATTTTAATCAATCTTGCACGCGCACCACATATCCTTATTTATCTGCAACAGCCCCTCAATGTATCAAACGCGCACCAGCGCAGCGGTGCAATAATGTATTTGACTTGCATCAAAAATGGGCTATTTCACGCTCACAGAGAAATATTTTCGTTAAAACGTACATATTAAAAGGGACTGTTAACAGAATTTCAAGTAACCCTCAATTTTAAGCGTTGCATGTCTAATTCACAGCACCCTTCATCGTATTAACAATGAGGAGAAGTATTGACGCTTTTCTGCTTGAAAAGATATAATTTCTCTAGATTTTCTACCCCTTTTTTCATACTGCAGCATCAATTCGCAAGTTACTTTAATAGAAAACTGCATTTGAAAATAAATAGAAAACATGAACCATTTTTTCTCAGACAAAGGTTTTAAAAATGCCGTTGTGAATCGGACATGTCACTGTAGAACTGAAGAATCACTTGAAATTACGTTCACAGTCCCTTTAAGACAATTGATGTTTTCCTCTGAACAAGTTCAAACTCACATTCTGCGATGCCATGATAAATTTATATTTTCAGAATTCTCAGAAGAACGACCGGACAAGATGTTTTCCAGGAATGAATTCCCAAACTCGCGGATTTATGAATCAAGCCAAGAACATCTCCCTGTACATCCTCAACATCTTGTACAGGCTGTACACTTGGTACAGTCGGCATATCCTGATAAATCCTCACAATCTTTACATATCATGCATTCTATGCAATCTGCGTTCCCTGAAAAAATTAATTACAAGACTGTGTTTGATAACTCAGTTATGTCTGACAAAACTAAAACGACACTGGCTAATTCAGATAGCACAAGAGAGACGGATTATAATATCTCAGTTATCTCTGGCAATAACAAAAGTGAGCCGACGCTAGTTAACTCAGAAATCTCTAATACAGTTTCAAGTGAGCATAAAATCCCAGTTTTCAATGATAAAATTTCAATTGAAACGAAGGATACGTTTATTATCTCTGATGAAATTTCAAGTGATACAAATGTAGATATCTCTATAATCTCTGATAAAATTACAAGTGAGACGAATGTAGATATCTCCAATACCTCGGATGAAATTACAAGTGAGACGAATGTAGATATCTCCAATACCTCGGATGAAATCTCAAATGAGACGGATCATGATATCTCTGCTTTTCCTGACAAAGTTTCAAATGAAATAGATGGTAATGTTTCAATTATCTCAGAAGAAATTACAAATGAGACGGATGTAGAAATCTCAGAAATATCTGATGAGATCTCAAGTGAGAATGATTATGATATCTCCTATATCTCTGAAGAAATTGAGAAAGATGTAGATGTAGAAAATATAAACATGATGAATTTAAATAATTCAGATCTTTTTGACTCAGTTATCTCTGATAAAATGATAAATAAGCCGAAATTAGATATATATAGATCCGTTCAAAGGTTAAAAAGTACACAGCCATCAGAAAATTCTGAGCTCTCAGGAAGCAAAATATTGAGTCCCGAAGAGACTAACAAAGTTATTAAAAGTAGGAAAACATTTCTGTCTAAAAACTACAGCAGATCAAAACTCCCCAATGTTAATTATTCCATTGGGAAGAATAAGTCAGAAATAGAAATCTTTCAAGAGATCAGAGACACATCTACAGAAAGAAATATTGAATCTGAAAGTTTAACCCCAAATCTTGTATCTAAACCCTCTGAACTTTCTGAAACTGATGATGGTGTACTTTATAACGAGCTGAAGACTATTCCAGCATTAGCTGAAGCAGGTGTTGATGTTTACAAAGAAAATACTAAAACTGAGTCTGCTGAACATAATGATAATTATCAAGAGAAAGATCCTTCAAAACAAATTCCACTTGAAGGATTGAATTATCCTAGATCAGAACTAGAACTGGAACTCAAACATGTCTATGATGATCTTTTATATTCCGACTATGTGTATTCTGAGAATTTGGCAGAAGCACTTCAAGATGACCTAGATTATCTTGAAGATGATTTAGAAGATGATACTGAAAATGATACTGAAACTGATACTGACGATGACACTGAATATAATACTGAAGATGATACTGAAGATGATACTGAAGATGATACTGAAGATGGTACTGAAAATGATACTGAAGATGATACTGAAGATGATACTGAAGATGAATACGTGAATTCAGATCTGAACACGTTTCACCAGACAAGGGTGCAGGCTAACCTAAATCACATTACAATGAATTCAGACATAAAAATACTTGAAGTGCAACCGATATTTTCTCCGCAAGTTGAGACAGAGTTTAATCAAAAGTCTCAGAAAACTGATAACAGGCAAGCCTTACTCTCACAGCCAGACATCAATTTAAATCAAAAACGAAAACTAAAAACAGAAAATGTTCAACATTTTGAATATTTTGATAATAATGAAGAAGTTAATGATGATAAGGGGGAAATGATCTGGGCGAGATTTGCGAATATTAACAGATCTGCAGCTGAGAAAACAAGCTCTATTGAAGAAACATATTATACTAAAAAGAAAGCTGTCCATACAACTGGATCCTCATCAATTCATATCAATCAAAATACTAAAAATAATTCAGAGAGAGAAAATGAGCTTCATGACTTGAGTCGCAAAGTAGTTAGTGACAATACTGAAAACGAAGGGGTAGCGCTTGATACCGCTAATGGATCAAATCTTATGAAAATGAATTTGAAACACATCAGTCAGAATACCAGTCATCATTTGAACTTCAGTAACAAAAACATCAGTTCTATTTATGATGACAGAAATGACAGAAACAAAAATGTTTATTTAAATGATAAAACTCGATTATTGCACTTTGACCGTGAACAATTAAATAACAAACATAGAAACAAGCAAAAATATCTTGTGACACAATTACCCGAGAGCATTGAGAGCAGATATAAAGACCTTGAAGAAAGACAAGAAATTAATGAAAATACAAACGAAACTTCTAGAACAAGATTACGAATGGGGTTGAGAGATGGAGAAAGGTCAAAGAAAACCAAAGAAATCAACGAAAAGAAACACAAGAAACATAAAGTGGACACTGAAATTTCAGATCTTTTGAGATTGCCTATTGACAATAATTCGGAAGTACGTGAACAGAAGGAAGTCATGATGAGACAAAACAATGAAGATCAAAACAAAAAACATTTCCATAACACTCATACAGAACATAATGAACATGATAAACACCATAATGAAGATCTTGAGATTGATCCTGTAGCTGAAGATCCTGAAGATTATGTGTATGATGAGGAAAAAGATGAAGTTGGAAGAGGACATGCAGGAAGGAGCCTTGAATGTGAATATTTAAGGAACGGAAAAAATAAAAATTTAGATTTTTCTTACAAATTTGACAAGAGAAGTCAAGTGTGTTTCTTTTAACTTTTTTCGATTAAGTCAACTGTAACATGTTGTCAAGTAATTCTTGTAAAAATTGATCTAAAAAATATTAAATTTGTTTTCATTTCAACATTAATACGATTGTGCAACTGTATTTAATGAGTTTTCTATTTCAAACTTAGAATTCAAATATCATTTTTTTGTGACATTTTAAGCATTTGCGCAATGTTTAGTGTGAAATAGTATATGCGGAATTTATGCTCAATGGAAATGTTTGGCATTGTTTTTGACACATTTAAGATAAAGGAGTTTACGTGGAGGATAAATATTTCCTCTGACAGCAAAAAAAAATAGCTTAAATGCATATCTTTCGTTCTAAAATCTTGTTAAACATAATCAATTGTTGATTTTACCAAAAAAAAAATATTTAAGATTTTTCCGTTTCCCCCAGACGTGGACGAATATATTTGTTGGAGATATTTAGCAGATCAAACGAAGAAGAATTTGATTATAATGATTCAAATGATCATCAAGACTATTCAATTGATCATCATGACTATGATTACAAAGAACATAGTAAAACACTGGACTATGATAACAAAGATCATATTAAAACACATGACAATGATAACAAAGATCTGAATGATATACCGACTAATATGAAGATATTGAATCAGATCAAATCGTCAAGGATCAAGAAGCTTGAAAACCCCTTTGGTAGAACCGATATTATTAAAGATGACTCCCTGGAAATGAATAGAAGAGATGTTAATGAGGAGCAGTTAGGGGTTGATTCACTTGAGAAACATGATCCTCTTGATCTTGTCCAAATGATGGCATTAAAAAGACATATTGCTGTTGCAAAATCTCATTCAACGTCCAATCTTGATTTAAGACATAATTCTCAGATATTTATGATTTTTATTTTCATTCTTTATGCTTAATGTATTTATATTTATTTACATTTTACATATGTCTGTATTTTTCTAACTTGTTCTATTTAATAACTGTTTAATATTATTGTGCTAAAAATTACAATTGCAATAATATTTTTCTGCAAAATGTATCAAATGTTCATCTCTACATTTTATGGAGCAATGGACACTCATTTCGTAAAAAAAGAATTGCATTTTACATTCTCGATGAAAACATATTTTAAATATCTTAATGCAAACAACATTTTTTGCTGAAATAAATAAGCTCTTAATATTTATGATTTTTATTGTTTAATATAGCAACTCAAAATCCAGACTATTTCTCTTCACATTTTTATTTCGAGAGATATGTCGCAAATTATCAGGGCATACTACTAAATTTACCCCTCCTCCCCTAGAATCCAGTCTATTTCTCTTCATATTTTTATTTCGAGGGATATGTCGCAAATTATCAGGGCATACTACTAAATTTACCCCCCCCCCTGGTCCTCCTCCCCTAGAACTGCGACTCTTACTCTTCATATTTTTATTTCGAGAGATATGTCGCAAATTATCAGGGCATACTACTAAATTTACCCCTCCTCCCCTAGAATCCAGACTATTTCTCTTCATATTTTTATTTCGAGGGATATGAATTTATTCAGGTAGGATATATCAGAAGAGTTTTTTACTTTGTGTATTTTGTTAAATGACTAAACGTGACATTCTCCGGGGTTGGGTTCAATAACCGAACCGAGATAAATTGCCGAACCTAAAGATATTCTATGGGCTTAAATATAATGATATCCTTCCGTTTTGTTTTAAAGCCTAATATTCTCTTGGTTGGGTTTAGTAGATAAATCTGATATTCTTCAAGTTGGTTTGAGCAGTTGAAACCTGATAATCTCCGGGTTGGGGATGAATAGGTCTGATAATGGTCCGATTTTCTCAAAAAGAGAACTTTTTTATGAAAATTCAGTTAATTCAGTTTTTTCAAACATAAACGACTTGTTTCTATCATAGAACTATTATCCCGTAATATCTTGATAGATTCTACAGTTTTGTTTATGTTTAACTTTAAATACAAGGTCATTTTTATGCTTGCAACAAACATAATATAAAAAATAAACTCTTTCCAATTTCTTAAATATCTATTTAATGAACAGAATTTAGAAAATCAAAATATAGTGGTCAGCGTTTATTTAAGTTTATATTTAAATTTCAAGTTTAAAAGTAAACAAAGAGAATCTGTTAATTGGCAGCTTCTTTTTGTTGCCATGTTTATACGTTTCCATACTGCTTGAAAGCTTGTTAGAAAACTAGGGTTTCCATTCGCAAAACTTTTGCGCAATTTTTGCGGAACGAAACGCAAAATTTTTCTTTCTTTGCGCATCAGTTTTGCGCGAAAAAACAACAATTTGCGCAATCATTCGCAAAAGTCATTTCGCGCAAAATTGCCCTTTTCCGCTTTTGCGAAACTCAAGTTTTGCGCATGCGCGAAAATAGCGCAAATTTTGCGCAAAAGATTTAGCCATTTCATGGAAACCCTATAGAAAACTAAATTGAAAATCGAATGTCGTCTTCATTGTATTGATACACACAACGATGACTGTACTGTTTTTTAAGCCTGCTCCCAAGCCATGGTACTGTAATGAAGCAATGTTTTTTAATTCAAATTTTGATTTCCCAGGTTACATTGAAACCGACTTTTAGTTCCAATGGCGAAGATATATCGGGTAAATAATTTTAGACTTTTGATATTCGACATTGGAGAATAAATGTTTTCAGGGTTATGGCGCGTTATATACCAAATTACAACTTATGTTTAAAAACGGACCCAAAAACGCTGTCCTAACCAACCTGAATGAAATAAATAACTATTGTCTTATAAGATATAAATGTTGAGTTTTAGGAAAAGGACATGAGTCTTTGCCACGAACTCTGATTTTCTAATCCCATAGCTTTGCAATCGAATGGTCCTGATCTTAGATATTTCAAGCTATGAACTTACTGTTAGACCAAATAATCTAAGTTTTAGATATCTAAGGATCAGATTATCAGGTTGCAAATATGCAGGAATGAGAAAATCTGAGTTTGTGACAAAGACTGGTTGATTAACTGGGATTTTTTATAATCCGGGTTTTATTGAAATTTGAAGAGCGTAGGGTTAAAATGTCGTCCTCTGATACGAAATTCTCCGGGAAAGAAATCAAATAAGTCAAGAAACAGAGCGTCCAACATCATAGCGTTAACACTAAACTAAATAAAAAATATTAAAAGAATCCTCTTTTGTAAAATATCTCCGACTATCTGCAGACATGGAAATCCAAACGTGCCTACAGGGTTACCCACAAAGGATGAGACTTCAGAGACGACGGTAAGGATATTGGTTTAGTCTTTTTCTCTCTTTCCAGGCCCCCCTTTCAGTTTTGAATCTCTTTATTTCTTTACAAAGTCATAGAACAGTTCTTCGCAAGACTATTTATAATGCTAAATACCAAACCAAACCTTTAAAGTGTCGTTAAAGTCTCTTCCTTTGTGGACAACCTTGTATAAACTTCCAGCTCTTTCTCATGAACTGGTCTATTCGTAAAATAATTTTTTTTCATCACTTTTAAAATTGTGTCGATCAAATATCCAATCTATGAAATGTTTTCTAATTATGTATTGTCACGGCAAAAAAAGGGTTTTGTAATTTGTAATTTGTAATTGTAATTTGTGTTCTGAACATTTTTTTCAGAAAAATACAGCTAATCATTCCGCAATTTTTTATTTTTTTGTTATCACTGTATCTAAACAAAAATAATCTAGCTTTTGAATTAAAAATTTAATTCTGTGTTAATTGTTAAATGATGTATCCATTATTTTATTTGTCCTTTCTCTTTTGTGCAAAACAAGCTTTCTATTTATCTATTTATCTATCTATTTATCTATTTAACTTGTCTCTACAGTCTACACCCAAGAACATGTTTGACCCTCAAACTGATTTCCGAGGCCATTTTTAGGACTCCGAGGCCATTTTTTGGACTTCGAGGATCAAAGGGAAAGTTTTAATTTGAAGATAACACACCTTTAAAAAAAATGGAAAGAAAAAACCTTTCAACTCATATTCTCTAAAATTTTATTATTTTTACTGCCCCCCCCCCCCCCCTACGCTATCCTACTTCTGTAGATTTCAAGTTTGAAATGGAAAGATATGTGTGTGTATATAGTGTTTAACAGTGTATACGGTTGCAGAGAAGTTTAAACTCTCACACGGATAAATCAGATATTGCAGGAGATCAGTCTTACATCATTTAGTGAGATACTTTCTGCAGGGTAGATAGGGAGTCCTGCTTACAGGGAAATCGAGTGACGATTATAAAGGCTTATTTTGCGTTCATCAGTTCAGCCTTTTCTACCTCCTCTGTTTTTTTGAGACTCCCTGCATCTTCATGAACGGATTTAACCGAACATTAATGTGAACACTAGAGAGCTTAATAGTTAATCTTGTCAGCTCAGTCCTACAAGATAATCTCTTTTTATTTCAAGTGTGAGAGTGGAAAGCAATTATTTTAACTAACCTCAAACATCCTGTTCTACATCATGGGCCGATTCTATAATGACAGTGATTGACAGTGAAAAAAAACCGTGCTTGGCGTTATTTAAAAAAAATTCAATTTGCGACTCAATTTTTTCCCCTTTTTTGTTAACATAAATGAAGAAACACTGCAATATTGACTATTTTTTATTCTTAAGTTTCAGATAATGTTTTCAAAAACATGATAGTCGACGATCTAGGAAATATGATATTTTTAAAAGAAATTTCTAGAACTCGTTCACAAATTCCTTGTTTTTTTTCTGCTGCATAGATTTTCAACTCACTTTTACAAAGAAACTGGAATTAAAATAACTATTTTTAGTTAGAAAATTAAGGATATCTCATTCATCATTGATCAGATAATGCAAAGGTTAAATATCACTTGAAATTATGTCTACAATCCCTTTGACTAAATTGTATTCAAATTCAATAACTTGTATATTTGATCCTATTTTCAGATTAAAGATAATTAATATAATCCCGGACATGGTATAGCTATAGCTAGTCGATTTAGAAGGATATTAACTATTTAGCAAAGCAAACAATAATCTTAAAAAAATTTGGAGAAAATTCATCAAAATTGTTTAAAAGATAAGTTTAACTATCTCTAGTACATTCCATAAATGTTTCAGCTTTCTTTTCTTCAATTTAAAAAAATCAAATCCATCAGTTTAAGTTGTGTGTTTATCAATAATGGACCCCCCCCCCCCCATCTTAAACAAAAATGTTATTTAAAGAACTGCATGGTTGCGGAAAGGCTTAATTCAGAAGCAACAATTAAAACATTAAACAAAATCATCCTTTTTTGAAATATTTTATCAGTGCTTATTATTTGGAAAGATGAAAAACATAATGTCCGCTCTCTCATATTATTTTATCTTTCATAATTTATTAATACTATAGCATGGACGCACATTAACTTTCTACGAAGGAATGCTCAAATTGTGTGGAAAAGAATTTTTATTGATTCCGGATCAGGAAAGAGAGGGCCGGGGAGAACGGATAATAAGATTGAATGAATTAGGGGGAGAAGGAGTGAGAAGAAGAGAGAAGGAAAAAGGAAGAAGGGAGAAGGAAAAAGGAAGAAGGGAGAAGGAAAAAGGAAGAAGGGAGAAGGAAAAAGGAAGAAGGGAGAAGGAAAAGAGAAGGAAAAAGGAACCAGGGAGAAGGAAAAAAGAAGAAGGGAGAAGGAAAAAGGAAGAAGGGAGAAGGAAAAAGGAAGAAGGGAGAAGGAAAAAGGAAGAAGGGAGAAGGAAAAAGGAAGAAGGGAGAAGGAAAAAGGAAAAAGGAAGAAGGGAGAAGGAAAAAGGAACCAGGGAGAAGGAAAAAAGAAGAAGGGAGAAGGAAAAAGGAAGAAGGGAGAAGGAAAAAGAAAGAATAAGAAGGAAAAAGGAAGAAGGAGGGAGTAGGAATAAGGTAGAATGATTGAGAAGGTGGGAGGATAGAGAAGGTGGAATGATGGAGAAAGTAGAAGGATGGATAAGGGGGAAGGATGGATAAGGAAGAAGGATGGAGAAGGTAAAGGGATGGAGAAGAGATAAGGAGGGAGAAGGGATAGAAAGGGAAAAGGAAGAAGAATGGAGAAGGAGGGAAAAGGGAGATGAGAGAAGCAGGGAGAATGGAGAATGATGGAAAGTGGCGGTAAGGAGGATAAAGGATAAGTAGGGATAAGGGATGAGAAAGGAGAAAGAAGAAGGAAACAAAAGGGCAAAGATAGAAGGAATAAGACCGAAAAGAATAGGTACAGAGGGATAAATTGGAAGAAGGCATAAGAAGGGAGAATAAATGAGGAATGAGGGGGGATGAAGAGAAGAATGCAAAGAAAAGAGAAAAGGTTGGGATGAGGGTTAGGGACGAAATATAATTAGGGGGGAAAAAGGGGAAGGGGAGAAGGGGATAATAGGGTTAGGAATTGACTTCCTAGGATGGTAAAAGTAAAGTGGGGAGATTTATAGATGAGGGGGGGGGGTAGGTCAGGGGGTTCAGGCCAGTCTGACTCTTGGAAAGCTTTTACAATTACTATTAACATGTCTCAAACTATTTTGATTTCAATTAAAGGGATTGTATGCCAAACTACGAGTTGTAAATAATCCTTTGACATGAAAATAAAGTTCATTTGGTTTTATTTCAAAAGTGTATTTTTTTCTCATAAACCATTTTTTTCTATATACATTTATACAAGATGAACATCTGTTTAGACATCAACTGATTTTGGAGATGTTTCCTTTAAATATTCCCTACACATCAATTAGCTTAAATGACCCAAAAAACACAGTAATTGAGAGTAAAAGATTTATTTTCTTTTTGTCAATTAAAGAATTTTTTTGAAATCTATGCAGATAGAATACAAGAAATAATATTAACCCTGTTCCTGCTGGGGGGGGGGGGGGGTCAATTTGCCCCCCCCCCTGTAGTTTTTTTTACATAACTCAAAAAGTCAGATTTTGATAAAATTTAGCTTTTTGGAAAGCCTTTGACATAAGGAAACGAATTGCACAAGTTTTGCGAAAAAAAATGCAAATCTGTCAAAGGATATTTGCACATTTTTAGTTTTTCTTTATTAAAAATCAGATTATTTAAAATTTTGCCAATTTTTTTGCATATTTGAAATAGCATGGTCAAGGGCTTTTCAAAAATGTATAATTTTTCATTTTTCGGACAAATTTGTTTTGCAAAAATTTTTACTATATAACTGGATTTTGCGATAAAAAATTCAATTTTTGCAAATTTGCAAATTTTTTTGCAGATTCTAAAAGTAGAGCACAAGAGCTTTCTAATGATGTATCATTTGTCATATTTTGACATCAAACATGGGATTTAGAGAGGGGGAGGGGTTAAATTGACCCCCCCCCGTATATCCTGGTTTTCAAGTGCCCCAGCAGATATTGGGTTAAACGAAAATTTATGAAGGCTTTTTTATAATATAAAAGAACGTTTCTTAATGATAACTCATAATTTAGCTTAATATGGTATTTATCAATTAACAGACAATTTGGTAGAATCTCTTCATTCAACAATAAGGTAAAACATTCAAAATAATTTTATAAATAAATTTAAAAATAATTTTTACTTTAAACTGTAGCCATCAAAGCTTCCACTTTTGCATCGTGTTTAAATATCAACTATTAAATATTATATTTTTGTTTGAAATTGGTAAATATTTTGTCGACATTTTTGCCAGAACAAAGTAATTAAGTATTTGCAACAAACTTTGATTTTCTAATCTCTATACTTTTGCAACCCAATGTCGTAGACCTTGGATATTTCAAAATAAGATTTTTAAGATTATGTAGCAAAGACATAGGGATTGATAAATTTGAGTTAGTGGCAAAGATTTAATTCCTTTGGGCCCGATCGTTTCAGCCGTTTATTGGATGCAGAAATATAAAGTACAAAAACTAACTTGAAGAAACTTTGAAAAAGACAACCACACTTTTTTTCCTATTTCCAAGTCCATCCGTCCATACATAGTTTTTTTTCTTGCATTTTTTATATTTCTATCTACTTCCTAGCTTTAATTACTTCCTTGAAGGTAAAGGTGAAATGTATTTAAGGAGAATAAAATATCTTTTCAAGTTTAAATATTCCTCCCTGACTAGACGCATTAATCTTTACAGTTTTTTGCCCTTGACTTTTAGCTATTTCTCAACTGTTTACAAATTCTTCAGGATAGGATGTTTTTCCCCCAAACCTCTCTTTAGGATTTGATGTATACAAATGTGTTTACAAGTTAGCATCAGATTAGCTACATGAGGAACAAAATGATAATTATTATTTTCTATGTAGTAAAAGACAAAAAAATCTAAGGTGCTGTCGTTGTAATTACAAGTGACCCTAAATTTAAATTGGAGCATAGCATGCCTGATTTACATTCTTGAAACCTTTATCTGATCAATAATATTGGTGTATATATAGTAGTATTTCCATCGTTGTTTCTGTAGCAGATATGAAGTCGATTTGTAAAGAAACCACAGTTAAAAACATTTAATTTTTGATATCTCATTTTTTTTGATCAGGCATTTCTGAATCAGACTTGACACTCTGTAAGCGGAGCGCCAATCAAAATTTAGATGACAATCCCTTTAGTCTGCAGTCAGTAATTAAAAAAAATATTTCTTGATAATTAATAACCATCTATAATTTCTAGGGAGAACTCTATTTACGTGTCCAAGTATGAGACTAAAACTGAAGAACATTATTGTGAACCAAACAAAAGGATATAGGCTCGAAATGGAGATAAATAGGAGCTAAAGCAATGCAACTCGAAGCAGGAGGTAGGAGAATAAAAGTAAGAACGGGATATATATTCTCCAAGGTGGAGGCGCTTCTCAAGAATTACAAACTCTAGGCGGAGTCCCACACATATACGTAGACGATAACTTCTGGTGAAAATATATTTCAGTAACGAGGTTTCCTACAAAATACAGATTGTTATTGACGAACAAATGTGAATAATAATTGTTAATAAAATGTAACTATTTGATTGACGAACAAATGTGAATAATAATTGTTAATAAAATGTAACTATTTGATTGACGAACAAATGTGAATAAAATGTAACTATTTGATTACAACTAATTAAATGTTTATTGAAACTGATAAATAGGAATTTTAAAGGAAAGGTTCTGTTGTGAATCGACCAAGAAATATTTTAAGGTACTGATGGGAATTAATAAATGAAATATTTTAAATGGGTACTATTGTGAATCAAACATGAACTTACGATCTATTGTCGTATAGTACGGGAATAGTGGTTGGAATCGGAGTCTAAACTATTCAATTTCTGAAAAAAAATATTCATTTGGTAAAAATTAATTCACTATTAGTTTGCAAAATGATTCACTGAATTTTAAGCGTAAATTGTTTCTATTTTTTTACGAATTTAAATCTTATTGTTGCACGAGGATTTTGTTTACGTTTATGCAGAAACCTTGAACAGTATTTGGTTTGGAGAAGAAAGTGGACGGAGGTCTGACGGAGATGTAGTTTGTCAAAGACGACTTTTACAACAGGGTAGTTTATGGGATATGGTTCACAATTATACCTTGGTAAATATTATTTTTTTTTTAAAGCATTAAAAACCATATAAAAGATACGACTATTCACAGATCGAATATTTTATAGATTCGATTATAGATTCGAACGTTCTTTTAATAGGATATCTATTAATCTAACAGTTAGAACCGTGGGCAGAATTCTTTTCATATTGAAACTAAATTCATGGTTTTGCAACAATTCGATCTATTTTTTTTGTAAATTGGTCACATGCTTAAATCCTTCTCCTATGCACTATATTTATCATGTTGATCAAGTAAATATATAAAATGTTTGCTCTATGAAATTGTCTTTATTACACGTTAAGGCTTTACAGTTATACCTGAGAAATGATGACGATTTTGCTGGATATAAAGAAGTTTTCCTCTTTGAAAATTCTCAATCTGTGTTCAAGTTTTTTTTCTGTAGTTTGCCTATAAAAGATTTGTACAGCAAACACCAAAAATTGCCTTTTTGAAATTTGTCAGTTATACGTTTAGAGCTTAACGCTGTGAATATTGTGTGGCACAACTCAAATAAGATGTGCCTTTGAAAATTGCATTTACAATTTCTAATTTATCCAAAGGATTGAGTCTTTGCCACAAACTCAAAATTGCTAATATCTATGTTCTTGCATCCTGATGGAGTAAATCTTTGATAATTCAAACCTAGACTATTTGATCGAACAGAATTAATTGTTTAAAATATCTAACATCTAAGACATTGGGTTGCATAGATATAGGGATTAGCAATATTTGAGTTTGTGGCAAAGACTCCTTTATTTTAGAGTTCGGAGAGTACAATTTGTAAAACTGGAACCTCGAAGCCTCCGAAGAAGCCTGAAAGGGGAAAAGTAAAGAAAGAAGGTTTGCCAACAGATCCAGGGATCACAAAGGATGTTAAAAGGTTAGAGTTTGGTCATGTGTCGTAGATTTAAAGGTTAGTTTGGTCACGTTATAAATAAAAAGGTTATTTTGGTCACGTAATAGATTATAAGGTTAGTTTGGTTACGTTACAGATTATTAGGTTAGTTAGGCAACCTTATAGATTATAAGGTTAGTTTGGACACGTTATAGATTAAAGGTTAGTTTGGTCACGTTATAGATTAAAAGGTTAGAGTTTGGTTACGTTATATATTAAAAGGTTAGAGTTTGGTCACTTTATAGATTAAAAGGTTAGAGTTTGGCCACGTTATAGATTAAAAGGTTAGAGTTTGGCCACGTTATATATTAAAAGGTCAAAGTTTGGCCCACTTATATATAAAATGGTTAGAGTTTGGTCACTTTATAGATTAAAAGGTTAGTTTGGTCACGTTACAGATTATTAGGTTAGTTAGGCAACCTTATAGATTATAAGGTTAGTTTGGTTACATTATGTAGTATAAAAGGTTAGAGTTTGGTCACGTATAGATTAAAAGGTTAGTTTGGTCACGTTACATAGGCAACCTTATAGATTAAACGGTTAGTTTGGTTACATTATGTAGTATAAAAGGTTAGAGTTTGGTCACGTATAGATTAAAAGGTTAGTTTGGTTACGTTACAGATTTTTAGGTTAGTTAGGCAACCTTATAGATTATAAGGTTAGTTTGGTCACGTTATAGATTAAAAGGTTAGAGTTTTGTCAAGTTATAGATTAAAAAGTTAGAGTTTGGTTACGTCTAAGATCATAAGGTTAGTTTGGTTACATTATATAGTAAAAGGTTAGAATTTGGCCCCGCTATAGATTAAAAGGTTAGAGTTTGGTTACAATAAATATTACAAATCTGGAGTTTGGCTACATTACAGATTAAAAGGCTAGAGTTTGGCCACGTTATAGATTAAAAGGTTAGAGTTTGGTTATGTTATTTGTTAAAAGGTTAGAGGTCACTTTATAGATTAAAAGGTTTGAGTTTGGCCACGTTATAGATTAAAAGGTTAGAGTTTTTTAACCTTATACATTAAAAGGTTAGAGTTTGGCCAATTGTAAGAGATTAAATGGTTAGAGTTTGGCCACGTTATATATTAAAAGGTCAAAATTTGGCCACCTTATATATAAAAAGGTTAGAGTTTGGTCACTTTATAGATTAAAAGGTTAGAGTTTGGTCAAGTTATAGATTAAAAGGTTAGAGTTTGGTCAAGTTATAGATTGAAAGGCTGGAGTTTGGCCACAGATTAAAAGGTTAGAGTTTGGTAACCTTATACATTAAAAGGTTAGAGTTTGGCCAAGAAAAAGATGAAAAGATTAGAGTTTGCCTACATTACAGATTAAAATGTTAGTTTGGTCACGTTCTAGATTAAAAGGTTAGAGTTTGGTCTCATTATAGATTAAAAGGATAGAGCTTAGTCATGTTATAGACCCTCCAGCTTGTCAACTTAATAAATTTTTCCTAGACCTGTATCCTCAGCAGAACCTGAACCTGGCCCTCCAGCTAGTCAACTTAATTATTTTTTTCCTAGACCTGTATCCTTAGCAGAACCTGAACCTGACCTTCCAGCTATTCAACTTAATATACTTTTTTTAGACCTGTATCCTTAGCAGAGCAACCTGACCCTCCAGCTAGTCAACTTAATAAACATTTTCTAGACCTGTATCCTTAGCAGAGCCTGAATATTACCCTCCAGCTAGTCAACTTAATAAACATTTTCTAGACCTGTATCCTTAGCAGAGCCTGAACCAGACCCTCCAGCTAGTCTACTTAATAAACTTTTCCTAGACCTGTATCCTTAGCAGAGCCTGAACCTGACCCTCCAGCTAGTCAACTTAATAAACTTTTTTTTAGACCTGTATCCTTAGCAGAATCTGAACCTGACCCTCCAGCTAGTCTACTTAATAAACTTTTCCTAGACCTGTATCCTTAGCAGAGCCTGAACCTGACCCTCCAGCTAGTCAACTTAATAAACATTTTCTAGACCTGTATCCTTAGCAGAGCCTGAACCTGACCCTCCAGCTAATCAACTTAATAAACTAAAGGTTACTTTATTGATTTTAAGGCCAATCAATTAATCATTTAGTCAATCAGTCAATTTATCAACCAATCAATGAACAGTTAAATAAATAAATATATTTGGATGTAGTGGAGAACATTGATTTTTAAACGTTTATATAAATAGATGTAAACTGTTATCAGAGTTTTAACGCTCAATGGTAGAAATAAAATTAAAACAAGTATTTACACAGTCAATGAAATAACTGTTCAAATAGCTACGAAAAACTTGTCCTCATTTTCATGTCAAATGTATCTATAATCTAGAACATTGAAAAATCAAAACAAATAATTTATAAACGTTCGTCTTTGAATTTTTAGATCATAACTCAAAAACGCATGATACGCTTGTTTTACAAAGTGCATTGAATTGAACTAACTTTGAACTTATCTTTTATAGTTTACACCAACAAAAACACATGTATCAATGTTGAATGAATTTTTAAAATATTATCTCAAAAAAGTAAAACCTCTAACTTGTAAAAGATATATTAACAACAAGGTTTAAATAATCAAAAATGATTACTTTGATATTTGAAAAAAAAATCCTGTTTCCTAGAATTCTGAGCTTGAGATTGCGGATATTTTGAAATATGAGAACTCTGCCTAAATACCTAACCTGCCTGCTGACCTTGAAAACATAGACATAGAAAGCGAATCAAATATATTTTAATCGCTGAGAAAAATTGCAAGTTCAAACATCAGAAAATACACATCTCATTAGAACATTATTGAGCGAGCATTGTAGTTTATAAGCTGAAGAGCTAGGGTGGAGAGGGAAGGTCACGTGATTTGTATTGTGACGTCATCGTAGCTGCCGGTCAGAGGACCCAGTTCTCCAGTGTCATTCCAGCATTCATTCATTCAACACTTCATCCTTATACAATAATAATAAAAGAAATTATTAATCATACGAACAAAAAAGTGAAAAGCTTTTACTAGATATTTATAAATATTTTAAATTAAATTAATAGCAAAAAGTAGTTGAGCTACTTGTTCAGGTTGATCTAGAGATTACTGAAGTTTAACCAGAAAATCATAATTTAACACATTCTCCCTAATCAATAAATTCATAATGTAACCCTTACGGGATGAGACATCAGGGCTGGCGCTGAACTTAATTTTTTCAATCGTTATTCTTATACTTATATACTTATATATACTTATACGATTTAACCTTTCAAATTTTGATATTTAAAATTGAATGTCGTCTTCACATTCCCTAGTTGTTTGGCTCCATCTCTAGACCAAAATTTTATTAATTAAATACTTTAAAAAAACTCCCAGTAATTCATACATTCCTCACACTTCAATATTCGATCATTATAAAGGATATACAGTGAGCCTCTAATTAAATAAAGTTGTATAATACTTGATCTATAACTGTACACACCAAACCTATATATACGTAACAATAAGGAAGAAAACGTTTCTTTTTGGAGAAAAGATAAATTCCGGAAATTTCTCTAATTGTGTTCTTGCGTAAATTCGTAAATACCCTTTTAACAAGAAACAGAAATTAAAGACTGTGTGGAGCGATATCTCCTTAATCTTTTTTTTCGGACAAAACTTAAAAAGGGTATTGTTGTAAATAGGTATTTTACAAATTCGCATTGCATTACTGTTTCAGTGACATAATTGTTTCAGTTTCAGTTTCTAATTATAAAATGATAATAATGAGATAAAGCAAGTCTTGACAATGCTAAAGGTAAAATTGAAAATGAAATATGTTTAGATGTACATAAATTCTTTTAATAGTTTTTATTTCAAACTATGAATATTATTAGATCTAGATTAGAATTCACAGTTTGAAATTATGTCAACGTAAAATTGGAAAAATCTAAGAACTAGAAATTAGAGTTTTGAGTCAAGTGTTCAGTTCTTTTAGTTATTTTAAAATGGGAGGATAAAATTAATGAGGGTATAATTATTCATTTTACTGTATTTTGAATTGTTTATGTTTTGACTAAACGAAACTTAGAGAAAGCATCTATACTTCGGTTGAGAAATGTTAGACTGCACTAGGGCTGGGCACGTTCGTGAACGGTTCGTTAATACCTTTTTTTCAGGTTGCCGTTAGGGTTTTAGATAAACACGGGAGGTTCGTTACGTCAACGTTATTTACCGTTTTAAAGCTACCGTTAGTTAACAATTATTAACGGTTTTAACGGTAGATATTTTAAGCAGTAAATATTGCCGGACAAATTTGAAATCAACATTCGAAACATCCTAGACGTAAACAAACATCAAAATACATACAATTCAACAAATACGCGATACAAAAATTTGAAGTCGGAGGTTTTAAAGCATCAAAATTTATAAAAAGTTATCTTAATTTTCTTTTGCAGTTTTTATGCAAATATAATAACGAAAATAACGAAAGTTGTCTTTTTTAAACATATATTTTTTCAACCGTATTTTTTTAAACATTTTTTTTTCAACCGTCATTTTTTAAACGGCTATTTCCATTAGTTCACAATTTAAAAATGATCAGTGTTTCTCGTTCGTTAACGTACTTATCCGTTTTTTTTTAAACCTCCGTTTCGGTAACAGAACTTTGCCCAGCCCTACACTGCAGTGTTTCTTTGTTAATATTTTCAAGATAGAAATGCTGTTTTGCCAGCTTTTATGAGCTTAAAGGTTGAACCTTTCATTTATCATTTCGATTTTTATCGAATTATGTAATTTAAATTTTTCATCGGACTCATAAAATATTAAAAGAATATCCAAAAAGGGAAAACACGTTTTAAAGCCCCTTTAAAATTTAATGTGGATTTTTAAAAAACATTTCTAATGTTATTTATAAGTTATTTTCTTGTTTTCATGTTTTTTTAGGAATAAGGGTGGAGGGGGATAGTAAAATATGTATTTATAGTATATAACGATATATGTATTTGATAATTGGAAAGTGAACAGTTAACAATTATAAAAGTACGCTTATCTTGTTTCAAGGTTAGAATTTGTGTTATATTTCAATTATTTGCAAAACAGATATTTGGGAGGGAGGGAGGATGGGGGGGGGGGGAAACAAGTATTGGATAGGTTAAGGGGGAAGAATAAGATAATGAATGAGGGGGAATAATGCACGGACAAATTGGGGAATAGAATAGAATAGAATATTCAACTAATTTTTTTTCTTTATTTTTCTGCTAATTTTTCATTTTAGATTTCTCCCTCTTTACTCTACATTTGTAACTATATTTTAGATTTGTCCCTCTTTACTCTACATTTTTAACTATATTTTAGATTTCTCCCTCTTTACTTTACATTTTTAACTATATTTTAGATTTGTCACTCTTTACTCTACATTTTTAGCTATATTTTAGATTTCTCCCTCTTTACTCTACATTTTTAACTATATTTTAGATTTCTCCCTCTTTACTTTACATTTTTAACTATATTTTAGATTTCTCCCTCTTTACTCTACATTTTGAACTATATTTTAGATTTCTCCCTCTGTACTCTACATTTTTAACTATATTTTAGATTTGTCTCTCTTTACTCTACATTTTTAACTATAACTTAGATTTGTCCCTCTTTACTCTACATTTTTAACTATATTTTAGATTTGTCTCTCTTTACTCTACATTTTTAACTATATTTTAGATTTCTCCCTCTTTACTTTACATTTGTAACTATATTTTAGATTTGTCACTCTTTACTCTACATTTTTAGCTATAGTTTAGATTTTTCCCTCTATACTTTACATTCTTCACTATATTTGAGATTTCTCCCTCTTTTCTCTACATTTTTAACTATAGTTTAGATTTGTCCCTCTTTACTATACATTTTAAACTATATTTTAGATTTATTTTTATTTTAGACTTATAATTTACTCTACATTTTTAACTATATTTTAGATTTGTCCCTCTTTACTCTACATTTTTAACTATATTTAAATGTATCCCTCTTTACTCTACATTTTTAAATATAGTTTAGATTTATCACTCTTTACTCTACATTTTTAACTATAGTTTAGGTTTGTCCCTCTTTTCTTTAAATTTTTAGCAATATCTTACATGTCGCACTCTAAAATCTACAATTCATTATTACATTTCCTTACACACTCTAATAAATACATTTGCACTGTACATTTTACATTATACAACTTACTCTCTACACTCTACACACTATAGTAAATCCTACACTCTACATTCTTCAGTACACTCTACACTCTACAGTACCCTCTACAGTACACTCTACACAACAGTTTACTTTCATTATGTAGAACACTGCTTCCTATAGAATACTCATTTCCACATTTTTTCTCATTTCTACATTTTTCTTCACTTTTACAATTACTCTTCAGTCTACAGTCTATCTTATACTTTGCAATCTACACTACACTTTACATCCTTAATTTACACTGTAAGCTTATTATACTCTGCTCTTTGAAATAAATTCTACACTCTAAATAGACTTCTCAGATGCACTCTACATCAGACTAAATTCAATGATTCTATAACGTTAGAAGACTATAAATAATACATTGTGTACAGGTAGATATGCCGGTCAGCCTACAGACTAATCTCAATGAGTTGGACACCCTGTTGGCAGATTTAAACAGTGCTAAATACAGGGTGGAGCAAGATAACAGGTAAAAAAACATTCACTGGGGAACTAGACAACAGGAACAAAATATACAGTGTGTAAAAAATCAAAAAACACAAAATATAGAATAAAGAATTTGGTTTTATTCCTTAATAAAATGCATATCAAAAGAAAATGATTTTTTGCCACAAACTCAGATATTCTAATCCCAATATATTGAAACGAAATGTTTTAAACCTAAGATATTTCAAACAATGAATTTTGTTGGATTTAATAATCTTAGTTTGAAATATCAAAGGTTTACATCATCTGGTTGCAAAGATATAGGGATTAGAAAGTTTGAGTTTGTGGCAAAGACTCAATTCCTTTCTTGTTGCAAAAGGTTTTAAAATAAATTTTCAGTTCCCGGATTGAAACTGTTTCTATAGGTTTGGTTCTGTGAGTAACTCCTATGCCTATGGAGATTACTATAGTGACCTTGAATCATGTGCAGATGAAAAAGCTCCTGAAAGGTGGTTCCCCTTTTTATTTACACATGTTTTTGTCACTGTCCCAACAATCGCTCCGAAATCCCGGTCCCGATGAATTTCCAGGCATGACTAGATACAAACATCTCTAGATCCAAGCATGATTAGATACAAACATCTCTAGATCCAAGCATGACTAGATACAAACATCTCTATATCCAAGCATGATTAGATACAAACATCTCTATATCCAAGCATTACTAGATACAATCATCTCTAGATCCAAACATGACTAGATACAAACATCTCTGGATCCAAGCAAGATTAGATACAAACATCTTTAGATCCAAGCATGACTAGATACAAACATCTCTAGATCCAAACATGACTAGATACAAACATCTATAAATCCAAGCATGACTAGATACAAACATCTCTAGATCAAAGCATGACTAGATACAAACATCTCTAGATCCAAACATGACTAGATACAAACATCTCTCCAAGCATGACTAGATACAAACATCTCTAGATCCAAACATGACTAGATACAAACATCTCTAGATCCAAGCATGACTAGATACAAACATCTCTAGATCAAAGCATGACTAGATACAAACATCTCTAGATCCAAACATGACTAGATACAAACATCTCTAGATCCAAGCATGACTAGATACAAATATCTCTAGATCCAAGCATGACTAGATACAAACATCTCTAGATCCAAGCATGACTATCTACAAAAATCTCTAGATCCAAATGCATGACTAGATACAAACATGCCTAGATCCAAATATGATTAGTAATCAAACATCTCTGGATCCAAGCATGACTAGATACAAATATCTCTAGATCCAAGCATGACTAGATACAAACATCTCTAGATCCAAACATGACTAGATACAAATATCCCTAGATCCAAGCATGACTAGATACAAGCATCTCTAGATCCAATCATGACTAGATACAAATATCTCTAGATCCAAGCATGACTAGATACAAGCATCTCTAGATCCAATCATGACTAGATACAAATATCTCTAGATCCAAGCATGATTGTATATAAGCATGACTAGGTACAAACAATTCTAGCTCCATTCATTACTAGCTAAAAACATGCTGAACTCCGAACATGCCTATTTCTGAACATGCTGAGCAGTCTGATGTAATTAAGACGAGATGCTTTCGGTTTCATCAATTTTAATTCAATAACGTAATTGTCTATATTTCAGCATTTTTCTAAAGGGTTATCTTTTAATATTTTTCATTTAAAACGTATATTATGTTTAATGGCTGAAATGTTGATCGAAAGTTAGAACTTGCTGTGTGTGTGCTATCTCCGCTTATGTTAAACTTGTTTACACTAAGATTGCAGGGAAAGATAAATCATATTTATTATTCCATCAAGAAAGTGCAAACACTATCCGTCAACAAAAAACTGTTGATTAATAATTAAATGTTTATATTCAGGCCCCCTCCTCCTAAAAGCTATTTATCAACTCCCAAACCAAATGTTGCAACTTCTTCCTCACAATTTTTGCAACCTCCCTCCAGGTCTCCTATACCTCCTTCACAATCCCCGCTACCCTCCATCGTTACAAGGAAACCAAGACGACCTCCTAAACTGATGCACGTTCTCAAGGTAAAATATTCGTGTTCTTAAAAATGATAAAAATTACTTTAGAAATAGAACTATAAAATATAACATACGAGAAAGAAATCGGAATGGATTTAATGAACTTTTAAAGAAAATACAAGGTTAAGAGTCTACAAGTATCCATCTTTAAAGTTCCAACTACGAATTCTGTTGGATCAAATAAAAAATCTGCACAAATATTTTCATTGTAGTCGCCATTTCAGTATGATTAATTAATATGTACGCTTGTAATTACATTTAAATCAAATTAAATTAATTTGTAATCCTTCATCTTTACCAATCATGAATGAATAATATGGAAGTGTATCAGCAACTCATATAATAACAGTATTTCTCTCACCGGCAGTTTTAATCTGTAAATTATATTTAATCATGAACAAGAACAGTTAGTCAAATCAATCAAAGTTTGAACAAGCAAGTGAATGAGAATAATAGAATCTAAAAATATTCTCTTACATCCCCCGCACCCAATATCTTCCCCCCTACCCTCCCCACCACTCTCCCTGCTATTATGATTATTGTGCTCTAGTCTATTGATTAATATTTTCAAATTTAAATCTTGACAGCAGCTTCGCAAAAAAGAATATAATCAACAAACTTTTCCAAACGACCCCAAATTTTAGACTTGGATACCAGATTCACAACGAAACCCTAAAAAAAATTATATTTTTGTAAAAAGTAATATATTGTCGTTTTCTATCTTAAAAATTGTTCAACTCTGACACTTCCCTTTTCTGTTTCTGTAGCATGACTCTGCATGTCACGTCTATAGAGAAAGAACAACTGAAAATCATCAATTTTCAGAAAGTTAAGCGGGCATGTCTGTCATTAGAAATTACGCTGATAATCTCTTTAATTTATTGAAAGAAAATTATATTCCAGGATGGAGACAAATCCCGAGTTCATGATTTAGAGAAGGAGAATAGAGATGAATATTCAATGGATATTGAGGTAAAGTTGAATTGAAATATTAAAAATAAAATACAGAAGATAATGAAGACGACTTTTAGAGCCAAGTTATAATTCTAATAAGTCCAATTTTGCAGTGCAGAGGGACATTTTACAATTTCACTTGATAAGCTAATGGTGAAAACTATTTGCTGTAACTGTCGTCTTCCTATTCCACATATTTTTTAAGGTCCCATTGTAAATCATAAATATGAAAAGCGTGAATTTGAAGAAGATATTAAACTTTGGATTTAAAGGAATTGAGTTTTTGCCACAAACTCTGTTTTTATAATCTTTGGAACCCAATGTCGTAAATCTTTGATATTTCAAACTCATATTATTTGATCTAACAGAATTCATACTTTGAAATATCTAAGGTCTACGACATTGGAATCTAAAGATATAGGATTTAGAAAAGCAGAGTTTGTGGTAAAGACTCAAATCCTTTCATGGCTTTTTGTATTACACTAATAAGTCATTCAGTCAAAATACAAATGATTTGCAAGAGCTTCTTATATTTCTACGAAAGCAAAGTGATTTTCTTAAAAACAATTTTAATTGTGAATTATAGTCTTATAGATAATAACTTTCTTTATCTTTTTACATAAAGCACTACCTTTTTATTTAACAGATTTTGGAATATTTTTTTCTTTCATTGTCCAGCCTGAAGTAATTTTGTAGATTACGTTTATTATCTTTTTTGAAGTTTTTTACCAAATTCATTTTTAAACATTACAACAACATAGCATCTCGCTAAAGATATTTCATAATATGCTAATTTCCATAATTCCTTTTGAATTAAAAAAAGTTCTTACCATTGTTACTCAGATTTAGACTAAAGAATACTATTGTAACTCAGATTTAGACTAAAGAATACTATTGTAACTCAGACTTAGATTAAGGAATACTATTGTAACTCAGATTTAGACTAAAGAATACCATTGTAGCTCAGATTTAGACTAAAGAATACTATTGTAACTCAGATTTAGACTAAAGAATACCATTGAAACTCATATTTAGAATAAAGAATACTATTGTAACTCAGATTTAGACCAAAGAATACCATTGTAACTCAGATTTAGACTAAAGAATACCATTGTAACTCAGATTTAGACTAAAGAATACCATTGTAACTTGAAAATTACACTTTTTAATTATATTTAGGTTCCTGATGAAGGAGATTACGGAGATTACACCTCTAAATGGGAATATCTGGGCAAAGGTAAGCACAAATTTTCGGCATTTTTTCGAACTGGTTTTAATTCAAAATGGCCAATAATTTCCACGTTTTTCGAACTGGTTTTAATTCAAAATGGCCGAAAATTTACACGTGTATTCAGGTATTTGGGAGAACCAAGACTACGGAAGTATCAGTAACTACAGCACACTCAAAACTAACACACAAAGGGATATTAGACAAAAAAAAGAACAGAAAATCCGTATCAGTATTTGATTTTTGGATTTTTCCTCAAAAGAAATATGTTAATGAAGCTTTTAAATAAAACAGAAAAATGTTCCGAAAAAAAATAGATCGTTTATAAATACTCCCTGTTACTTTGAATATTCTCTACAAATATAAAAAAACATAATAGATAACCAGAAAACTCTAAAATAGTAAGAGGAGTTCTGATGTAAAAAAAGACAAATGAACATAATACACAGCAATTGATCAGTGGACACAGACAAATTTCACTTAATTAATGATTTGATAAATATCTAGTAAAACTATTTGCATTGTAACAACATTAAATACACTTAGGTATTGCTATAATATCGTCTTTTTCATTGTTTTCTGGTTATCACTGTATTTAAAAGGTATTGTCAGGGTATTGTGCATTCAACAGTTTATTTTTACTCTCTTAATTTTGTTCCGTTTTTAATATATTGTTCTCCTAGATGAAAATTAACATTAATTTCCTAATTATTTTAGTTAAGAACCTATTGTACAATCTGATAAAACAGTCCTAATTTTTTATTCATATTTTCAAGTAAGTAAAATTGGTTTGTCTATACAGAGAAGATTACGATTACACAAATCTATCTAAATCTCCTCTTCCGATGGTCAGTGATGAAGAATTAGAAAAGTAAGACGATTTAATTATTTTCCAAACTAAGTTTTAATTGGATGATTTTCAAGCAGAAATGTGTTTTGTTGATTTAATTAATTGATTAATCAATTGCATTGATTGATTGATTGATTGAGTGATTGATTGATTGATTGATACTGCTAGGGAGACAGGTGCAGGTCCAAGAGGGGAACGGAGTAAAATAATTCCAACAGATCATGGAGAGGTAAAATTAAAAGAAATTCTAAATGTGTACCAAAACTATGAGAAAATTTATGTTTTAGGTTAATTGATTGATTGATTATCGTTTATTTCTTTATGCCTTATTACTGGCACCTTAAATTTGTTTTAGGTTAAATCTAAATATCATTATCTTGGATTTGGTCTCTGGGAGAATACAGGTGAGATATTTATTGTTCGATTATTTAAAAATTGACGAATCGACATTTTTAATTTACTTTAAAGGTTAAACATGGATTTCTTTACTTTTCCGTTTGATTTTAAATGTTTTCAATCTCAAGTTTGTTTGTCATAATTGTTAGGAATACTTAATGCAATTGTTAATTTCTAGATCCAACTCCCAAACCTAAACCCAAGAAGCCCAGTCCCCCTCCTCCACCACCTAAGGTATAATAGCACTCCAGGGTGGAAAATTTTAAATAAACGTTACCAATTTAAATCGATTCATTTCCACTCACAAGAAGATTAACATTGTGCATTTCTCACTAAAATCTCCGATCTAACTCCGAGAGAAGAGAATTAATCTTTTTAAATCAGTTCAGCCTATTCGAAAGTTTGCAGTTCTGGCTTAAAAATTGTTTGATTTAATAGACATTTTTTTGTGCAAAGTTTATGTGCGCATTCATTTCTCGATAGTTGAGGGGGGGGGGGAGTGATCCTTGAAAAAGATCACTGCAGCAAGATATTGTATATGTACTTTTCCCTCTTCTATAAAAAATTATCTAATGTTTGTTGTTCAGGCCGAACCAGTTTGGTATAATTGTACAGTTGCAGTGACCTCAACGCTGTCCAGTAAGGAGCTTGATGATCTAAATATGAAAGATCTATTCTCCAACCTACCTAACAGGTTAGCTTTATATAGTTTATACTTGATGATCTAAACATGAAGATATATTCTGAAACCTGATGGTAAAGGCCTTTTATATTTCATGTTTTAATTATTTCATCAGTCAGAATTCATAGTTTTAAATGTCTAAGGTCTATAACTTTATTATATAGAGATTATAAAATCGTAGTTTGTGGCAAAGACTCAAATCCTCCAATGTGTGTGTATAGGAGTGTTGAAGTAGGAGAGGGTGTGGGTGATCTAGGAGAAGGTATAGGAGAACCCTTCGAGATGTTTGAGAAGGAGGATATGTCAGATATGTTCAGACGAGCAATGTTTGAGAAAATGAATCTTGTAGGTAGGGATATCCTTCTCATATAACAAGGGGAATATACCCGGTATTCTTATTTCCTTGTTTATATTAAAACTGTACTGCAGTTTTTGGGATAAATGTAAACAATCTCAGCGCTGCTCAGGCTGAGTACATTCCTTAGAAATTAATTACGGTCCATCCTGAGCCAGAAACTGAAGACAGAGTGTCCTAACGAAACGAAGTACCAGAAACCCGAAACTCAAAAATGGGTTTATAGTACGTTTTATCGATAGCAATATTTTGGCGAAAGAATATTTTTCATGTGGTTTCTGTACTTTCTCTTTTTGTTTTCAGATTTCGTACATCAAAATCTACACAAATACATAGACTCGGCAGTTTCATTTAACATCAATTCATTACTATTCTATAAGATACGTCATCATTCATAAGCAGTTTAGACATGGATATATTTACAACTAGTTTACATATATTTAAATTCATATATATTCATTATTCATATCTTTTTCTAAACGGTTATTTTTCCACGTGTTTTTTTAATTACCGTAAAATTGGAGATTTAATAAATAGTTTCAGTTATATAATTTTCTGTTTAAGTTTTTAATTGTTTGAACCTGTATATTTATTATATAATGATTAATTGCATAGTAACGGGCTTATCTACATATCTTTGCGCAAAAAGCACGAAAACAAATGGATATCAATATATTTCATTTAATATTTATGTAATTTTTAGATTGTTCATATATTTCAAATTTGCAATTTATGGCAAATATTCCAACTCTTTAAAGCGCTAAATTAACAAAATTAATAAAAAACAGTTAATGTCTTATTTTTTTCAAAGTTAACCGATTATTAAAAGTATTAAAACTTTCATCTATATTAATGTCGCTTCTAAATTACAGATTATATTTATTGTGAATGATATTAAAAGTAAACAAAGAAAAAAAAAGTTTTAAAATGTTTTTATCTAAAGGAATTGAGTTTTTGCCACAAACACAAATTTTCTAATTATTTTATCTTTGCTCACTATTGATGAAAATCTTTAATATTTCAAACTTAGATTATTTGATTTAACATAATTCATATTTTGAAATATCAACGACATTGGGTTGCAAAGACATAAGGATTAGAAAACCAAAGTTTGTGGCAAAGACTTGCAATTCCTTCCTTTGATAAAATTTGTTTAATTTCTAGATGACGACAACAGAAAGAAGTATAATTGCGCTGTTTGCAGTAAACTTATTCAGGTAAAAAGAATGTATGGATAAAAAAATTAAATTTTTAATAACGCGAAAAGTGCTGAACTGCAGGCGGTTAGTTTAAGGGCGATTATATGTCCTCAAAAAATTGTAATTTCTAGAATTTTTGTCACGATTTATATTACTGGCTGAAGTGCCCGTGAAATTAAAAAATAACATCTAATTTTGACTAAACCCTAGTAATCAAGCACTAATCCTTCAAATTCAAATGTGTCATTTGATATCGAGATAAAACGCGTTGAAGTCTCTAGATTAGGGTTTGACCTCCTATCTGAAGGTACTAATGCAAGGAAAGTTATTTCAGAGGTGTACGCATTTTTTGTACTGCAGTGTACTGTCTTTGGGCGAAAAGTAAACAAAAGACGGATTCCACAGCCTGACATGGAATCCATTTTCACAAAAAAGTCTATGAAATATCTGGTCATAGGAAACTATTATGTGAATTATTAAAATTATCAAAATTAAATGCTTTAATCCTCCTCGGATACTAAACTACACTAATGCATCTATTCTTGTTTACAAATTCCGCCCAGAGAGAACTGGTTTTAATATGTACGCAGAGTATACACAACTGCAATTAAGTATCCTTGCATTAGTACCTTGTCCTGTCTCATGTACTAAAATATTATAAAATTTTTAATAAAATAATAGAAACAATATTGTACAGGGCCGGGTGATTACAGCTAAAGCAAACAAGTATCATCCCGAGTGTTTTGTCTGCACATATTGTAGAAAGGTATTGATAAATATTTATATTATACAGGCTTCAAGAATTCAGAACTTTTTTGTTGTGAAATCTCGAAAATTAAGAACTGAATTCCATGAATTCCATCTACTGACTAATTTAATTCCACTTTGATATCCCGTGGTGGCCTTTTGCAGGTATAACTATAGTTGAGGAAACAAGCATTTATCCTCAATATAGTACCCACATTGGATATCGAGATTAAGCGTTCATGATTAAAGATTGCACACAAAAATGCCGAACTCTTGCTGCCATCTTTCGAGTAATCTTGTATTTTCTCTTGAGAATAATTTCTATTATTAGATAATTTTTCTGTTTTCAAAATTAGGCTCTAAATTAAAAAAAATCAAAATTATTCTATGAGATTTGGAGAGCCAATAATAGTCTCCAAAAAAAAACTAAGAACCGTTGATTTCAACGTTTATTTGAAATAAGTAAACTGACAACCAGACAAGCCTAATAAATGTATTTTACCAGAAAGAAACTTTAAAAATGATTACGAAAAACAAAACTATTGACGGTTATATCTTTAAATACCAATACTAAAATAAATAAATTCATTAATTTGATATGCACCTATTCAATAAGATTAAAAGTCTGTTGTTGAGTGGTTAATATTATACTAAAATATATATATATGATGTTTTACTAAAATATTTATATATAATATTATACTAAAATATATATATATATATATATACCATAAAATAGTATTGCCTCAAGAAAGAGTTGTAATATTTGGGCCCAGGAACCTCCAGTTTTAGTACTTGGGCCCAGGAACCTCTATTTAGTATTCTGGCCCTGAAACTCAAAATACAGTATGAGATAGAACAAATGACCATAGACCGTAGACCAATCTTATTTAAAACAAATGTGAAATTATTTAAAAAGTTAAAGTCTTGAGAAAAAAATCACTTGTAAGAGGAAAATATAAAGATGTCTTTTGCCCACGAAGCCCAATAGCTTTTTTATGGTCTAAAGAAATTGAGTTTTGCCACAAACTTTGATGTCTTATCACTTTATCTTTGCAAACCAATGTCGTAGACCTTAGATATCTCAAACTATACATTTGTTTGATCAAAAAAATTAAAGTTTAAATATCACAGTTTTTCCACAGTTTATCTCATAAAAAACCTCTAAAACTTAAGTATATTTATTCTGAGAGCAAATTTAATGAATTTACCGCCGATTCAAATACTTGTCTGTAACTCTGCAGTGTTGTGGCTCAATTTCATTAAATCCGGTTCAAAGTTTTAGTTTCAGATATCTTCAAACATATCCATTCCAGAAAACTGGTCTTTAAATTTTATTCACATTCATACGGTTTCAGGGTCCTAGTATAATCTGAGCTGTTCCAGGGTCCTTGAAGTATTCAATACTCAGGCTTTTCTAGGGCCCATACCGCTACGGAAACATTTATTTACGTTTTGTTTTTATATTCTACCCGGTTCAATATTATATCATTGAAAGGGCTTACACATAACTTCAGTTACAATATGACCGCTCCAGTGATTACTTCACTTCTCCTTTTAGGTTAGCAATATTAACTAAACTTTTAAATTAGCAATTTTAAATAATTCCTTAGGTTGGCAATATCAACTAACCTTTCAGGTTGGCAATATTAACTAACCTTTCAGGTTGGCAATATTAACTAACCTTTTAGGTTAGCAATAATAACAAACCTTTTAGGTTAGCAATATTAACTAACCTTTTTGGTTAGCAATATTAACTAACCTTTTTGGTTAGGGAAAAATAGCTAAAGTCCTAATTTACGACCGAGTGCGGGTAAACGCAGGGTTCCCAGGCTAGTAAAATTTAAATGGAGTTATTTGAAAATAAAAGTTTAAATAAAACTGAGTATGATGAACTTTATGTCGGCAACAATCACTTTTTTTTACTAATTACCAGTTCATAATATCAAAACCAAACATCATTCAAATATTAAATATTAAAGGAACTGAGTGCTGGCCTTAAACTTTGTTTTACATTCCGTATATCTTTGCAACCTTGTCATACACCTTTCAGATTTCAATTTTTAGATAAAATAGCCAAAATATGTAATACCAAACACCATCAGGTTGCATAGATATAGGAATTTTAAATCGTGTAATTAGTTCATTTGCTTTACCATGGTCACCCTAAAAACTAATTATTTGTATTTTTTTGAAGGCTTGTTCTGGGTGTCCAGTGCCCGGCACTGGAAACATTTAGTCCAGGAACCCCTTACAATCTTATCTATTCATTTTTAACATTTATTAGTCAAAAATTTGATTTTTGAAATAGTAAAAATATTTATTTCTTGTAAATTTGGGTTAATTGAGGACGGAGAAATGTTATCCAGTAAACATCTAATCAAGAGGTAATTTTAATATTTTCAAGAACAAATTTTTTTTCATTTAATTGTTTAATTACCTTTAAAAGGACTGTCTTTGTAATTTCAAGTAAAACATTCCACTAAGAAAGCTGGGAGCATATCCAATTCACAAAGGTACCCTGCATACCTTTATCTAATCAACAATGAGAAGAAATTGTTATTGTAATTCTTGACTAGAAAAAAAAGTATTTAAGGCCACAACTGGGAATCGGGTAAACCAGGTTTTAAATGGAGAGTCACATGAAAATACGACTACAGTCTCTGTATATAAACTTCCATGTTTTNCTGAATCTATATATAGCGTGAGGGGGGGGGGATTATCCCCTCTAGAAAAGGCCTTAGATAATAGGTTAAGGGTTGAAAAGAACTTTTTTGGTTTGAACAAATATCAAAGTGTGATTCATGTTTCTACATCCATTTTTTAAGGGATTTTCAAAAATATTGTTTTTAGATCTGTGGCTTCAGTCACAAAAAAATTCTGGCCTGACTTTTTACCTCCCTGTACCCTACCTATGCATTAAAAAAATTGTTATACCAAAAATTCTTTAAAGATCAATTCATTAAAAGTCATTAAAATTCACGGTGATAGTGTAAAAACTGAGAGTGCTAGGACAAAAAAATAGATAGCCTGTTCAGGGTTAAAGGGACTGTGTCAACGTAATTTCAAATGTTACCAAAGGCCGGAATTTTTGTAAAAGACAAGCAAGAAAATTACCTATTTTAAAGCAAAATTGTTGACTGAAAGTAAAGCTTTTATCTAAGAAATGTGCTTGAAGTTTTATTTTGATTTTATCGTCTTAAAAATAAAATTTTTACTTTGTAAATGTAATATTTAGAAGCCCCGGGGGTGGTCTAGTTGATTTAGAGAGGCATGAAAGTGTGAAAAAGGGAAAACAGAAAAGGAGAGAAACTAAAATCAAGCCTAAGTATATTTTGATAAAATTATTATTTCATTTTTTTCATTATTTTATCCTATATTTTTGTAAAGAATATTTTTTAAAGACTAATTCACGAATTCCAACAAATGAAATATAAGTTCGCGTAAGAAACTGATCATTTGCCACAAACTCTATTTTTGAAATATGTATATTTCGGCAATCTGATATCGTATATATTCAATATTTACATAGATTTGAATAGACTGAACAGTAAAATTTGAAATATCAAGTCCTCAGATCCTTTCTAACATTTGCACGCCTGCTTATTAACAAAACCGAACATTTTTGGGATAGATAGATTCATGATGGGGTTTATACTTAAATTACGTGTTTTTGTAATAACTTGTTTACGATCATAGATCCGTGATCATGTTCTCCCCAAACTGATCAGTGCTCATTTTCACCCTAAATTCCCACAAACTCAAATTTTCTAATAGCTAAATCTTTGCAACCTGATGGTGTAGACCTTTGATATTTTAAAAAATTAAAGTGTAAACTTTCTAAGGTCTACTATAGACTTGAAAAGAATTCAGAATTAAAAAGCCAAGAATGAGTGGAATAACAAAGCATGGTTGCACACACACAATATATTTACATTATAACGATGCAAACGATTATTGTTGGACCAACTAAAGTTGATCTAAATATACATGACATTCGGCAGGGACATATGTTGCTATTCGACTCTTCTGATCAGATGCTTTGTGCTAACTGAATCCCCTATGGAACTCCAGGGCTAAGATCGTCGTCAATCTGCTTTCTCTGCCGGCAAATAAATGCCTTTCGTCTTGCTATCTCCAAATAAGAAGGAGGGTTCAGTACCATGTCCCTCTAAACTCTTTCTTCTTTCTACAGCATCGAAGCTTGCACCCTGCGGCTGGCGGGTGGTAACTCTAGATAAGAGAAGGGGTTCGATACCCTTGTCTCCCTACACTGTTATGTATTTAAGGCTGAAAACATACCCAGAGTTCAATACCTTTTTGGACTGAATCTGGATTGTTTGGCTTTATTCTTAGATTGCATTTGTTATGTGCATCATTTCTCCGACAATGAACTTATATGAGATTATGTACATAGGGATAAACCCTGGTTGGGTTCACACTACAAAATCAGATTCTAAATATATTAGATTGTTCAGCCCTTCTCTCTCTCTCTCTCTCTCCAGCTCAACCAGTATCCTTGATAAATACTGAACCCTGCTCGGCATTATATTATAATAGGGAATCCCTGAATCCGTTACCAGGAAATTGTCTTTTTTTTATGCGAATCACAATAAAACCTGAGGAGTTCACACACAAAAAAGTGAACATTGTCCCATATATAACCTGAGAAGTGATATCGAGGACACCTTGTCATTATTAACAAGGGATATATATAAAAACATCCATTTATAAGCATGGATGCTCTAAAGAGGAATAGAGTCTTTGTTACAAACTGTTCAAAACTTCAAATAATCAAGTAATCTAAGTTTGAAGTTTTAAAGAATGATACCATCAAGTTGCAAATATATAGGGATTATACAATTTGAGTTAGTGGAAAAATACTCAATTCCTGTAGCCTAATTATTTTAATTTTTACATAGTGAGGAGTGCGGTGTACAGCATGTACAATTTACTCCCCCTGAACATAGTAGGTAAGTGGCGTATTTTTATGTGCATTGATTTTTAATGTACTGGTTTATCCAGGAGTAAAGGCTTGTACATTTCTGCAAATTATAATTATTTGATCTACCATAATGCATTGTTAACTTGCAAAGATAAATGGATTATAAAAAGATTAAAATGAGACATGTAATCAGTGCCATACACTTCAACATATGTGATCTCTCTTAATTTGCACATAAAATTACTTACCCAAAGACAAGGCAGAACGGAACTGAACACTCGTCACGAATTCTAATTTTCTAATTTCTATCTTTTTAACCTTATGTTGTAAATCATTGATATGTTTGAAAGGTTTATGCCATCAGGTTGCAAATATTTCTGGAGTGTGTGGCGAATGTTAAGTTCCATAGTACAATATTATTTCTTAATGCAAACTGTACAGAACGGTGAAAAGGCTAGTCGGTGTACAAAAAAAATTTAAAATAGCCAACAACTTTTCGTTATTCAAGCTATTGATAAAAATTTAGATTTTTGAAAACATGTGTCACATTTTATTACACAAAAATATTTTTAACCTTTTTTACCATCTTTTTAAACTTGTGTATGCATATGTATACAAAAGTAAGCTTTAGCATCTGAACTATCGAAGTGTTTTAATGAACATGTTTTGCAACTCCGGACCTTTATTACTCAAAGGTTTTTTTCATAAGGGGGGGGGGGCGTCCCTGTCTATGCATTGATTCAGAAAAATATCCGTAAACAATACAAAACTATAGTTGCTTATTATATCATTACACATATGGACGTACTGTAGACCCATTTTTATTTATTTGGGGTTTTAAACTTGAAAGAATTCTTTTATCCAAAAATATATAATATGTAATATTCTAGCTGTAAAATAACTTTGAAATTAATTTGTGCTAAAGCATGGATGTGAATTCACATGTTATATATATGTACCATTTACAAAAATATGTTACATTTGCACTCATAACGGTACGGTGTACAATTGTATTGTGTATGTTTGCATTGTAAACAAAAGTAAGCTTTAGCTATACATGTAAATACTGAATGTGCCTTTACATAAATTTAATATATACATTTGTAATGTTTTGGGTTCACAAATGTAGGATGTATAGATGAAAAATGTTTTTCTGTACTGTACATGAATTTTTTCTTCTTCAAGAATGCCGCGTGTATATAAATGTATTGTCTAGAATGCTGCGTACATGTACTATATGAGCCCTATGTACAGTGAACGTGAATGTATTGTCAAGAATATTGCGTACATGTACTGAATGAATCCTTTGTACAGTATATAACGTACACTGTATAGTGCAGTATTGTGTACAGTGCTCATGAACGTATTGTCTAGAATGCCGCGTATTCGAAATGGTACTTGTGCCCCCTATGGATCTTTACCGTGGACAGCGCAAATACAGGTTATATAGATTTTACTGTTATATTGTGGTATCCTCAAGGGACTGAACATGTAGTTTCTATTAAACCCCTATATATAGATTTTACTGTTATATTGTGATATCCTCAAGGGACTGAACATGTAGTTTCTATTAAACCCCTATATATAGATTTTACTGTTATATTGTGGTATCCTCAAGGGACTGAACATGTAGTTTCTATTAAATCTTAATATATAGATTTTACTGTTATATTGTGACATCCTTAAGGGACTGAACATTTAGTTTCTATTAAACCCCTATATATGGATTTTACTGTTATATTGTGGCATCCTCAAGGGACTGAACATGTATATATAGAGTACCCTAACTTTTAACCCTTTGTCTTATCGTGGATGTTAAGTTTTCTAACTAAAATTGACTATTTATAATTGTAATGTCTCCGTTAAAATGACTTTAAAATTTGAGAGAAAATTAGGAAAACTACTAGAATTCAGTACTTAGTAAGGTAGAAAACCTTCTTTATTGTTACTCAGATAAAGGTTATGAATCTGACATGCCACTCTATAAATGCAGGAGGTTCACTTGAAATCATGTCTACATTCCCTTTAACGATTATACAGGCTTTTCCCAGTTATTTCCATTAATTTCGTGTTTCCGAATCTTGGTTTTGTTGCTGTGTTACTCTTAAGTTGCAAATTAGGTTCACCCATCCAATTTTTTTTGCTGTTTAACTATTTTTCGCAATCTAAAGCTGCAGGCAATCAACTGCGCATATTTTGGAACTTCCTAATATCGAGTAAAATACAACGGTCATTTAACTGTCATCTCAATATGCAATTTAAAATTCGACTCAGTTAATATTTATGTTACATTCATGACTGCATTTAAAGCCGGCATGCATTTTGCATTTCAAGCAGCATAGCAGACTTTACATTTAAATGAGACGGCATGCTGCATGCTTAAAAGTTCAGTTATCACCAAAACTACATTCTAAAGTAAAATTTTTAGATTATACATGACGGTGACTATATATTGTTTAGATTATACATGACGGTGACTATAATATTGTTTAGATTATACATAACGTACATAACGGTGACTATATATTGTTTAGATTATACATAACGGTGACTATATATTGTTTAGATTATACATGAAGGTGACTATAAATTGTTTAGATTATTCATAACGGTGACTATATATTGTTTAGATTATAAACGACGGTGACTATATGCATCATTGCGGAGGAACTATCATTTCTGAAAACTATATTCTAACAGCTAGTCATTGCTTTGGGTAAGAATGGTTATTGCAATAATTAGTAACTAATTAAAAAATAATTCAAATAAAAGAAATAAAAGAAATAAAAACAGGAGTATAAAAAATTACAATGAAAAAAACTAATGTCTTAAGTTAAGAGTAAAAAAGGCGAATTATTTCTACTTTATTTCGTAAGCTTAATTTATTTTTCATAAATGACTAATGATAGAGCGGTAGATGTCAAAGTTGAAATTTGAAAAATTAAAGGGACTGTAAGCGTAATTTCAAGTGACCCTCAATACAAAAGAGGGCAACGGTTGCATGTAGAGTCACTTGAAATTACGCATTCAGTCCCTTTAAGTGTCACATAAAGTTTTAAATCTTGACCTCATTATATGAAGTTACGTCTAGAGTCCCTTTAAAGGAAGTGACCGCCAATGTTATGGTGGTTGAACTGAATATTTTGTATTGTGGAAAAACTTTTTAGGATTTATTTGAGACATATAAAACGTTTCTACGACGTATATTTACTGAGTTTGAGCGCAAAGTCGACGTTCAAAATTATAAAGTTGGGTGAGTACGTTTTCAGAATCGGTTTTTAAACTTTTTTAAATAACGCCGACAAAATATGTAAACAAAATTCTACAGTAAACTAATTAGTTGTTTAGGAACAGGTTTAGAACATAAAAAAAAATTAACTATTGTCATTGAAAATAAGTAATCTTATTCAATTATTAGTTTCTGTAACCTCTCATTATTCACAAAGATTTTCTGCAGATTTTCTGGAATTTTTATTAAAAAGACGAAATTTGCAGATTTATTGACAAATGAATTGAATTTTAGCCACAAACTCTGATTTTCTAATCCCTATATGTTTACAACCCAATATTGTATATATTTGATATTTCAAACTTATGTTAGATAAAATAATCTAAGTTTGAAATATCAAAGGTTTTAACCATCAGGTTGTAAAGATACGGAAAGTTAACAATTTGAGTTTGTTGCAAAAACTCAGATCCTTTCTTTTGAGAAATATGTTCCTAAACATCTAATTAGTTTACTGTAGAATGTTTACTATATTTTTCGTCGTCTTTATTTCATAGTTGAAAAATACGATTCTGAAAACGTACCAACCCAAGTTCATGATTTTGAACGTCAAATTTGCGTCAAACTCAATAAATATACGTCGTAGAAACTTTTACATGTCTCAAATGAATCCTAAAAACAATTGTCCACAATACTACATATTCAGTTCAACGACCATGCCGGTCACTCCCTTTAAGGATAATAATTAACATATAAATAGGAGCTCATCAGACTATGGAATAATGAAGGTGGTGGTTGGGCAGGACGGGATGGGGGTTCAGGAGAACAAGGAGATGGGGTTCCAGATAGAGAAGGTCTTCAGACACAAGAATTATCAGTGAGTTAAACAATAATTTTCTTAATTTATAAGACTTGGGAAATTTATGGTTAGATACCCAAAATCCCGATCATTTGATATCCACAGGTGGGCACTTTTGATGTTTACCTGGAATGTTTTCCCAATTCTAAACTTTACAGTTGTAACTAATTGTACTGTTAAAGGAATGTTTCAATTTAGATTTTGAATCTTAATTTTCTTCATTGAATATCAAATATCTTTAATGTTTAGCTAATTTTACTTTCAGGAGTGAAGGACCATACAGCCATGACATTGCATTGATTAAACTAAAAAGTAAAGGAGATGGTAGAGGGATAAGGTACAAAGTGTTAAAAGTTTATTTTAATTCAAAAATAAATTGATTGTTTTATTTCAAGTTGACTTGAATTAATCTGGAATAAATTATTAAAACATGATGGATTACTTTGGAAATATATTAAAGCGACGTGTACTTCTGAATTTAATGCACTGATTTAATTTCATATAGTATTACAAAAATGCTACTTTGGGTAAATTAATATAAAATGTTAATTTTAATTTAAGAATAAATTCATTTTTAGGGTCGGGTCGTTTATCTATCAATATCTAAATTTTAAGTTACGTGTTTGATTGTTTATATGTTGTCAAAAATTATGGTGGTTTATACTTAGAAAATACAAAAACTTTAACGACATGTATCTCCGAATGAATGTTTCTTTGGGTTCTATATAACAAATGTTTACAATCAAAATAATAAACAACCAGTGCAGTGTGATCATTATTTCAATTTATACAGAGCACTTTATACTGAAAAACATCCACGATTTTTTGATGATTTGCAAAAAAAATTATACAATTATGGGGTCCCTAAACAGAATTGAGTCTATGCCACAAACTCTGATTATCTAATTCCTATAGCAATGCAACCCAATGTCGAAAAATAATGTAAATTTAAAATTTCGAAGGTGTAAATCTTTAGTTTGCAAGTAAATAAGGATTAACAAATTTTATTTTTTGGCAAAAACTCAATTTCTGTATGTCAAGATAAACATGTAGATAACTTACATTAAAATTTGTTGGGATTTTCTTCATCCGGTTATTTTTTTGCTTTGCTAAAGTTTTGACGTACAAAAGTTTCCATTTTTTCCAAACTGAATTTTTTTAAAGATTTTCCCCGGAAGTCCAGCAAATATGTTTACCGAATCCAGAGGATAAGATTAAAGACGACCTCCAGTGTGTAATCAGTGGCTGGGGAAAAACTGATCGTAAGTATTTCCTTTAAATCTTTCCAAAGGTCAGTCAATAAAATATAATTGAGTGTGTGTTCTTTACGAAAATATTACACAAAACAACAGAGCTGAAGCTACATTTGTTGAAAAATTTAAAAATAACAAAAAATATTTGAAAAAATGCAGATGGCTGAAATGAAATTTAACGGGGGCGTCAAATAATTTGTTGTTTTAATTCTTTTAGCCCTTTGTTCGATTCGATTTTAACTTTTGAGTCGGCTTTTTTCATAGAACTCTGCAATAAACAACAATGTCAAGAATTTTTTTTCTGTCTAAAAATTAGAGTTGAGGCAAGGTTTCACTGTTAAGTTCCTTTGCGGACGAATTTACGGAATAAAAACAATTTTCCTGATTTTGTTTAATATTATTATTGACAATTTCTTTTCTTTTTAACATACTGTTCGTTCGTTTATTATTTTTATTTCATTATTTTCTTATGAATAAGTTATGATTACTTTGTTTAGCATCCGGTCCTGTTCGTCCTGACTGTTTACGAGCTGCAACAATACCAATCATAAACCAGGACAAATGCGAAAAAATGTATACATATTTTAGCCAAGGAGTTCTTAAAAGTAAGTTTTTTTCTAAATAATTTAGTTTTTAAATTTTTTAAAATAGTTTTCTTGCAAAAATTAACTTTTACCCTATTTACCCTGGGGGGGGGGGGGGTCAAGTTGACCACTCTTTCGTTTTTTGCGATAAAAGATTTGAGCTAGGAAGCTCAAATTTTCTGAATTTTCTAATTCATGCCCTTTACCTAAGGAAAAAAACTGGTCTTTTATACTTGCCATGCCTGAGTCCCCACTCCCCAGGCATACTGTCTTATTTTAACTATACCAGACTAAATCTATATTTAGACCTACTTCCAGTCGTTGGATTTCAACATTTTAAAGCTCTTTGGAAAGTCTATAACAAAAGCAGATTGCACAACTTTTGCAAAGAAACTTTGCACAGGGTTTTGCACAGACACAATTTAATGGAATTTTTACAATTTCATTCTTTTTAATACACATTTAGGTTTTAAATATTTTGCAATTGTTTTTGTTTTATTTTCATTCGCTGGGTTAAGGGCTTTTCAAAAATGTAGAATTTGTTGCAATTTGCGCAACTTTTTTGTGTTCATTTTTTGCTTAATAACTAGATTTCGCAATAAATATTTAGATTTTTGAAAACTTGCCTTTTTTTAGATTATTAAAGTAAAGCCTAAGGGCTTTCCAAAAGCTTAGCAAATGTGATATATTTGTATCCCGATAAAAAAATAGACAGGGGCCCCCCCCAGGATCCAGACATGAAACCAGACGTCAGGATAAATAGGGTTAAGTCAGGAATTTCCTCAGTCAATCAAAAATATTTTCATCAGGAGTTTTGAAATTGAAAAATATACATTCAGTCAAGGATATTAAAACTTGTCTATAGTAATGTTAAAGTCAGTCAACTTTTAAACCAATAAGTTCTAACTTTTAGATTATTATGTTTTAGAGTTTTAAGTCGGAGATTTATTTAAAGTAGGATGAGTTAAAAAATAGCTAAAGGTTTTCTAAACTAAGGTTAATTGAGTCAGTAGTTTTTAAAAGTAGGTTTTTTTCTATTTTTCTTACACAATTCAGCCTTTTAGTTCTTCAGTATACAGAATATGGTTTACGTAAAATGATTTAAGTAAGGGTGTTCTAAAAATAAGTTGCAACCCTTAAATATTTCTGTAAATTCAGTAAATTTTCGTCAAAGTACAGATTTTCCTGAAAAATTTAGGTGTTTTTCTTTTTTTAAAGTATGTTAGTCAATGATTTCTTGAAATTAATATTTATCTAAAAATTGTTCAGTTAAGAACATGTCTTCTTGCATGTCTACGTGATAAAAACTTACGAGAAAATCAGCTAATTAAAATTGCCTAAACCTTATATTTTTGCAACCGGATACCTTACATTTCAAGCTAAGAATGCTTAGTTTAATGGGACTGCTTAGTTTAAAGGGACTGTGATTTCAAGGTACCCTCTATTAGTACAGTACCGTGTACGCTTCTACAGAAACTCTTTTAACTTTTCGAGTCAGAAAAACAACGGTATCTTCCACATTTTCGATCAGATTAAGGATCCAAGGGTACCGTTGTAAATCGGGCATTGCCATCTTTGCAAGGAGGGGGTCATCTTGAAATTACACTTACAGTCCCTTTAAACATTAATACTATTTAGATATGGTGTGTGCTGGGTATACTGAAGGAGGAGTGGATGCCTGTAAAGGGGACAGTGGGGGCCCTCTCTCATGTTTAATAGATGGTAGATATCGTCAATCAATCAATCAGTTTTGATTACTGACTAATATTGAGAATAAAAAGGATAAAATTCTTACTAGAGAGTAGGATTGGGATTTGTGTGAAACCGATCTCTAAAGTCCTCACAAAATGAATAACTTATTATCCTGGCAAAATCATTTTTTGAGAACAAAATTAACTTATAGATATTATATATTACTCTTAGAAAAATTAGAATTAGTTCAAAATTAAAACCACAGAAAAATTCATTGATAATCCATAAGATATGAGTCGTACGATAAATTGCATATGGAAAAGGGGTGTCGTTTGCAGTCCAAGTTATTTTGGGCCCCTCCGTATCATATACCTTGGCTATACTATATGTTTTGTTAAGGTTCCTATAAACTGGTTGGTATTGTTAGTTGGGGGCATGGATGTGGACAGGTTCATCATTTTTTGTCATTTTTCATAATTATCATCATTTAAATTTTTTTATCTTTTTGCACAATAGATTTTAAGAGACTAAATTGACTAGAATCAAATTATGGTTTTTGGATCAATAGATTTCCCAATAAGGAAAAAGATTTTTTATAGAATGTTTTTCATTTGCTTGCAATAAACCAGCAAAAAATCCGAAATTTCGGTTAGTGGATTTATGGGTTTCTCGATAAAAAATCTCGCACATAAACAATATCTTAATCGTTAATAAAAAGGTTCTAAATTCGCATAAAATTTATGCACAACATTGTTCAAATAATTATTACTTAAGCTTCAATTCTTTTTCAATATATGGGTTTTGTTTTTAAATTGTTCACAAAAAAGTTAAAAAGTCAAGGCCACATATACGATTTTAAATTTGAACATGTCACGGCCAAGACATGTTTTTGAAATTCTTTTGTTTACTAAACGTTTTTTAAACACCACTGTTCAAACTAAGCTATAATGAACTGAGTTTTTGCAAAAACGTAAATTTGCTTTATATATCTTTATATATTTGCAACCTGATGGCGTAAACCTTTGATATTGTAAACTTAGACTATTTGATCTCATAAAAATCATAGTTTTAAAATTAAAGGTTTACGACACCAAGTTGTGAAGACTTAAAAATTAAAGTTGTTGTAGCAAGTTATCAGTCCCTTTAAGGTCTAATTCTAAATTTAAAAAGAATTGTTTCATTAATTATTTATTATTCCAGGCAAATAAACCCGGTGTGTTCACACGAGTTCAATCCTTTCTAGACTGGATTGAAAACAAGATGGAGTAGACTGGATTGAAAACAAGATGGAGTAAACTGGATTGAAAACAAGATGGAGTAAACTGGATTGAAAACAAGATGGAGTAGACTGGATTGAAAACAAGATGGGTAGAAAATTAAAAACAAATTTGCACAGCGTACATTATACCTTAAAGCAATCAGAAAGGCTGAAATTAGTCAACTACTAATTATAATTCATGTTTAAAGAAATGGAAATTTTCACCAAACCTCTTAAAAATGATCAATTTGATCAAATTAAACCTTAAAGAAAGTCTTTTAGAATATTTGGATTTTACAATCATTAAATACCTCACTCTTTGTGTATCCATAATCTACAAAAACCAAATTTTATATCGATTAATGTTTTCTCGTTTTTTACATTTTAGTGTTTCGCTTATCATTTAATGGCTGTGAAAAATTATGTAGAATTAGTATGTTTTTTTTAAACCAAAACCAGTGGCCATTTTTTGCATTTCACATTTACTGTCATTCTTTGCTTTAGCCGTTTTTTGAATTTATACCGTTTGAATATAATTTTTTTAGTAATTTAATTATTTAGCATATTTTATATAATGGTTTTATGTGTTTGATGCACTAATATTTATTTATTTATTTATTTATATATGTATAATAAATATTTCTTTGAAAGTTCATATTTTCTTAAATTTAAATTAAATGCAGATTTCGATGAAACTTCGGCCTATTGTGTTCCAGATAATTTTTAATATATGGCATTCGTAGTTCCGCTTTATAATTGTTTAAATCAGACTGCAGACATTGTTAAATAAAATCAGGTTGCTTGTGCTATGCTACGATTAAATCTGATAAATGTATTTTATTGGTAGGTAACCATTTCAGTGGAACCAGAGGAGTTCCCAGAGGGAGGTGGCTAGGTGGGCTCAGCCCACCACCTTCACGGGATTATTAAAAAAATCCCCCCCCCCCACTCCCTCTGAACAAATTCCTGTGTACACCCCTAAATAGTACCCATCTCTGAATAAATAGATCTCAGCGAAGATCACTATGAGAAACAGAAACTTTTTAAAAATGATTGTAAACATCTTGATTCTTGATTATATTAGAAATATGAATGAATTTTAAAAACCGGTTTCAGTGTTGAATCCAAAAGGAACTGAGTTCTTGCAATAAATTCTTTTTTAAATCTCTATTTCTTTGCACCCCGATGTTATAGACCTATGATATTTCAAACTATGAATTCTGTTGGATCAAAAAGCCTAAGTTTGAAATATCAAAGGATTACTTCATGAAGTAGTAAAGATATAGGGATTATAAAATTTAAGTTTGTGGAAAGAACTCAGTTTCTTTGTTAAAAAAGGAAATGAAAAAATCTAAAGTTGATTCAAATTTTATTGCAAAATTATATTTGTAGTTAAGTACATTTACTTCGTAAAATTCCAAGGACAAATCGAACCGGTCCTTTAGGGGCTGTAAACCGATCCTTTAGGGGCTGTAAACCAGTCCTTTAGGGGCTGTAAACCGGTCCTTTAGGGGCTGTAAACTTAATTTTAAGGGACCCTCCATTGATAGAGTGGCATGTCCAATTAACAGTATCCTTAAACGCTTTTTTATGATCAAGAAGAAATAAGATAATAAATAGCCTTGTTTTTTAACTGATTATATTATTTGAGGTTTCATTTTAAAAATGTCTTGTGCATTTCTTGATTAAGAAACAATGAAGAAATTATCAGAGTTTGAAACTTTTCAAGTCTGAAAACCGACGTGGTCTTCAACATTTTTGATCAGATTAAAGTCTCAAAGTCTTGATCTGGAGATTCTCTCAAAATTACGGAGATAGTCCTTTTCAGAATTTACAAAAAATATCGAAAAATAATAAAAACTATAATTAAGAATAAATATTTTTTTATCATTAAGCAAATCATAAGAATAAAAACTGAATAAATAAAAAGAATTTCATATTGCTCTAAATGAAATGTCTAAATAAGCTTAACAATAATTTTCTATTTTTGCATCTAAATATAAAAATTCGATTTGTTTATCACATATATTTATTTTAAAGTTGCTCTACTATGACTTTATAACATCACCATTTCTTTGTAAAATTTACAGTATCGGTTGGATTACGTACAATCCAAAAACAATGATGAGGGTAGGGGAGGGAAGGGGGATGGTAATTATTTTAGTGAAAACTTAGAGTTTTTGTTATGTTTTAAGGGCCCTGGCTACATATAAAGTAACTTTTCGTGCTTCTAGTAATTAAAATATTGTAAAACAGTAAAGTGTCCAATGTGTTGTACAGTACGGTATGTACAGGAAACGTACAGCGTGTACAGTACTGCTCTAATTAGATCCATTAGTTTGCCCTTCACCGTTCTCTTTAGGTTGATGCTTAGGAGGTTCCAGGTGCTTAGGTAGTTCAGCAGGCAGCTCATGACCAGACAGCTTTAACCTGATAATAATAATAATAATGATAATAATAATAATAATAATAATAATGATGATAATAACAAAAAGAATAGAATATAAAAGAGTGGAATTTAAACAATCCCTCGGTTTGAATTTTGTCAGTCCCTTTCAGCCTGAAAGGGAGTTCAAATTCATGTAAATCACATTAATACAGTATGATCCCTTGACATATCCATTCCAATTTCTTTGTTTTATGAAGTTGTTAAATAACTTTAATCGTGTGTATTCGCTCTTGGTGTATTAAAATCATTATTGTATTTAACATTGAAATGTTAAAAGTGAAGCATATGCTGAATTGAACTCGGGAATGCATGGATCGACAGGCTTTAAGAGAATTGATTGAGAGAAAACCGAATAATTCTCAAGAAAACTTTTCTATAACTTGATGTTCTAGGTGGGCCCAAAAGGTTACATAGCACAAATGTGTGAAGTACACCTGCAGTATGGAAACAGTATAAGAAAATGGTCGTTTTACACTTTTTTCAAGTACATTCCACTCTATGTATTATATATTCTTTTTGGATAATGATAATAATGACAATAATAATAATAATAATAATAAGAATAATAAGAATAATGATAATAATGATAAAAAAATAATAATAATAATGATGATAATAACAATAATAATTATAAAAAAACATCCAGAAATTATTATGTTATTGAAAAACTTTAGATAAATAAAAATTACCTCACAAGGTATTTTGCCAGAGCAAACTCATCTGCGTTTAGAAATCCGTCCCTGAAAGTTTATGATTACATCATCTAACACATTGTTGTATGTGAGCACCAAGCACTGGCAGGTCCCACAAAAAATGTCAGTTTCGGTTCAGTCGTTTAGATTAAACAAATATCAGGTATTTGAATCTGTACTGTCATCCTTTGTGGAGAGGGGTTCAATGGAACATTCACAGTAATTTTTTGCACAGCATTTTCGCACAGCATTTTTGCGAAAATTTGTGAATTATCCGTTAAATTCTAAAATGAATGATGATGACATGGACTCAAACAAGAACTTTGGAAACAATAAGACTGAATTTAGAGAATGAGATACCAAGGTGTGAGGACTCTAAGCTTTAAAAATAGGGTATCCCCACAGAGAATGACACTGTAACGTATAAAATTCGTAGATCCACATAATAAGATCCCGTGATTCAGGCGAGTATATAAACATGATTTTCTGAGTACCCTGTTAGCACATTTCTCTTATCTTTTCATTCAGCGGTATACATTTTTAAGAATTGAATCCCCCACCCACCCACTCCGGGGGAGGAGGGGTACGACATTAAAAAACTTCTGCACCGTGCAAATATGCTAACATTCGGGGGAGGGGGGGGGTAAATTAACCCTGCTTTTTAAAAAGATTAATATGTGACTAAACCTGTTATTTTTCCGTCAACTTTCTCCAGGGTTTCAAAAATTTTATCTGAGGTCTCTCTATCTCTAAAATAAAAACAAGAATTAAAAAAACCCTGAAAAAATATTTTCAATAAAATTGCTAGAAAAAGTGTAATTTGATCAGTTCTGTTGTATACCCTGCATTTCTATACTTTGAAACTATCCATATCTTGTCTCCTAGTTCTGTATGCCCTCCCTTTATATACCTTGAAACTATTCATATCTTGTCTCCTAGTCCTGTATACCCTACCTTTATATACCTTGAAACTATCCAGATCTTGTCTCCAAGTCCTGTATACCCTCCCTTTATATACCTTGAAACTATCAAGATCTTGTCTCCTAGTCCTGTATACTCTCCCTTTACATACCTTGAAACTATCCAGATCTTGTCTCCTAGTTCTGTATACCCTCCCTTTACATACCTTGAAACTATCCAGATCTTGTCTCCTAGTCCTGTATACTCTCCCTTTACATACCTTGAAACTATTCAGATCTTGTCTCCTAGTCCTGTATACCCTCTCTTTATATACCTTGAAACTATCCAGATCTTGTCTCCTAGTCCTGTATACCCTCCCTTTATATACCTTGAAACTATCCAGATCTTGTCTCCTAGTCCTGCTTGAATGCCCTCCCCTACTGGCATAAAATCTCGTTTAAAGGCTCCCCCTCCCACCCTCTTCATGTCCTCTCCAACCTTCTAAAATAAAAAAATTAATTTTTTAGATTTTGATAATTTTTTGTTAAAATTTATCTAGCAAGAACTGTTTTAAATGTTAAGGATTATTAAAATGTGTAAATTGCAGGACAACTGTTTTAGATTACACCAGCTGAAGAGCCCGGCGTTGCCCGTGGAATTTTTTTTTTACGAAATCATATTGAATAAAAAATTTAGCCTGTGTCACCCCCATGCTACCCATGAGTTTCCACAAAAAATTTAAGCCCATTCGGTCCAGCCGCTTTGCCGGCTAGATGGAACAAAGGTGTATATGAATGTCTTGTTTTATTATTACATGATTAACACAGCAACATGGAACATAATAGTTTAATTTGTTAACTAGGTGAAGGTTATGATTCATGTGCAGTGTTCTTTCGCGTACAGTCTTTTTTAATCAAATATCAAATGTTAAACCTACCAAGTTATCGTGTGGTAACATTTGCATAACTCTCGTTATATCATCTGATAACACATTATCTAAAATATTTTTTATAAAATTAAGATTTTTATTTAAGTTAGATTTCATAAAGACAGAAGACTGAAGAATTATAAATTAAATTTTTATCCTCCTTCAATAAATCCAAAAATTATATAATCATGATTTAAAATTGACATCTATTTATAAATTTGGCTTGTCTGTCTGTTTGTTTGTATCCAATAAACGTCAAAACGGCTGAACCGATCGGGCCCAAATTTTTTGTTGGACCTCACGTGACCACAGGGAAGGTTTATGAATGATCAAAATTTCAAATATTTGTCTCCATCAAAATTCGATCTTCATTAAATTTTTGAAAATTTTGAAAATCCATTTAAAATTAACATATAAGCATACTTTAAAAACATTACCTTTATAAAATCATACTTTTCTAGTTTTGCTTTCATAACTTGAAGATCAGGCATATCCGCTGCAGGGATACCGTATTCTGCCTGATCAAATCAAATTAATCAATTATTTTATAAACAAAATATAAGTATTTATAATAAATATACATATGTAAACTTTTGTTGTTGTGTAGGATGGTAGACTGAAGTGGTTGACAGACACACTATAAAGTCATTCTCATTTAGGAATCATAGAAACTTAGAACAGTAATTCATAAAACAGCAAAAATATCTAGTTGCTTGAACATTCATAGCTAGTATAGGTTATTAAACTCAAGGTATTCAGATTTGAAAGCTGAGACAGTTTTACTTTGCATAACTTTCATTATCTGGATTCTGGATCAATCAAATTAGACTTAGACTAGCAGAGATTTCTAATGTATATTTCATATTGATATTAATATTCTAAGATTAGAGTATTCATGGACTTTTTGAATGATGAAAAAAAGTTTTTTTACGCTTGCTCCTATCTTGGATACTGCTAGCTCAACTGCATTAAAACTTCTTTTTTATCAATTAAGAACATAGTTTTTATTTATTGTCAGTTTATAATAAATGAAAAGCTAGACATTTAAATGTATTTAATTCTGAAGGCATAACACATTAAGATCTAAAACTTGCAGACGAAACTCGGGTATTTCAATTCTCAATTCACAATATTAACAAGTGTAATCGTATACCATCTTTTTTTTAGATTGGAAAGTTGGCTTATACAATTATATATTTGTAAAAATAAAAAAATGAAAACATTTTTTGAACCCTCTTTTTGAGCATGCCTGTTTATATGTGAGGTTGTAAAGTTCACCAACTGTCAAAAATTGCATAAACATCATCTTGTATATTTTCATAATCATTAATTTGTCTCTCCACATACTTTAATATTTTAGATTTAAAGCTATCATGCATCATCTTCTTAAAATGTGTACATCTTAGTTTTAGACTCAAACGTATGGGGGGGGGAGGACAGAAAGAATTGTTAAACAGAAATCCTCTAAATTTTCAATGATTTGAAGGTTTATTTATTACGCATTATTATTATGATTATTTTTAATTTTAACAAAACCTTTTTAATCAATTTACTATCCATATTCTTTGTATATAAAGATTAACCTGGATGATTTCGAAGTGTTTGTCTAGGTGTTTAATAAGTTCTTTTTTCTTTCCATTTCTACCAATAGCTGGCATCTGCCGTCTCAAGTAGCTCAATATAATCGCATTCACTTTTACGTTCCTTGTTCTCTTTATAAGATCATTCATTTTCCTAAACAATGGAATATGGAACGCATTAATTATCACGTTCCTAGTTATCATTATCGTTAATGTTTCTGAATTGTTTCGAACCTGGAACGCTAAAAAGTTACTTTAATTTAATCTTTTATTTTCTAACAATAGAACATGGAACATTAATTATCACGTTCCTAGTTATCTTTATCAGATAGTTAATATTTCTAACTTGTTTCGAACCTGGAACGCTAAAAAGTTATTTTACTTTAATCTTTTATTTTCCTAAAGAATATCGAACATCAATTGCGTTTACTGCATTTTCGTAGTTTTTTTTTATTTTGTAGTATTTTTTATATATATTGGAAAACGGAACATTAACTTTTACGTTCCGTGTTTATTAACATGGAACATGGAACATTTAATATGCGTGCACTTAAAGGGAGTGTTTGCGAAAAATATAAGGGGGGTATATATATATATATATATATATATATATAAATTAATTAAAATATATTATAAAATATAAACTATATACAAATGTGGCGAAAGATAATCGATGACTATAGGTTGTAATACCTGAATGATTTGTTTAAAATTAAATTAATTTTTTACGGTCTAAGTCGTATGTTGCAATTCTCTGAATTTGTAAAGTTATTCGGTATGAGACATCTTTAACAATTTTCGCCTGATAGACGCATCAGATAGAAGTAAGATTTGTAGCGATTAAAACCGCTTTTTTATCGCATTAAGCCTGTACCCCCTTTCATTTTTCGCGAACACTCCCTTTAAACGTTTCTTTTTCTCTGTATCAGATCGTTCATTTTTCAAACAATGCAAAATGGAACATTAGCTATCACGTTCCTTGTTTTCTTAATGAGATCGTTCATTTTCCAGACAATGGAACATGGAACATTAAATATGCTTTTTTAACATATATATAATTACCTAATAGTTGCAAATCTGGGTAAATTCTGTAGATCATTAACCAGATCTTCCTGTTCAGCCTCAAACAGATCTCTAAGTATACAAAACTATTATTATTATATGTAAACATACAGTGGTATCCATCGTTTAGGTTTGTTTTGTAAAAGTTTGATAAATCTTAAGATTTAAAAACTGTATTATATTAAAGCTTGCTTTTATTTAACTTCAAAATACCTAAAATATATATATGCAAAAACCATCCGAAAACAAATGATCGTTCTGCATCGTTTTTGGATCGTTTTTGGGTTATTTTTTACACAAATAATCAAAAGTACCTGTGCTTTTTATACACTATGCTAAATTTTGATCCTAAATGACAATATTAACAAAAAACGATCCAGAAACGAACCTGAAGGCACATCACTACAAATGATTTAATGCCGAAATGTCCGATAAACAGCAGAATTAGTGTCGTATTTGCTCAATATTCATAAAACTTCATAATTTGTATCTGTTGTGAATATGAAATAAGGATTTGGACTGATACAGTTCAAATGTCATTTTTTTAGCGGCGAGCAAATACAACAAACATGCGATCAAAAAGAAAATTGAAATTTAAAAATTTAACTATTTTACAATTCAAAATTCATAGCTTGAAGGGATAGGGGTTAGAAGTTTACACATATATATATTTGCACCTGTTTCCTTCGAACTGCAGTGGACGACTCCAGAAGCTTCCAACATACACCCTTGACACCTCAGGGGTGGCCAGAATCTACAACAGTTAAAGGGGATGTTAACTGATAGATAGATATATCAAGTTTATGAGCATCAAACAGCAGGATTATACGGTCAGCACGCTCAGCAAACCATCTAGATAGATAGATAAATAGATAAATAGATAGATAGATAGATATATCAAGTTTATGAGCATCAAACAGCAGGATTATGCGGTCAGCACGCTCAGCAAACTATCTAGATAGATAGATAGATAGATAAATAGATAAATAGATTAATAGGTAAATAGATAGATAGAGAACAAGCTTCCGTTGTGTATATAGAATTCAAGCTTTTATAGATAAGCTTTAATGCATGATGAAAAAGGTGAGACCTCCGCTCAGGTTCTAGAATTATTAATGTTTATACATGTTTATACATATAAATAAAACTAATTTTCTAAGTACTGACCTAAGTACTCCAGTGAAGTCATATCCACGACTTATTGACTGCTTTTCTCCAGCTAAAATAAACCAAATTATGTGTTTATGATTCAAACATAGAAAATAACAAATTTTCAATCTTATACTTCAGAGTTCTGTAATCTTAAAAAACAAAAATCAATTCTGTTTAACAACGAATTATGTTTAAAGAGAGTATAGAATTCTATGAATTTAACTCTTTAAAATGCTTCGCCCACAATGCACAAACTGTTCACTTGAACGCCTCAGACTACTTTTTACAAATAATTTTTAAAGATAACATCCGATAGAATCAATTTTTAACTACAATCTAATCTCATACCCCCTACTTTAAATCAATAAGCACTCCCTTCAATATTAATATTTTACCTAATATTCCTGGGGTATCAACCAAACTTATGCTTTTTAAAACTTCTGAATCTGTTTCTGAGCCCTCAAACCTGGAGAGAAAAACACCACCAAACTCCTAAAAATCAAAGTTTTAAAGTATCTGAAGAAAAATCTCTTAGATAAAGGCTATCTCCGAAAAAAGTTGAAGTTTAGGTAAAACAATATAAAACAAAAAAAATTAACAAACGAAAATTTGCTGACAAGCTTTTATTATTAACCCTATCCCTGCTGGGGTACTTGAAAACCAGGATACCCCCCCCTCTAAATCCCATGTTTTATGTCCAAATATGACAAATGATACATCATTAGAAAGCTCTTGTGCTCTACTTTTAGAATCTGCCAAAAAATTTGCAAATTTGCGAAAATTGAATTTTTTATCGCAAAATCCAGTTTTATAGTAAAAATGTTTGCAAAAAAAAATTTGTCCAAAAAATGAAAAAATATACATTTTTGAAAAGCCCTTGACCATGCCATTTCAAATATGCAAACATTTTTGCAAAATTTTAAATAACCTGATTTTTAATCAAGAAAAACTAAAAATGTGCAAATTTCCTTTGACAGGTTGGTTTGCAAAAAAATTGCAATTTTTTTTCGCAAAACTTGTGCAATCCGTTTCCTTATGTCATAGGCTTTTCAAAAAGCTAAATTTTATCAAAATCTGACAAGTGAAAGTGGGTCAAAACAAAGATTTAGTTTGTTACAGGCAAAAGCAGTCATTCAGGCAGTGTGCCTGAGGACTCAGGCAGTCAGTATTAAAGCCCGGTTTTAGGCTTTTGGGTATGTAAGAAAAGTCAGAAAATTTCAACAGCCTCAGACCAATACTTTTTGAGTTATGTATAAAAAACTTCAGGGGGGGGCAAATTGACCCCCCCCCCCCCCAGCAGGAATAGGGTTAAACTAAAAGCTACAGGGAATCATTCCTATCTATCTGATAAGATTTTGACAGTAAAAAAATCAAAAATTAAGATTTTAGGTATTGAGAAAGACATAGCGCGCAGATCTTGGCGAACTAAATTTGTTGCATAAAACGTGCTGGGTCAACTTTACACTGTAGGTCTCAGACTGGTCGGTACAATTAAGTAAACGCACATACCTCAGGGAATAAGAATAAAGGGAAGGGAAATGGCTCTGGTCTGGCATGAAAAAGCCAGTTGCACTGCTTTGAAGACTAGTTCGTTATTACACACGTACAGACTCACACCGTCATGAATTCAGTCAAGGTAATTACAGAACAATGTCGTCAATTATAATTAAGCTTGAACAACGAGTAGTTTATTATAAACTGTGATCAAATTATATTCTTTGCACGAAAATTTGGCTCATAGTGTTGACTTAAAAATATTAACAATATATTACATAATATATCAAACTTATTTTTAAGTAAACAATTAACAAATAACAAATGTACTCTCGTAGACTGTACAAATACCGAGATTCTTATGTACTGCATTTACCTACAGTACACGCTTTTGTTCGTTATAACTTATACAAACACTCTTTTGGTACAGACACACATACATGCCGTTTCCGCCCCCTGGTACAGGTGCACTAAATCACCGGTACGGATTATGTAACGATTAGAGTCATGTGATAAATATCAATTTATGAATTAATCTCGATTTACCCCCCCCCTCACAACAAAAAATATCTCGCTATTTACATTTCATTCATTTAAATTGAGTTTCTAATGCCTTTATCACTGCGACCCAATGTTGCAGATTTTTTTTTCAAACAATATATCCAATAATCTAATTACATGCAGTAATCTAAATTTGAAATATCAAAGGAATAAGAAAATTTGAGTTTGTGGCAAAACCTCAATTCCTTTGGGAGTCAACTGAAACATTTTAATTCTTGACTTTTTTCTTAATATTTTCTTATCTGAGCCCGCGATTTAAAAGCTTCGGCTCGAGTCTTAATTCCTTAAACGCAGCTTTAAGACCCAATCTTAGACCCAACTCTGACGACAGCTTGTGTCACGTGATTGACAGCTGCGAGATCTTAGGCTCGACTTAAGGAGTTAGGGCCAATGAAAATAAAACCGACCTTGGTTGGTTTTAGTGAAGAATAAAGCTCAATATTGGGTCTTATTCTCATCAAAACTCGGAATGCACCAATTCCAACTATGAAAATCCGCCAAATACAACATTAAACCGGTTTTATGAACTAAATTCTGTTGAAAAATAGATGCAACTTAAATTCGAAAGCCCGAGCCGTAAATAAGGCTCAACAACAGCTTAGACCCGAGTCGTATTTTCTTGAATTTTTTAAATCGCCGGCTCTGGAGCCATTTTTCTGTTTCACAGAGGCTCTGTAAATAAAGGCTCTAAAATCTATTTTTTGCTGCGCACCTTTAATACAAATATGACCAAACTTGATGAAAATAGATAGAGTAAACATAATAACGTATAAATGTAAATATTAATCACATTATTTATTAATCAAGATTAATTAGTTTTAGCCAACACATTGACATTATAAAACCTATTTTTAACATTTTCTATAGAAAAAGCCATCAGCAAAAAAAGTTAAACTTACAGAAAAAAAATGAATGAATGCTTTTTAACTATTAATTACAATTTAACCGGGAGACTAATGGAAGATAATGAAATTGAGGGAAAATCACTTAGACTCGGGCCTCCTCGCCCTTTACGGGGTTCTAAACCCCACGAGCCTAGCGAGACCCCCGGTTTAGTAGTAATTTATCGTTTAATCTCCTGTTCAACGAAATAACAAACCGTGGAAGATAAATTTAAAAACACTGAAGAAATATGATAAAAATATTAATTCGTATAAGTTAATAAAAGAATGTTGTGAATATGATACCCAATCTACTCTGAAGATAAAAGAAAATAGAAGAATGTTTTCATTGTATTAAAGATATAATCTACTGATCACTTATCTTGTTTTCTTATACTCAATATATATATTTATATAACTTATATTTACATATATTAAATAATATTCTTTTTCTTCATTACATAGAAATGGCTCAAACAGTTTTTAGAGAGGAATACATTTTGATCCAACTTGCAAATTTAATCGTCCATTAATTCTTTAAGTTTTGAATTTTGCCTTGAAGTAACTTGGCCTTTACTTTTATGGTAGTCTATACTACTACTATAAAGTCAAAGGCCTTTTTCTTTAAATTCTCACTCAAGTTTTTAACTGAATTCTAGTATTTTTTAAAGGTCTTTCTAAAGTCCTGACTTATGAATTTATTACTTTTGACACAATTGGTTATTGAAGTAATGACTCCAGTCAAGTTCCATATAAAGTCATGACTTTAATCAAGTTCTTTCCAAAGTCAAGATTCAAGTCAAGTCCGTACCTGAAGTCTTCTGTAAGGTTTCTTGCTGTCAACAGCGAGAACATTTCCTGGAATCTAAAAATATAAGATAAAAACAAATTCAAAGAGAATTGTCATCCTAGATTTTTACTCGCTATGTTATTGCATTAAAGATATAATTTTGCAATCGGTGGCCGAATTTAAAGAATTTAAGCGGCGGTTTAAATTTAAGCCGCGGTTTAAATATGATTGGTTCGACTTAAAATTGTATCAAATGTTTCAAGATTTAAACCGGCGCTAAATTTAAACCGGGTTTTGGCGGATTTAAACTGCGACTTAAATTCTTTAAATTCCACCTCTGGATTCTTAAAAGATAAATAAGTTTAAACTACAGGAAAACCAATCTATTTATTTGGCCAACCATCTGTAAACTGTATCAATTATCTATTTTTGTCTGGTTTCTCTTTAAATTCAATTAGAAAATTGTTTCTTTACCACATGCTCAAATCTTTTATTCAATCGGATGGTGTAAACCTTTAATATTTCAAATTTAGATTATTTGATCTAACAGAATTCATAGTTGCAAGAAAATCAGAGTGTGTGGCAAAGACTCAATTATTTTAACCTCAAACAAGCAAAAAAGTAAAAAGTAGAAATATTTTGCATTTTTAAACGAAAATGGATTACGTATCAGCATGTCAATTTATAAATATTAATTTATTAAAAAAACTCTTTTTCCAATGAAAACACATGACACAAACTCTGTGCAAGCTGATGGTGTAAACCTTTGAGATTTTAAACTTCGAACCGGGTTCATATTTTGAAACATGATAGGTTGATAAAATTTAGAATTTTAGAATAAAATTTAGGACCGAGGACAAAGTTCCTTTAGTACTAAAATATGAATTGTTCAAGATCTTAAATTATTTACAAATATTATATCTTTTAACATATTCTTAAATTTCTACCTTTCCATCTTCTTTGCCATAAGATACAATTTCGAACCTATCTGTTGTAGGTTCAGGACCTATCAGCATACCTGAACAAAGGAATTGAGTCTTTGCCACAAAATCGAATTTTTAAATCCCAATTTCTTTAAACCCAAATGTCGTAAACCGTAGATATTTCAAACTATGAATTTTGGTGGATCAACCAATGTAAGTTTAAAATATGAAAGGTATGCATCATCTGGTTGTTGAGATTTAGGTATTAAAAAAATGGGATTTGTGGCAAAAACTCAATTCCTTTATTACTTTATTTAGGACTAGCTGAAGGGCCCGGCATTTCCCGTGAAAAAAAAATTTGAGAAGATTTAAAAACCCTGATCGGTTTATTGAGGTGAAATTATTCACTCATATACAAGCCAGGACTAACCAAGGCTAGATGCGTTTAGTTTCTTTAATATGGTCTACACTACAATTCAACAATTTTCAAACCTATACAGATTTGTTTTTTATACTTTTTCATTTTTCAAAATAAAGTTTTTTGATCTGTAGCTTCAGTTATGGGCTATTTTAGATTTTTTTACACGAACTGGACTTTTTATCCGCCTTAGACATAAAAAAATACAAAAATCCATTTCATTAAAGTCAGAAAATGTCACGGTGGGTGATAGTGTCAAAAATGAGAGTGCTAGGGCAAACAAAGGCTAGCCTGTTTAGGGTTAAACTTATTCTTTTTTATTTTTTTTATGATTATTCTGTCAGCAATTTTGAATGCAAAATGCCACAACCTCAAAAACCAATTAATTCTATCTTGGGAAACTTTACGTTTTTTAATGAATTTTCTTATAATATGATAAAATATACAAAAAAAACTTAAAATGCAATTTAGTGTTATAATTGTGTCCACCCTAGACGTTGCTCTTAGACTTATTTAAAAATTTTTGATAACTTGTTTGAGGTAACTCACGTGACGTGAACTAAACTAAGAAATTGAGTCTTTGCCACAAACTCTGATTTTTTATTCTATTGAATCAAGCCATATTAGATGGAATATCAAAGATATTCTAAAATGGACGAAAGATGAGCAACAAATAGAAAATAAAGAGGCGTCCTTTAAACCAAGATTAAAAATACTCTTGGCAGTTCCCAAATTTTAAAACTGCTTCTTGTAAACTACCAATATTCTTGTTATCATATTGTTTCTATAAAGGCAGGCGTGTGCAGATTAATAACATAACAATCCCTTTTTTCACCTAGTAACAGCTATTAGCAAAACATTGACACGCACTACAGGAGTCACGTCTATCAAACGAAATAAAACTGAAAGTTGTGATCAAAAAAATAAAAAAATAAACTGAAAAATTTGTCACCTGGGAAATCCTGATCTATCAAATATCTGAAAATTAAAATAGATTAAAAATTTTATTTTGCTAAATAAAGTAGGAGCTATACAACTGTTGCATAGGAAGACGACTGTTAGACACAAGTTATGATCTTAAATAGTCCAATTAGAGCTTGCAACCTTTAAATCACAGTGAACATGAGACACATTTTAGTATTTTTAACGAAATACACCAAATATGACAGAAAAAGTCAAAATGGCATATTTGCATTGCTCATTCCGGAAATGTGTTGCTTACGCGTTTAGAATGAAGATCAAAATAAAAGTAAGGTAATGGGGTGGGAAATCATGGAACCTAATATTTTAAAAGTCGAAGTTTGATTAAACTTTCCCTTTAAGCGTACCTTTAAATTACACTGACAGTCCCTTTCAGGCTTAATACTTATTTATTAATACTTAAGCATAGCTTGATACTTGCCTGATAAAGCTTGTTTTTCCAGTAGAATACTGCCCAACCAGCATTACCAGGGGTTTAGCTTCAAAATCAGGATCCTTCATGCAATCAGATAAATTAGAAATTAAACTTTAAATACAGGATAAAATACAACGGTCGGCGTTAATATCAATACAATAAAGACGACTTTTATAATTAAGTTATGGCTTAGAACAAGCTTTTTTCAAATTACAAGTTCAAAATTAAACAAGAGAATATGTTAATTGGCAGATTCTCTTTGGTTCCATATGTTTATGTTCATCCATACTGAGCCAAAATAATAAACATATCACGTATATTAAAAGATATCAGGTAAAGTCACATTTCATAATTACAAAATATGAGTTTGTGCCTCAGACTCAATTCCTTTAAAGTGTTAGTTTCCATAGGCATGTATTTAATTTTTACATGCACGACCATTTATTTTTAAATGTGTTTAGATGCTTGTATTACACTTTTCTTCAAATAAACATATTTTACAGGCTTTAAATAAAAAAACTAGATAACAGTTTAAAAACTTAATTTTTGCTAATTTTACTTTTTAACTCATAATATTTTGCATTGTTTCATGTCAACATGTCATTCATTTAAAAAAAAACTTTTCTTAAGTCTAAAATATTACAACTGAAGTATTCATGGTTTAAACATTAGACTGTTAGTAATTCTATAATTTAAAAAAAAAAATTAATAAATCATTAAACAATTACCAACACATTATTGCCAGAGTTTACGTTTGCTCAAAATATGGTAGAAAAAATACACGCGATGTGTTTTTTTCATATACAGGGTTACTCACGTAGAATGAGCCTTTGGAGAATTTTAATCTGTTTGATTTGATGATTTGACAACATATAGCTTAGTGTACTTTTCTTTATTGGATGAGATGGGCGGGGGATTTACCTCTAGTGCAGGGGAGTGGATTTCATTGAAGAAGAAGTCTGTAAAATATTAGGTTTACACTTTTCATATGTTAAGAAAATAATGCAAATACTGCCTTATATTAAAATATCCTAACCGTTTTATCTGTGCAACCGGAGTTGGTAAACCTTTGATATCTCAAATTATCAAATGTTTACACCATCAGGTGTTGAGAGTTTGAGGAGAGTAATTAAAATCATACACAGGAAAAAAGGCCCCCCCCCCCTTAATCTCATCTGCTGTATTATTTTGTATTTATTATCCCCCCCCCCATCTTATCTGCTGTATTATTTTGTATTTATTATCTGTGTGAAAGCCAAGAAGAATATCACATGCCGTTATCAATTCACTTGTCGACAGTTTCATGTCCTATCAACATAAAGTGCAGACGGTTCTAAGTAAATACACATTTTAACAACATCATAAAGTTTGTATTATAAAAAATAAACTGTTTTTTTTTCTGTGCAAACCATTCCTTTTTCAATAGGTAGTATACTGTTTTTATAAATAGTTTTTAAACCGTCAGTAACATCATTGTACACCGTCAGAGCTTCAGGTTTACGATGCCGGAATAAACTAGACATTTTTTTTTCTGAAAATAATAATCTACTTTTAGTACTTTACTAGTTTAAAACATTTAATGAATGTGTTAAACTCTTTCTCTCAAACCTCTAGGAAAAATAAACACACATTTTTAAAATCAGGAAAAAAACTTTAATGTTAAAGTTTTAAATAAATTACAAGTGGCCATTCAAGAAAAATATTGTAGAAGATAAAATTTGAGTTTTAAAAATCATTCATAATTAGGCCGGCGTTCATCATGGATATCATGATGTTTTTGTAAATGATTTTAAAAATATGTTCCTAAACTTATATTCAAGATTACCTACTTCTTTCGCTTATCTATATTTTGGATTATTTGATAAAAACTAAATTAAAAAACAATCAATTTAAAGGTCACTTTAACATCACGTAATTACTAATATGCCATATAATTATACAATTTACAATATGCCAATGTTATTAACAATATTCTCTTTAAGGAATGGGACAAACCCGAGACATTAACTTGATCGCTTTTTTTTGCGTGCAAAAATTCACAATTTCATTGAACAAGGACCGGTTCACAGAAATTGCCACTAGTTTTGTAACCACACAGGTTAAATAATCAACATTAATTAATTTAAATTTGTAGATTATAAAAGGCCAATTTAACATTATAAAGGCCGATTTTAGATAATAAAGGCCAACTTGAGATTAAAAAGGCCAACTAGAAATTATAAAGGCGAACATGAGATTATAAAGACCATTTTAGATTAAAAAGGACAACTTGAGATTATAAAGGATATCTTGAGATTATAAAGGATATCTTGAGATTATAAAGGATATCTTGAGATTATAAAGGCCAACTTGAGATTATAAAGGATATCTTGATATTATAAAGGCCAACTTGAGATTATAAAGTCGAACTTGAGATTATACAGGTCAACTTGAGATTATACAGGTCAACTTGAGATTATAAAGGCCAACTTGAGATTATAAAGGCCAACTTGAGAATATGAAGGCCAACTTGAGATTATACAGGCCAACTTGAGATTATAAAGGCTAACTTGAGATTATAAAGGCCAATTTGAAATTATGAAGGCTAACATGAGATTATAAAGGCCAACTTGAGATTATAAAGGCCAATTTGAGATTATGAAGGCTAACATATGAGATTATACAGGCCAACTTGAGATTATAAAGGCTAACATGAGATTATAAAGGCCAACTTGAGATTATACAGGCCAACTTTTAGGCCAAATAGAATTTATACAGGCCAAAACTGGAGATTATAAAGGCCAACTTGAGATTAAAAAGGCCAAAATGAGATTTTAAAGGCCAACTTGAGATTATAAAGTCCGATTTGAGATTCGGTTCTGGTCGGAACTTTTGTCTGAAGTATCTTTAATCTTGAACGCGCGTTTAATCTCTATATCCAGTTAATTGGGAACTTTTATATTTACAATTTGATATTCGAGATTTGGATCAATGTGTGATCCCTGAATTAAATATCACTGCAGGGTTTGACCACCACAGGAAATGGATGAGGAATTGAATAATTCCTTAGTTATAAACAAGCTGGAGATCAATGCAATTGAATCATAGTTTTACGAGTAAAAAGTTCTGAATTCGGAATTTTAAAAAAATTCAGTATTTGCACTTCTTCCTCATAATTTCAGGTAATCAACTGAAGAAAATTCTCAATGGCAAAATATGATATAATAATTTAAAAAAGTATATTTACAAATATAATTCTTGCATTAAATAGCTGATTAAGTATAAGACCTTGTATTGTTTAAATACTGTTTATTCTAGTTCACGTAGCTTGAGTTCTCAATATAAACTGATCAACCGATTCTTAAATCCGGTTTCCGGCTCTATAAACATATATACTTAAATAAATCTATAAATTTTAATATCAAATTCAATATTATTATAACAGGGAAATCAAAAAAGAAAATCATAAAAAAATCTAATTTAGTAGATAAATTCTTCGGCCTAGGTTGCATAATTTACAATAACTTTTTGTAAATGTACTCGTTATGAAACGTGAAAGGGTATCAATAAATAACTGTGCTTTTGTTGAGATAGGATAGGATAGGATAGGATAGGATAGGATAGGATAGGATAGGATAGGATAGGATAGGATAGGATAGGATAGGATAGGATAGGATAGGATAGGATAGGATAGGATAGGATAGGATAGGATAGGATAGGATAGGTTAGGATAGGTTAGGATAGGATAGGATAGGATTTAAATATCTTGGTTAATTTTCCTAATTACTTCTTTTCGTATCAATTTTTAGATAAACGTAACCAAAGTATTTTGATATTATAGATTATTGCATAAATATTACCGTTGTTGATCATTGATGGCACATCTAGACTTAGAGGGTCAAAATTACGTTGCTTATGTCATAAACTAAATATTGCATGCGTAAACAGTAATTTAAAAACCATATTAACAAATCGTTATTAAATTAGTGTAGATACTCAGTCATTCATAACACACGACTATATAGTAAAGATCATAAAATAAAAAAAAATGTAAAACTAAGACTGAAAAAGTTTATTCAAACAAAAATAAAGGAATCGAGTCTTTGCCACAAACTCTAATTTTATAATCCTTTTCAACCGTATGGTGTAAACAATTTCATATTTTAAACTTAGATGATTTCATTATGCAGAATTTATATTTTAAAAATTTAGGATTAGGTTGCAAAGATATAGGGATTAGAAAATAAGAGTTTGTATGCAAATATTTTCCGAACAGCCTAGAGTATGTATGTATAAACTGGAAAAGTATGTTGTCTCATGCATATGTTAAAGAAACCAGATATTACCAGAGATTATCAAGAATAATTCTTAACCGGACAACAAAAGATTTAAAGAATATCTAAAAGTACAAATTAAGTATAAACGTGTACTCTCTTAATAGTTGATTTTCCCACATTTTCTCAAAAGCTTTCCTTGCAGATTTCATCGAGGAGTAAATAAAGTTTTGCAAATAATTGCATTTATTGCAATTTTAAGCCATTAAGTTAAAGCTTATAGTACTTTACAAGCTAAATACTTTGGTTTGTAAAAAAGCATAGATAATCAAAAACAAAAATGAAAAAAATAGCATTCAGAAAGCTCCTTCATTTGAAATTTGTCATTCATTTTTTAAATCATTTTAACAAACTTAAAGAAATTTTCATTTTAAAAAGTTGAATGGCCAATTGATAGTTTTAAATAAAGGAATTGAGTTTTAGCCACAAGATCAAATTTTCTAATTCCTATATCTTTGCAACCTGATGGTGTAAACGTTTATTTTTTTTTTTAAATATATTAATTGATCTAACAGAATTCACAATTTGAAATGTCTAAGGTCTACGGCATTGAGTTTCAAAGATATACGGATTAAAAAATCTGAGTTTGTAGCAAAGACTTAATTCCTTTGAAGTGGAATATCAAGATAAAAAATTTTTTATGAAAAATTTGCATAAAATCTTTGTTTATTTTCAAATTATAATTTACTGATGGGGTTTCCATAGAAACTGAAAAACCGTGAGTTAATCATAGAAACCTGTTTCTCTATCTTTTATGATTTTTTTCTTTTAAAAAGTTCACGCTGGAGAAAAAAACTAAAGTTGTCCCCATTCGAGTAATTATTGCTTTCAAATCTCATGGCTTTTCGCTCCTCAAGTTTTATTTTTTATTTTTACCATATTTGTAAATTTTTGCGAGAAATATTGCTGTCAATAAAATTTTAGATTGACTAGATACTACACTGCATTCTATCACGCGTGAATCGATTTTGACTCAAGTTAGGTTAGGTTTTAATAAATCAAGAGACAAGCGATATTTTTCAAACTAAAGATTTAATGAAATTTATTAAAAACCAATCTAAAAACTTAAATGTTGTTCTTGTATGTTAATAAATAAAACATATGATAATAATATGCCAGGATGTGCTACTATAGTAGATTAGAAGGATAGGGTTGCCTGAGACCCATTAAACACATGTAGTAATTCATACTGCCTTCTCCACACTGCCTAACCCCATAGCTTGACGGAAACTATTAAACTTGAATCAATATATAATATATTATACTTACTCCGTAAACTGGCCTACTCTGTATAATATATCATACTTACTCCGTAAACTGGCCTACTTTGTATAGTATATCTACTATACTCCGTAAACTGGCCTACTCTGTATAATATATCTTCTATACTCCGTAAACTGGCCTACTCAGTATAATATATCTTCTATACTTCGTAAACTGGCCTACTCTGTATAGTATATCTATTATACTCCGTAAACTGGCCTACTCTGTATAATATATCTTCTATACTCCGTAAACTGGCCTACTCTGTATAGTATATTTACTATACTCCGTAAACTGGCCTACTCTGTATGATATAGCAGGTTTTATAATATATTACAATTCTACTGGGGTGACTTTAAACGCCGATTCATGTATAAATTGCACTGTACTCGTTTCTTGTACTGTAAATGCCCTTTTCTGGGGAATTTATATTGCATAATCTTATATCCTCAAAATTTAACATTTTACTTTTTAAAATAAATATTTTCCCGTTAAACATTCCTACGTTTTATAAGTTTAAAACAGATGGCACTGACAAAAGAATATTAACTTTATTGCAAAGAATTTTCTATAATATATTCTTGTCAACAATTTCTAGAATATATCCTTGTCAACCATTTCTAGAATATATCCTTGTCAACCATTTCTAGAATATATCCCTGTCAACCATTTCTTGAATATATCCTCGTCAACCATTTCTAGACTTTATATCCTTGTTAACCATTTCAAGAATTTATCCTTGTCAACCATTTCAAGAATATATCCCTGTCAACCATTTCTAGAATATATCCTTGTTAACCATTTCTAGAATATATTCTTGTCAACCATTTCAAGAATATATCAATGTCAACCATTTCTAGAATACACCCCTGTCAACCATTTCTAGACTTTATATCCTTGTTAACCATTTCTAGATTATATCCTTGTCAACCATTTCTAGAATATATCCATGTCCAGTATTAGTTAATGTTTAGAGATTGATTAATCGTTAACGATGGCTGATCGTTAAAGATTGCTGATTGTTAAGACTGATTCACCACTTTACGAGAAAGATACCGATTTATTTTTAAGTTGATATTTAAGAATTTGTATTCAAAATTAGATCGTGATGTTGAACCTATATTAGATCGTGATGTTGAACCTATATTAGATCGTGAAGTTGAACCTATATTAGATCGTGATGTTGAACCTATATTAGATCGTGATGTTGAACCTATATTTCCTTTACATACATTTGACTTCTAATCTAAGGTTTCAAATATAGATAAGGTTGAAAGGAATTTTTCTATTTCAGCTGTCACCCTTCACCCGTCAGCCTTCACCCTTCATCCTTCAGCCTTCACCCTTCACCCCATACTATTCTTTCATTTCCCCCCTCGTCATTAATTTTCAGTTCTTAAATATGCTTTTTTTGTTAATATGGTTTTATCATGGTTTTATCAGTTATATCATTGTATTCCCAGTTTGCAACCTAGGTCTACAACATCAGGTTGCAAAAATAGAAGGATTAAAACTAAGAGTTAAAGGGGAGTAATCTGTTCTTTGAGTATCTGGATACCTAATTTATATTCGAAGCTGTCTCAGATTTAAACCCGGTATCCCGATGGGCTACATTTGTCTAATATAGATTTTGGGGGTGGTGGTTGTTATACCCCCCCCCATATACTCCCATTCGTTGATTTTGTCATTAGAGTTAAGATAGGGGAGTGTTATACATGTTTCTAATCCAACTGGTCACTGCGAACTCGTATTAAAAAATATAACTCTAACTTTAATGGTTAGGGTGCTAAAAAAGCTTTAAAAATTGAAAAATACTATTGACAATTATTAACAGTTGACTCACGTTATTACATAAAAAAGTTAAGTTCTGTGAGTGATTTTTTAACACCAACTGCAGCCGCTTGACAGTCCTCCATCCTACCCTATACTTAAAAAATATTTATTTTTGCAAATTTGTTCAGTAATTAAGCTGAAAAAGTGGAGAAGTTTGGGCGTTCAAGGGTTAAAAGATATAACAAGAAAAATATCTCAATTCTAGTCTAGCATAAGAACTGAATAAATGTACCAATTCAAGTCCTAAATTGAACCAAATGAGGAAATATATCTAAAGTTTCTGCCTAATTGAATAGAAATATAAAACTCTAAGTTTAACAATTGCTCTAAAACTTAGAAATTCGTTTTATTTCATTTTCAGGATTCAACAATTTAAATTTGAAACACCCTTTTTTAAAGGGGGGGTTGTTCTCCTATTTGAAAATAGGAACGTAGTACCCCCTTCCTTGAAGACCTGAATGTTTATGATTTCATTTTTTATAAAACCCCGGTTTTCTGGAAAACTTTTGTTTACGTATTTTCTGTACATTGACCTGTCCTTGATTTGATAAGACAACGTGTAAGATTTTAGATTTAGTATTTACTATCTGACTATTATTATTCATAGTCATAGTTACTCCCGCCGTTTACCTGAGCCGCGTAATTTAAAAATTAAATTAAAATTAAATTAAAAATAAATATGATCTATCAAAGAGAAATCATAATTATGAAACAACATATTATAAATCACTTCCCTATCAATATTTAAAGTATGATAAAATCTATTACAGAACAATTATCATGTCTCGTAAAGCAGATTTTCTTTTCGTTTTAGCATGAGGTACGTGAATGTATGCATTTATAATTTGGGGCCTCATTTATCATCTCAGTAGCCTTGTAAAAACGAGTAACCCGACCCACCAGCACCCCCATTTGATATATGATATAAGCCTCAGGGTATAAGGGGCCTGCTAGAATTGTATGGTGGTAAATATGACCTGGTTCAGGCCGCATGCTGGAATTCTCATTCTGCAGCCCAGGCTGTTACCCTAAACCACCTAGTCCTATACTAGAGGCCTTGTATTTAAAAAAAGGTTAATTAAAGGGTCCTGGCCCTGAATAATTTCTCATTTACTAGTTTCAGGTTTTGGGTATACTATTTACTATCCATGGAGTTAGTTTATCCAGGTGTATTTGTAATAAATGCTGTTATAATATACCTATATAAGATGGTTTGTACATTGTCCCTGCTTGGCATTTAGAGCCGAAGTATTAGCTTGTTTTATAGCTACGCTTGTGTCTCTGTATGGCATTAGGAGCCTGAGTAATAGCTAGATTGATAAGCTAAGCTTGTGTCCCTGTGTGGCATCTAGAGCCAGGTGTGTTGTGTCCTGGTTGACTTGGGTAGCGGAAGGGTTGTGTCTGCGCTGATTCAGTTTGAGACAAACTTTTCAGAGTACGGCATTTACTACATATTATCCAGGATTAGTTCATCCAAATATATTATGAATAACTCCACGTTCCGTTGCTGATGGACGATGCTCGTAGTCTATTGGAGCGACAGGAATTAGAATAGAGCATAGATAAATATAAATACAGATAGAACACTAAATGTAGTCTTTTCAAGATTTAATGGTTTTTCGTTCACAATAAGAAGTCAGAACATTTGTGTTGAGAATCTCGAGATCAAGTATTGATCTCCATCTAGTACAGATCTCAGATTGATTTTATTCCTCTCTGATATTCCACACTGGTCATATCCTGCAGGCACAACTTTAATAAAGGGATCAAGCATTGATCCTGCTATTTAAAAGTATCCAAACTAGATATCGTGATTAAGCCTTCAAGGTTAACAATATCCGCACAAAAGTTCCTATCTCTGAACTGAAAACTTTAGAACAGGATATTATTAATCCCGATCGGTTAATTAATCAGAGCCGAAAACTTTAGAATGGTGGATATCGAGATTAATACTTGATCTCCTCTTTTTTCTTAATTAGAGATTAAATAATGCTAGTTCTTCTCTTGTTATTAATCTCCAGAATAATTAACCGATCAGGATTAAGGATATCCCATTCAAAAGCTTTGAGCTCTGGAGCTTAATAACAAGAGGAGAACAAGCATTACTTAATCTCGAGATTAAGAAAAAGAATGGATCAAGCATTAATCCCGATATCCATCATTCAAAAGTTTCCAGCTCAGTGGTTAAAGTAGATTAATCATCAACCTATACTATAGTAGTACAAAAACTTTCTGAACCTTTTCTAGAACCTTTTCCTGCGCATTCAATGGTTAAAGATGAACTACATAGTCCATACCACCACTGTACTCCAGTATATTTGGTATAAAGGCAATATAAATTCTAAACAGGGTCTTTAAGGGTTCATTATTAATAAACTTAAGTTTATAGCAGAGTAAAGAAAATGCATTTTTTTTTATATTTTTATAAGATGCTCCAAGATCCAGAAATATTTATACAAATTTTGTTTTAAATAAAAAATTTGCATGGCAACATTTATTTTAGGCGAAGTGTCGGATCATTTGGAATCATGCGGACATCTTTGAGTTATGTAAGATGTATATTTTTCATTATTCTTATAATTCAGAGAAATACCTTTCTCAAGAAAATTACCATGTTTTTTAATAGAGTATGTGCGCAATTTATTGTACACAAACAAACCTTTTTGATAGTTTTCAACAATTCATATCTTTAATATTCTTTAACGATATATCTATAACTCCAAACTCTAGTTTTGATAACATAATAATAATCTAAGTTTGAAAGCCTTTATTTAAACTGAACTCAATGCAAATGTAAGATTTCAATTTCAAAGCAAGAAGCTTGAACTTAGACTGGTACAAGCTAAGATCATGTTGGTTTATAGAGAATAGGATAAATGATATGAGAATTGTAGAATTGTAGATGCATAAAGGTTGATTGTACAGTGTACACCTCCTCCAACGATTTGTCTGCATTTATTTCCCAGAATTCCAGGCTCCTCCCCGCATTCTAGAAATAGGGTTGGAAACTTGTAAATAAGATTGAATTTAACGTTGCTGATCTACCTATTGCCGGTTCAAATTTGAACTACCGATTCAAAGTTTAAGAGTCAGAAAGGATTTGAATCGGTGATTCAAATTTGAACCGGCGGTAGACAGTTCAGCCTCCTCCAAAATTAATTAAATTAGGTCTCAGGTTTAACTATTGGTTTAATATCTTTACAACCTGGTGAGTAAATCAAAGATATACGACGTTACGTTAAAAATATATGGATAAAATGTTTAAACCGCTTAAATTTTACTTTAGAACCAATCAGTAAGTTTGCTTTGTTTAAACCAAATATCACAAAGTGTAGTTCAAATATAAACTAATCATATAAGTTGTACACAATGTACACTGTACAGTACAGCATGATTATTGATTATGTGTACGCGCAGTACAACAAACGGCACTTTTTTGTAGTAAATTCATCTCAATATATATATTTCAATTTTGTTAATAACTTAAATGCAAAGTAGTTTTTTTTCAAAAATTACACCAAAAACTGTTCTTTTAAACTTGCAAAACACATTTAGCTTTTCTTAAAATTATTTTACAAATCTTAAATCACTAAGCGAGGTAGATTTTTAAATTTTTCGATATGGGTATTTGAAGTTACGCCTCGAACCACTCAAATTTCCCTATTTTTAAATTTAATAATTTGAATATTGTGTTATCTAGTGCCTAAACCTAGTCTTTTGGAGAACACTGACAAATTTACATTATGAAGTCCGTTTTTCGCTTATAACTTGCTTAATTTTAAAGGAAGTTTTCGCGAAAAATGAAAGGGGGTATAGGCTTAATGCGATAAAAAGCGCTTTTGATCGCTACTAATCTTACTTCTATCTGTTGCGTCTATAAGGAGAAAATTGTTAAAAACGACTAATTCCAAAGAACGTAGCACCCATACAAATTCAGAAAGTTGCAACATACGACTTAGACCGTAAAGAAATTTATTTAATTTCAAACAAATCATTCAGATATTACAACCTATGGTCATCGATTATCTTTCGCCACATTTGTATATAGTTGATTTTTCATGTTGTAAGGACACTACGTTCTTCGGTATTAGTCGTTTTTAACAATTTTCTCCTTATAGACGCAACAGATAGAAGTAAGATTAGTAGCGATCAACAGCGCTTTTTTATCGCATTAAGCCTATACCTCCTTTCATTTTTTGCGAACCCTCCCTTTAAATAAATTTTTATGATTTCAAAATTTTTGAATTCAGTGTTTCAAGACGGATGGTACCCATATAGACATATTTTGAAAATATGTTTTCGCTTGCACTTTTTTAGTGAATTAATAATTACAAAAACGTGCTGCACGAGCTGAATAAATTTGAAAGTGATAAAAAAATCATTTTTGTTTTACTTTTAAATCTTATAAACAAGACGCGTGCTGAGAGAATTTGAACATTTTTATCAAAAACGTGCCAAATGTTAGTTCAATGAGCTAGAACGAGTAAGAAAGGAAGTTTGCTTATTACAATAGCAATCAAAACTACTTATATATTAATACTATTTAGTTTTATGACTAAATAAATGTCGTATATAAAAAAGCTAGAAAGTTTAGTTAGCTGCAGTTTATATTTTATATTATGTTTATATTTTGCTGGTTAAGCTTTGGCCATTTATTCTCTTTACTTTGGTTTTTCTCTACATTCAAGATGATTTTTTGTTGTTAATATTTTTAGGGAAACCCAAGTGAACATCTTAGAAAACGTTAATGTTTATAGATTTTTTTCTTCAGGCATCTTTTTTTAAATATCATTTTAATTTGTAAAATTATTTTTACTCCAAAAATGTTCTGAGAACTTTATTTTATAAACATTTTACTTTTTATGAAATTTGCTGAAGGAAGTAAAAAAATCCTACCTGTCTCTTTTCTCATAACCAGAGGACAAATCTTAAAATGTATAAATATATATTATTTTCTTTGATTTGTGTAAAGGCAAGAATAAATATATAAGAATGATAAATGATGTTCTTTTAGTCATTTTTTCCTCAGGTAGTATCCATCAAAATATACAGGACTGGGGTTTTTATTCTACATATCAATCAATCTTTATATTAATACTGTGCTCTCCCTATAAGATGAGAATTTAATGAAGAGCTAAAACGAGCTTGATAGAAAGATATTTCTGTCGTTTACTTAAAAATAATATATAATAAAAGGATGAAAGCTCAACTCTTGCTTTTACACAATTTCGAAAATGAACCAATCAAAAACAAATGTTTTTTTGGGCCCAATCGGTTCAACTGTTTAATAAAGACACATAAATCAACTGACAAAGACGATTTTGCGGCTATGTGGACAAGAAGTCTAGGGAATTAATTAATTAGTTAATAGTCTAATTAATTATATTCAGAAAATTGTTCCTTTTCAAAACTTGCATCAGATGGAACAAAAAATTTAATTTTTCATATTTTCGTTTTGATTTTAAATGAGTAAAATATTTTTGATTTACCGTTAATCCTGTTCTCCCTACCAGCAGCTTCCTCCAACGCCCTGAACATAGTTTATTTTAAATAAAGTTTAAAGGGAGTGACCGGCTATGTAAGGTAGTTGAACTGAGTATGCAGTGTTGTGAACAAATTCTTTAGGATTCATTTGAGACATATTAAACCTTTTAAAGATCTGTAAATCCTGAGTTTGAGCGCAAATTTGACGTTCAAAACTCCTACTTTGGGGGTGGAAACGTTTTCAGAATTCGTTTTTTTTATAATTAAATAACGACTACGAAAAATAAAGAAAATCTAATTAGATGGTTAGGAACATATTTCTCAAAAGAAAGGAATTGAGTCTTTGCCACAAACTCTGATTTTCTAATCACTATATCTTTGGAATTAAATGTTGCATACCTTAGATATTTCAAACTATGAATTCTGTTAGATCAAATAATCTGAGTTTGAAATATCAAATGTTTACAACATCGAGTTCTAAAGATATTGAGGTTTAAATATTTAATTTTGTTCCAAAGACTCAATTCCTTTGTCAATAAATCAATGCTAAAATCGATTATTTCGTTTTCATTATTATATTGAATTTCTTATCTTCTTTGAATTTATTCGCAGATTTCTTCAAATCTTCAAATGTCGTCTTTTCAATAGTAATTCTCGAAAATCTGCAGAATATCTTTGTGAATAATGAGAAACCAGAGAAAATAGAAACTTATAATTGAACAAGATTACTTATTTTCGATGATAACATTAATTTTTATTTTCATAACATGTTCCTTTACATGACGTCTGTAGTTTATTGTAGAACTTTTTTACATTTTATGTCGTCGTTATTTAATAATTTTAAAAAAACTGAAAGCGTATCCACCCCCAAAGTAGGAGGTTTGAACGTCGAATTTGCGCTCAAACTCAGGATTTACAGATCTTTAAAAAGTTTAATATGTCGCAAATGAATCCGAACGAAGTTTTCCACAACACTGCATACTCAGTTTAACTTCCTTACGTAGCCGGTCACTCCCTTTAAACGCTTGTTCCTAAGACCAATTTTGCTTTCAAAATATCCAGAGCGCAAAGTAAAATTCCCTTAACTTGCCTGTAAAGTAAACTAACCTGAGATACTGGTAAGTACTGAGCCTGGGGATTCCTCCTGCCACCCTCTATATATATTAAACTAGAACATCAATATATACTTTTCTCGTCTTGGTGTTTGTATCCAATAGACGTCAAAACACCAGAACCGATCTTGGCCCAAATTTTGTTTGGGACCTCACATGATCCAAGGGAAGGTTTCAAATGATCAAAATTTCAAAATTTGCCACCAACAAAATGCGATTTTCATTAAATTTGAAAATCCACGACATTTTTTTTTACTAAATCCGCAAACTTAGGGGTTTGTTTTAAAATGTATACAAAGAGAAATGTTCACAATGGAAATGGAAGATGGGCACGAAGCGCCATAAAAGCCTAGTAATATATATTTTCTTATATTCGTCATATTTAATTTCAAATCCTATTTCTTTTTACTATGAACACAGCAACACAAGTATGTACAGTAAAAAAAATATGAAATGGAAAAATTGAACTGATATTTCACATGTTTCTATCACTTGCATTAAAGGCTCAATTCCTTTGGAACCTTTCACTTGGAATTGATAGAAAGCTACATTATATTTATCTATGGTGTGGTCGAGAATGCCCAGGACAAGAAGCTGAGCCACTTCTTTATAATCATTAATTCTAACCTCCGATAATTGGTTTAATTATACAATTACGTTTAAGCAATTAAAGAAGAAAAGTAATTGACTGCATTATGTTTAACTACTATTAAAGTAAAGAATACGTATGAGGTGTACACTTTTATTTTGATTGATATGTAAATACCACAAAGTTTATAAAGGTATGGATTAACTTTTCATAAAAGATAAAGATCGTTCAAATTGTTTATGATTATTTAATTTTGGATTTGATCTTTATTTTTTTTCTATACAAATATATTCAAATAGACATTTTCAATTACTAATAAAACATGTAAACAAAAAGTGAATCATGCCCCCATTTAGACACGTGTTTAATTATCCCCAGATTCGGACACGTCTTAAATTATCCCCAGGTTCGGACACGTGTTTTTGCGATGTATCTAGGTCTGATAGCATAGTCCTAAACATTTCTGCACTAGAGATATATAGTTTAGACATTCTGTTTTACATTTTGAGATCTTACAGATTTATTTTTAGACAATTGAGATTTAGTTTTAGGCAATAGAGATTTGTTTCGAGACAATTGAGATTTATTTCCAGACTTGCGAGCTGTATTTCGATACTTCAGAAATGCATTTCCAGACTTGCAAGGCTTAAAAAAAACAGAGATTAGTAACGTATCACGGTAAATTAGAAGTCTATGGTAAACTCTTTAGAACCTATTTTCACCATTAAATATACTTTGTTTAATAATTTTTTGTTGGGAACGTTTTAGTTATGAAAGTATATCAGTACTTTACTCTCTTTTTGGCCAATTTTGAATGCATGATCAAAACTTGGTTTTATTTTGATATTCTTAGCCTCATATCGTTATTCTCGCTTAGTACCGCTCGAACTCACTTAGTTCCAGAAGAACTCACTTAGTTACAGAAAAACATAAGTAAGTTCAAGCGGTAAAATCTAAACCCAAGGCGTTGCGACACTTCAAAGTCGATCCTCTCTTAAAACTTGATGAGACTGCAGGCTGAATCTATGTGAATTCAAGAAAAAGATTTTCTAGAGTCATACTTGAAGTCTCATTCTTTGTGGGTAACCCTGTATATATCTGCAGAGGATGATCTTAACTTTCTTGATGCAGTATCAACTGCCAATTGGTTTCCAGATAAAATAAGCTTTTGTTGGACCAAGGAACTATACATTTCTTGTGTTGGATCAAATATTGAACATAAAGGAACTAAATTACACGGCCTTCGATACTTAATCTTTTATAAGTTTTTGGAGAGTGCTAAATTCCTTTTCTAAAGGAATTGAGTCTTTCTACAAACCCTGATTTTCTAATCTCTTTATCTTTGCAATCCAATGTCGTAGACCTCAGATATATTTCTAACTATGACTTCTGTTATATCAAATAATCAAAGTTTGAAATATCTAAGGTTTACATAATTTGGTTTAGATAAATTGGGATTTGTTGTAAAGACTCAATTCCTTTGGAATAAAGTCACGCCATCCCTCAACAATTTTGATGCATATGTTAACAAGTTTTTGCGATAAGGAATTGAGTCTTTGCCACAAACTCTGGTTTTCAAATACCTATATCTTAATACCCCAATGTTGTAGACCTCAGATATTTCACACTATGACTTCTGTTATATCAAATAATCAAAGTTTGAAATATTTAAGGTTTACATAATTTGGTTGTAGATAAATTGGGATTTGTTGTAAAGACTCAATTCCTTTGGAAATTTTCAAAGCATTCAAAAAAAAGCGCAACAGACCCATGTTAAGGAATCGAGTCTTTGGTATTTCAAACTTAGATTATTTGATCTCATAGAATTTATCGTTTAGGTCCACGACATTGAGTTCCATAGATAAAGGAATTAGAAAATGGGAGTTTGAATCAATTCCATGAGCAAAGTTTTTACAATAAAGTTTTAAATCATCTCTTGATGATTGTTGTACAAGTACAATGTTTGGTTGTGCATATTCATCAAAAACTGGATTTATTTTTGTTCCGTAGTATTCTTAACTACCCCTTCACCAAGATATGCGTTTAGAATATTTTACCTTTTCTTTCCTTGCCATATCATATAAATAACTAAGGATGCCTAAAATTAAATATAGAAGTTTAAAAGAGTTTGTAGACGTTTATAGAAGATTGTAGAAGTTTAAAGAAGTTTATAGAAGTTTGTAGAAGTGTATAGAAGTTTACAGAAGTTTAAAAAAGTTTATTGAAGTTTAAAGAAGTTTATAGAGGTTTATAGAAGTTTACAGAAGTTTATAGAAGTTTATTGAAGTTTACAGGAGTTTATAGAAGTTTAAAGAAGTTTATAGAAGTTTATTGAAGTTTAAAGAAGTTAATAGAGGTTCATAGAAGTTTACAGAAGTTTATAGAAGTTTAAAGAAGTTTATAGAAGTTTGTAGAAATTTATAGAGGTTTATAGAAGTTAACAGAAGTTTATAGAAGTTTATAAAGGTGTATAGAAGTTTATAGAATTTTATAGAACTTTATAATAATTTATAGAAGTTTATAGAAATTTATAGAAGTTTAAAGAAGTTTATAGAAGTTTGTAGAAGTTTACAGAAGTTTGTAGAAGTTTATAGAAGTTTGTAGAAGTTTATAGAAGTTTATAGAAGTTTATAGAAGTGTATAGAAGTTTATAGAATATTATAGAACTGTATAATAGTTTATAGAAGGTTATAGAAGTTTACAGAAATTTATAGAAGTTTGTAGAAGTTTATAGAAGTTTGTAGAAGTTTACTGAAGTTTATAGAAGTTTATAGAAGTTTACAGAAGTTTATGGAAGTTTATTGAAGTTTAAAGAAGTTTATTGAAGTTTATAGAAGTTAATAAAAGTTTACAGAAGTTTACAGAAGTGTGTAGAAGTTTAAAGAAGTTTGTAGAAGTTTATAGAAGTTTGTTGAAGTTTATAGAAGTTTATAGAAGCTTATAGAAGTGTATAGAAGTTTATAGAATAGAACTGTATAATAGTTTATAGAAGGTTATAGAAGTTTATAGAAGTTTATAGAAGTTTGTAGAAGTTTATGGAAGTTTATTGAAGTTTACAGAAGTTTATGGAAGTTTATTGAAGTTTAAAGAAGTGAAGTTTATAGAAGTTTATAGAAGTTTATAGAAGTTTATTGAAGTTTACAGAAGTTTATAGAAGTTTATTGAAGTTTAAAGAAGTTTATTGAAGTTTATAGAAGTTTATAGAAGTTTACAGAAGTTTACAGAAGTTTATAGAAGTTTATGAAAGGATGTTATGTTTAGGTATTATTTACAACGTTCACGAGACCTCAAACGTTGCTGTAATCTTTACAATATATTTTATCGAATTTAAAGACAAAATCTTCATTAAAGAAACTTTTCGTGATTAATAAAACAACAGAAATATGCCAAGAAGCGTCCAGAATTTAACTTTTTTAAAGTTTCTATTACTTACCCTGCTTATTCCTTTTGTCAACCTTAAACTCTCCAGTTTTCATATTCTTTAGTAGAGAGGACAGTTGCTCTGTAATTATCATTATTATCATTATTATTGTTGTTATAATTATTATTATTATTATTATTTTTATTATGATTATTATGATATTATTATTTTTTATTGTTTATTACCTTTTCCCCCTGCTAATTAAAACCAATTAATTAATTTCAGGTTAAAACAGACGCTTTGAAGTTAATTAAATTGGGGTTTAATTGCATTTCGAATAGATTTTCAAATAAATTAAAAACAAATTATCTTTTGTTTCTACTGATATTCGAATATTTTACTAAACAAGGTTTCAACTGTTAATTATTTACCTACAACAGATTTCCTAGTTCTCTTGTCCACTGGTCCAGAATAATCGTAATCAGGATCCAAGTACTCTTCATCGCTCATGTCTTAAATAATATTATTTTTTGAACAACATATTTGGATTTTCAAATATTGAAAGGTTTTTTTATTGAATAGTCGACAACGGATTGTGGGTTTATGATGCATTTATGGAATGTGAACGAACATAAAACTATGTAAATAGAAGGTTACATGAAAGTACGTTAACAGTTAACTTGAATTTTCTAAGAAATAATGTAGTTTAAAGCTTTAAAATATTCACCCTGTCTCTTTCTTTCAGAATAGTTTTAATTTTTGCTTCCAAAGTTTGAAATGTCTTAATTGGACTAAATTAGCATAACATAAATATATAAAGGGTGTTTTTCATTTTCCATTAGACCTTGAACATACTAATATTGGATTATACAGATCTTTTAATAATATTTGAAAAATTTCCTTTTTACATCAATCAATTTTACAGTTTTTAATGCATATTTAAAAATGTTTTAATGAACATATAAATAGTAATAGAAATTGACCATGGGGGGTGAGGGTGCAGTTGTTTATCTTTTCACCTAGTTTTAGAAAAACATGAAAACAGCTGCTGGTTCATTCAAATATATTTAGAAAAATTCGAATTCCAATTTTCTTTTATAGTCATTTTATGTCAACGTTATGTTGATTCATTTAAACTTACTTTTTAGTAAATGTTTAACTGAATGTTTTGGGCACGTTTTCAAAAACATTAAATTTACAAAGAAACTGAGTTTTGCCACAAACTCAAATTTTCATATTCCTATATCTTTACACCATCAGGTTGTAGAGATATAGGGATTAGTGAGTTTGAGTTTGGAGTTCATTAAAAAATCCTGAGTAGTATTTATAATCACGATCGTACGTATGGGTGTTGGGGAAATGGGGGCTGAATTTCCCCCCCCCCTGGAATGATAAAAAAAAGTTGCGCCAGCCTGGACAACTTCCGGAATACGCCGCTGTTTTTAATCTCTGTAACCTAACTTCAGATATGTTATTTACAAGATGAATTAATTAATCTACAATATTCCCTTGTATAGTTGTATAATATGGTTTCTAATAAGAATAGCTGAAGGATACATTTATCTACCTTCTTTATACCATGGATATTAAATATTCAGTATAAAAGAAAAGAAATCAGAAACCATTGAAGCATACACGTATCTTTTATCTTATTTGTATATTTTCGGTTGGTAGGATTAGAGTTTAAATCCCTGAGAGTTCAAAGTGGTAATACTGTTTTTTTTTCATAAAAAATTATATTTCAATGATACCGCCCCGCCCTCCCCCTAACCATTAGAGAGCTGGATTCAACGGGCACGGGCAGCCCTAATAGATTTGAAATTCCGAGCCGGGTCAACCTTTCCGGTCCCAGTTTGTACTGTATCGCCCGGACATTGGGAAAATAAAGCAGACACTCAATAGGACCAGCCGGTGTAACAAGGTTGACGCGATCAGACGCGATCAGACAAATCTATTTAAATAACATTGTCTCGCCCTTTCACTAAGCATTAGAGCCTGGGCCCGGTTCAACGGGTCCAATATGCATGCACCATGCACATCAAATTCTTTGTACATGTCATTGTAAATCATTGTCATCTTTGTTTTTAAATAACAATGAGAAGTTACAAAATCCGAACTTTTTAATTAAAAGAGTTTAAAAATCTGCATTTATAATTGTTTATCATAGTCATGTATGATGCCGATCAATTCAAAATATTATTAGGGTCAGCTGATGCCATATTTTTCTGTAGATTTCTGTAGTATAATTTTAGTTGCAACTTAGTTGTAGTAGGTAGTGGAGGTATCATTTGCAGTGTAATATATTTGTTTGTTAGATAAACAAACTAAGCTAGAATTTGTTTACTTTAGGCAGAACTTTGTTTTGATTGGTATCTTCAAAACCAGTTCATCTTTTATTTATATTCGAGTATCTATACTATCTTAACTAAGAATGGTTTGTGTCAACTTTTTTTAACAGAAACATCAAATGAAAATAAAAAGCAAAATTTTTAATTCCAGTTTTGATAATTCAACGCTAACAGAAATATGTAGCAAAAAAATCTCAAATCTGTAATGCTTTTACAAAGTGTGTATTTGTAATGAAGATCTGGTGCAGTTTTTATTAAACCACGTTTTATTTCTTAAGTATATACTATAATGTATATATATATTATAGTATATAATATAATATATATTATAGTATATAATATAATATATATTAACTTTTTTCTATCCCCTCTGTAATCCACCTTCACACTCCATACACAAAATATACTGCAACCAGTTAAAAGGATAGCTTCTGTTAAAATAATCACAGCTTTTTTGCCAGAAAATAAAACGTATTTTTATGTAAAATTTTTGTGTTGATTTAATATTTACTTGCTGTTAAACTTTCATTTAGTAAATACAATATGTTATCATTTTGAATAGTCCAATACATTGAAAACATTTATGAAATTTCTAAAATTGTGTATTTTATGTATTCAAAAATAGATAAATGAAATCTTACCAACGGAGTAGACAGAACAGACCAGAATGGAACAAGCCAGTAAAAATACAACAATCTTCATCCTGTCAGATAGAGAAAAGAAATTAGTTATTGGATAACAAAATTAAAATAAAAAGATTAATGAACGTTTCAATTAAAAATTAATAAGTACATTATAAAAATTGATTTTGAGTTGTTGAAAAATAACATTTTTTGATTTTTAATAAAAACTAAATTTAAAGTAAATGAACATCAGAACTTCTAGATTTCTAATTCTGGTAGCATATCCCAATGTCTAAGGCATCAAGTTACTATAATGATATGAGATAATAAAAATATAGCTTAGGTGTTTGGTTAGTTCTTTTCAATCAGAACCTGATATTTCTGGTATCCTTTGAACCACAGAGATCAGAGGATGGTTGATCACTGCCCAATATTCCGTAGATGGTTTAGGAGTAGAACTGTAGGGGCGCTAACAGAGATCGGAGACGGAGAGCGGGACGGGACGGAGAGAGGGGCAGGACGGAGAGAGATTGAGGACGGAGAGAGGAGCGGTGGGACGGAGAGATAGATTAGGTTTTGGCGGGAAACTGGTCGGTTCCGGAACGGTATGTTCGGGTTCTCTGGTTCAGCATGGTTTCCGGAGATTACGTCACGAGGTGGATCATGTGATATAATCATCATTGTTTAGACCAAGAAAGCTACTGTGTTACATACTCGGGTGTCCCTGGTCCCATATATCACATTCAGTCACAGGATATTATTTTGAATAGTGCGATTATTTAGGCCTAGAATCTTTCAGATTACAGAGGTATATACTTTTAATTTTACATGTCTCTATCTACCAGTTATGTCTATCTCCAGAAATGTATTATTCCGCCCCATTTTATAGAAACATTGCTATTGCCTAATAAGTTGGGACACTCGATATACCGACTCATTTGTAAATTTTGGCTTAGCAATTAAAAAAGTGCCATATAAACCAAACTTGCAGTATATATTATATAAACCAAAGTTGCACTATGTATTATATAAACCAAAGTTGCAGTTTATATTATATAAACAATAGAACACATATTTTCAGTGTTTGATTTTTTTCTAACCCTATTTTAGGGGGCAGAAAGGATAAAAAAAATACTTTTATATAATTATATTTTATAACGTGTTTTATAATGTATTTCTCACCATATCTATATTTTTCATGATCTAGTGTAAAGAGGAGAAAACCCAAACCTTTTCTACATTTATGAATAAAATAATATTTATCTTATTGTAATAGCAATATGTTAAAGAGAAGGAACCAATGCAACTTTAGGATTGAAATTTTATCTCCAGTTTAAATGAGTTTTCCATTTTTAATTAAAATATTCATGTCTAAATATAAAAAAAACTTTTCATTGTAGAGAATAAAAAGCAAAACTGATTAACTGTTAAAATATCTGTACATATGGAACCTGCACTGTTTCCTTTCCTTGTTACCATATTTATTCTGGAAGGAAAGTCCAATCCCAAACTTTTTTTCCATGTAATCATAAAATACTATTATAAAACATTATTTTATACTTGTGATTATAATAAATCCATAGTATTTCTTGGCAACCCTTTAAGACAAACGATAGAGTTTATCCCACCTCGTGCTGATTCAAGTGTGTTGAGTTGAGATGTCCAAGCTTAGAGAGATCAGTTGAAGCCAAAAAGAAAAGTTAGAAAGGATCTCCGTATAGCTTGGATTGTATTTGCAAAATAAAAAGGAAGAAAATGTATGACTTGCAAATCAAAAACTATAATACAAAGGAATTGAGTTTTAGCCAAATTGGTTATTCCTATTTCTTTGAAACCTGATGGTGTAAAATCTTTGATATTTCCAACTTAGGCTATTTGGTCTAACAGAATTCATAGTTTCAATTTCAAAGATCTACAACATCGGGTTGAACAGATATTGGGATTATAATTTTTAGTTTGTTACAAAAACTCATTTCCTTTGCATGCAGAAATTACATGGTTTCCTTAGGTATTGTGGGTGTATTTGCTGTTAAAGCTTAAAGACAATACAACTAACTTAAAATGTTTACATATTAATTATCGTTCAGAGCAAGACAGCTACAGTGTAACATACATTAGACCATTTCTTAGACATATTTTATAAAGAATTTCAATTGAACTTATATTTACAATTCCTTTAAATGTACATATCTTTCACATACATTAACATATAAAACATTATAAAACATTTATAAATTATTAATTTAAAAACATTTATTTCCAGAAAAATAGGATTAACAAAAAACACAAAAGACATGATCTATTCATAACATCCTAGGAAAACAACATCATTTATTTTAGAACCAAATAATATTGTGAGAGTAATAAAAACTAGTACATAGATAGTAATCAGGAATTAACACCTAAAATAACTAAACTGAATTTGCATACAAACTGTAAATTTCTAATCTTTAAACTTTCGCAACCTGATGGTAAAAACCTTTGTTATTTCTAACTCACCAAAAAACTCACTAAATCACCAATTTAAAATCCTAAAGAAAAAAATGTTGTCTGAAAAACCTGACAATTTTTTCTTCAAGAATCTCCAGGTTCTCTTTAATATCCCCATTTCAAGAATCTCCAGTTTTTCTTGAATATCCAAACTTCAAGAATCTCTAGGTTCTCTTGATTATTCAAATTTCAAGAATCTCCAGGTTCTCTTGAATATCCAAACTTCAAGAATCTCCTGGTTCTCTTGAATTTCCAAACCTTAAGAATCTCCAGATTCTCTTAAATATCCAAACGTCAAGGATCTCCAGGTTCTCTTGAATATCCACACTTCAAAAGTCTCCAAGTTCTCTTCAATATCCAAATTTCATGAATTTCCTGGTTCTCTTGAATTTCCAAACTTCAAGAATCTCCAGGTTCTCTTAAATATCCAAACTTCAAGAATCTCCAGGTACTTTGGAATGTCCAAACTTCAAGGATCTCCAGGTTCTCTTGAATATCCACACTTCAAGAATCTCCTGGTTCTCTTGAATATCCAAACTTCAAGAATCTCTAGGTTCTCTTGAATATTCAAATTTCAAGAATCTCCAGGTTCTTTTGAATATCTAAACTTCAAGAATCTCCAGGTTATCTTGAACATCCAAACTTCAAGGATCTCCAGGTTCTCTTAAATAACCAAACTTCAAGACTCTCCTGGTTCTCTTGAATATCAAAACTTCAAGAATCTCCTGGTTCTCTTGAATCTCCAAACCTCAAATATGTCCAGGTTTTCTTGAATATCCAAACTTCAAGAATCTCCAGTTTCTCTTGAATATCCAAACTACAAGAATCTCCAGGTTCTCTTGAATATCAAAACTTCAAAAATTTCCAGGTTCTCTTGAATATCCAAACTTCAATAATCTCCAGGTTCTCTTGATTATTCAAACTTCAAGGTTCTCTTTAATATCCAAACCTCAAATATATCCAGGTTCTCTTGACAATCAAAACTTCGAGAATCTCCGGGTTCTCTTTAATATCCAAACCTCAAATACCTCCAGGTTCTCTTGAATAGCCAAACCTCAAGGATCTCCAGGTTATCTGTAATATTCAAACCTAAAATATCTCCAGGTTCTCTTGAATATCCAAACCTCAAGAATCTCTAGGTTCTCTTGAATATTCAGACCTCAAGAATCTCCAGGTTCGCATAAATAAAAAAACTTAAAATATCTCCAGGTTCTCTGTAATATCCAAACCTCAAGAATCTTCCTGTTCTTTTTAATTTCCAGACTTTAAATATCTCCAGGTTCTCTTGAATATTCAAACCTGAAATAACTCCAGGTTCTCTTGAATATCAAAACTTTAAAAATCTCCAGGTTTTCTTAAATATCCAAACTTTAAGAATCTCCAGGTTCTCTTAAATATCCAAACTTCAAGAATCTCCAGGTTTTCTTAAATATCCAAACTTTAAGAATCTCCAGGTTTGCTTAAATATAAAAACCACAAATATCTCAAGGTTCACTATAATATCCAAACCTCAAGAATCTCCCTGTTCTCTTGAATATCCAAACCTCAAATATCTCCAGGTTCTCTTGAATATTCAAACCTGAAATAACTCCAGGTTCTCTTGAATATCAAAACTTTAAGAATCTACAGGTTTTCTTAAATATCCAAACTTTAAGAATCTCCAGGTTCTCTTATTTATCCAAACTTCAAGAATCTCCAGGTCCTCTTTACTATCTAAATCTCGAGACTCTAAGTTTTTGCTATAGGGATGTTCAAAATCCCAAAACATCCTTGGGTCCAGGATTTGTCTTCTCACTTTCCTGAATTATAACATTTTAAGCATTGGTTGTGTCATATACAATGTACGTTCGATTTTCAACGGAAGCCATATAACCCTTAGTCTGAACTAAAACTATGAAAGATATCCTTGTTCTTCTGATCAATTGATAATATTCATAATTGTAATTTCCTAATAAACCCGTCTTGTGGATTTCTGAATGCAAACGAAACATAGAAATAAAGTTTACAGTTAGAAAAGCAAAGATATCTTCCTTATTGCTGCTTTGAGAAAGGTTTAAAGGGAACTGCTGAGAAATAAACTTTTAAAAATGTTGAAATTACGTAAACAGTCCCTTTAAGTTTTTTCTAACCTTGTCCTCCTTGTCCTCTTCTCCCATATACGTGATGTCCAGATGAGCGTGCACAGAGTTATCACATGTCTCCCCAACATCCGTCGTCTTCTGTCCAAGAATATTTTTAGAAAATATATTTAAATATTTATTTAAAAACTACTTTTGATTTTGAATTTTTAAGCTTTGTTAATGATGATATGATGATTATAATGATTAATATTGTTATCATAATAACTTTTATTATTAATGCAATTTTTGTTATTATTGTTATCATCATTATCATTCATTATTATTATCATTATTGTTACTTTGAGTATTTTAATTATTTCATAATTAGTATTAATATTATTATAATTATCTTTTCTATTAATACATTTATTAACTAATAAGCTGGCAAACCCAGCTTTGTCTGGAACCTAAACTAACTCTATAAAAGTCAACCATCTCAACTCAACATTTCTAAATCAAGCTCAGAGTGGTTATGCCGAGTTTCCCAATTTCTCCATGTCTACCTGATTAATTTCGGTTTCTGTAAAGAAAGGGTGCTCGTCACAATGCGCGTTAGGATGAGGATTGACCCGCTTACTCAGCACAACCAGAAAGTCGGCGAAAAATCGCCTGCACACAAAAAAAATAAGTTTTTAACAAAGAATAATTGTTTTAGTTAAATTTGTAAAAGAAGTTAAAATGGTTAAAATGGTCTTCAATCAATCTATGATTTATAAAAAATTGAAATCAACTGAAACAAGAAAAACAAATATTTCTTTTAGAAACAACGGTTGTTCCATGTAAATATAGAATTACACATTTTTATATTTTTTCTTTATGTTTTATTTTTTCTAAATGATCTGTGATGGCTGTATAATCCCAGAGTATTTATCAATGTATTATGTTTCCATATTTATTCTGCCACTATATATATATATATATATATATATCCCTCTTCAGCTCAAACTTGACGTTTATCCAATATATCCAGCACTATAAACACTATCCAGAATTATCCAGAATGAGAAAAATGATGAAAAATAACTTTAATGAATAAAAAGCTACAATTAGGAACATATAAAACTTCCAAATAATTGCTAGGGATATGATTGCTCGCCTGAAATTCTAATTTTCTAATCCCTTGATCTTTAATCATAATATTTATACTTGACCACATGATCTTGCAGAAAATATAGTAATTTAAAGCTCTTAAAAAATAGACATAAAAACATCTTTATGCCACATTGTAGTAACATTTGTCAAAACTGACATTTTTTACACTTTACTTTATGGAATTTATTTGAAACCTCCCGGCTCAGAAGAGACTAATAAAAACCGATAAATTAGAAGGGTCGTTGAACTGCCTACCGCTGATTCAAATTTGAATCACCGATTTAAATCCTTCCTGAATCTTTCATTTCGAATCGGTTTTTCAAATTTAAACCGGTGGTATGTAGTTCAGCGACGTATTTATTAAATTTGGTCTCGGGACAAATTGGTTCATAACATTTGAACCTACATTTACTGCAACTGCAAGGCTTTTTCTAGGGGTGCAGTGATCACGGTCCAGAGCTCCAAGTCTATACTTTTCTGCTAACCACCAGCCTTTTAACGCAAACGTTTACCTGTTCATATTTCTGGACATCTGATACAACACAAACCAATCTCCAATACTAAAAGAATAAAATTTGAAAATCCATTACATTTATAAAATAAGAAAATAAAACTAAAAACCTCAGTCATTTATCGTTTCGCTAATAATAGTTAATAGTTAAACAGAGGTTAGAATCGATAAAACAAAAGTTTCTGAAGAATAAAAGAGATTAAGAGATTAATAAATTTTTGTTCATTTAAGATGTTATCATTATATCTTTTGAAGCTTATGAATATGATGATGGGTCAAACTTAAATTTTTGATCCCACAGACTTCAAGGTTTGAAATATCGAAGGTTCAAAAAGTTTGAGCATGTAGTTTCATAAAGAAATAAATAGAAAAAATATCAATTCTCATAAAACTGCTGAAAATTTATCAAAAGTTAAGTTTTAAAACATAATTGAAGAAAGAAAACAATAAAGTTGAATAGAAAAAATTGAAGATTAAGAATTAAATATTTTTGTACAGGAGAAAGATTTGATTATTTTTTTTCTACCTGCAATGATATACATAGTGCTTGATATGTTGAATATTTTCATTGTTTTTAAAATATCTGTGCATCTTCATCTTCATCATTTGGTACCTGGATATATATAATATTTTATACATAGATAAACACACACTTATTACAGTCAAAATAAACTGTTTAGAATTATTTGATAATTAGTTAAAAGCCTGAAAATTCGGGCAGATTTTTTTTCTTCTGTAACTTATAACCGTAGGTAACTTTTATAGAGGATTAACTATCAATTTTTGTTGTTAACATTGGAAACCACTCTTTTAATGGGGTTGTTACTTGAAATGACGTTGCTTGCCTGCGTTAAAAAAAAAACTTTGGCGAAAAAAAAACAATTGTGACGTTCTTAGTTGATAGTATGTTATCAATTAACAATTACACCTACGTACGTGTATATATTTGTAAAAAATCTGTAACAAGAAAAATATTGTTTCTAGTAAAATTCTAAGAGAAACCGCCGCTAAATAAACAGAGCAGACTAAAATTTCAACAGGCCTCTGATCACATCAAAGGATTGAAAAAATGGAGACAAAACATGATTTCATCCTTCAGTTAGCACTTTATGAATTATTCATCAGACTTCAAACAGATTTTGGTGAATAATAATAAGTAAAATTCCAGCAGTGAGATTCACAAAACATTGTGAATCAGGAAGACGACTTTTAGACTCACGTTATGATTTCAAATAGTCCAAGACAAAAGTGTTGTCTGCTGAGACCATAACTTTATAAACAATATTCTATTTGCTTTTAAACAACATCAATTTCACTTAAATGTTGTCAAATGTTGTCTTCCTATTCCACAGTTGTCTGGTTCTCAGTAGGCTAATCAATGATTAATTAAAATAATAGTTTCTCCATTCTAGACACTAATAATTATCTAATTCTAAATATTAAAAGTTGCATCATCTTGCCCCTGGACACTACTATTACCTTATTCTTGAAGATAAAAGTTGCACCACCCTGTACACTATTATTACCTAATTCTTGAAGATAAAAGTTGCACCACCCTGTACACTATCATTACCTAATTCTTGAAGATAAAAGTTGCACCACCCTGTACACTATTATTACCTAATTCTTGAAGATAAAAGTTGCACCACCCTGTACACTATTATTACCTAATTCTTGAAGATAAAAGTTTCACCACCCTGTACACTATCATTACCTAATTCTTGAAGATATAAGTTGCACCACCCTGTACACTATCATTACCTAATTCTTGAAGATAAAATTTGCACCACTCTGTACACTATTATTACCTGATCCTTGAAGATAAAAGTTGCACCACCCTGTACACTATAATTACCAAATTCTTGAAGATAAAAGTTGCACCACCCTGAACACTATTCTTAGCTAATTTTGAAGATAAAAGTTGCACCACCCTGTATACTATTATTAACTAATTCTTGAAGATAAAAGTTGCACCACCCTGTACACTATTATTACCTGATTCTTGAAGATAAAATTTGCACCACCCTGTATACTATTATCACCTAATTCTTGAAGATAAAAGTTGAACCACCCTGTACAGTATTCTTAGCTAATTTTTGAAGATAAAAGTTGCACCACCCTGTATACTATTATTACCTAATCCTTGAAGATAAAAGTTGCACCACCCTGTATACTATTCTTACCTAATTCTTGAAGATAAAAGTTGCACCACCCTGTATACTATTATTACCTAATTCTTGAAGATAATAGTTGCACCACCCTGTATAATATTCTTACCTAATTCTTGAAGATAAAAGTTGCACCACCCTGTATACTATTCTTGTTGATCCAAGAAATAGAAGGAAAAAGTACCAGTACCAAAGAACAAGGAATATCTAAAATACATTTTATAAAGATTATTAATGATTCTAAAAAACAATAAATAATATTAAAACAATTTCGGAGTCCAAAACCTTAAACTTTGCCCCGAGTTTAGAGATTTTTGGAACGGATTTTGGTTAAGATTATAAACTTAGTTTAAAAACATTATGTACAAAAAGATTTTACATCTTTCTCTTGTTGATGTAAGTTCAAGTAACCCTCTTATTACAAATGTTTATGTCAGATTCACAACAGAAACTTTTAAACCTTCGTCTGAGCAAAAATGAGAAAGAAATTCATGTCTTTCTCCCGAAAAAGTTCAATGATGGTTTCTCTGTTCAACTGACTTGAAGATTTTTCAGAAAAAATAATTACTAAATTGACAAAATTCCGCCTGTTTAAAGATAGAAAATCTTAATTTATTTCTTATTATATAATTAGCCAATTATTGATGAAAATTCTCAAATTCAACTAGCACAACTTTTAAAGATTTGATACATTTTAACAAAGATTTCACAATTTATTTTTATATTTTTCACATTCAACCAGATTTTTGCTTTTCTATATCAAATCACTGCTGCAAGCCAGAAAAAAAGTCGTCAAAATAAATAAAGATGAGTATTAAAATATTCGTCTTGTAACAAAGTATCAAAAAACAAGCTTTTTAGATTTAAATGATACAATTTTTGAAATTTTCAAAAACAGAAAAAATAACGATTCAAGACTCATCTTTTAATACGTATATAAAAATGTTTTGAAAAAAATTTAAAATAAACCTTACCCTATGATCTCTGTTTTTTAAATCGTTAATAACTAATTGAATTTGGATTTTTTCAATGTTTTTTTTTATAAATGTTGCTTCTAAGGAATTGAGTCTTTGCCAAAAACGCTGATTTTCTAATTCCTATATCTTTTAAATCCAATATCGCAGACCTTTATATATTTTAGACTATGAATTCTGTTAGATCAAATTATCTAAGTTTGAAATATCAAAGTTATACGCTATCAGGTTGCAAAGATATAGGAATTAGAAAATTTAAGTTTGTGGTGAAAACTCAATTTCTTTGCTACTGTATAATTTGTTGCTGTTGGCTGTTGCCAAAAGGATTATACATTTTTGGTGAAAAAGTTTCACCCTTACTTATTATTACAGATAAAGGTTTAAAGGGTTCCGTTGTAAATCAGACTCTTTAACTGGGTAAGGGGTTGTGTCACTTTAGAATATATTTACAGTCCCTTCAAATGAAAAAAAAATATGAATAACAAAAATTTAAAAAATCCTCGATTAAAGGGCATGATAAAAATAAATAGATATTACCTTGTCATTTATCATGTTTAAACCAAGAATACAGATTGCATTTATATTCTCTTGTCCCCCTCCAGAACCAAACCTTATACATTTTACTTTTTCAACAACAAAAAACATTCATTTGAACTTATTACATTTAGTTTCTTAATTATTCACTTTCAAACTTTTATTAGTAAAGATATGATTCACTTACAACATAACCACATGGATATAAAATTCGAGTACTCACTTTTTTAAAAAAGAACATATTTACATATATTTAACTTATGAACCGTAATTAAAAGTTAAACGAAGAAAGATTGAATTTATACAAAACTCTGTTTTTAAACTTTAAAATTGATAAAAAAAGACAAAGATCAATGTTTAAACCGACAAAATGACATAAACATAAGTTTTCTGAAAAGAAGGATTCACGTCAAGAACGTAAGATTAAAATTTAAATGTTTTTAATCTCCCCTTCTTTGAAAAGAAATTGAAAAGAAGAAAATTTTTTAATTTTAATAAGTTGTACACAATGCTTCAATTGCATACCGGTACTTCATGTACTGTATATACATTATGTCGTACTGTCCAGTGTGAACTACCCAGTGTCAAGTTTTATGCAGCCTAGCAAGATCACAGTTTTTACAATAATGCTAAATAAATTTTACATTTACAGTGCAGATAGCCTTACCGAATATAATCACAAGCAGCAATTCTTGGGAAAGTTTCACACATTGGATTCATCTTCCGGATCAGCCGTTCTTCTGGTGGGACAGAATAATAACTAAATATATATAAACTGTATTACTGCTCCTTGAAACGATTTCTGGTTGAAATTATATATAAAAAAGTAAAGGTTTGATTATTTGGCACAAATGTAGCTTTTCATTTTTACTTTATCACTTTGGGGGATTTTTACCAAAAGGATGTTTTTTTCAAGGTTTCTGTTTATTTTACATAAAAAATGTATGAATATGTTTCCCATATCTCCTAATAAATTTCATCTATCCTTTAGAAGAGTTATAAAGGGCCTAACAAATGTTTCTTTTGTGACCTGAGACTCAAATTTTACTAACTTTGCAACATTTAAATTTGTTTCACGAGTTTTTTTTTACTTACATATTTGTTTGGAAATTTGTTAACAACTACTTATTACTTTTACATATGATTTACTAGCTCAGAATTGGGAGAAAAATTTGAGGTTTTTTTAATATAAATTTTGGTTTGAGTCTTTAAAAAATGTTAGGCTGGTGCATAAAATTTCCTTAAATATGCACAATATTCCTTGAAACAAATGTCTTAGATCAATCATAATAACTATAGTAAACCTACCTGTAAACCTGGGGTCCATAGTCTAGAAACTTATGATTTAGAAATCTGTTTGTGACAAAAATCTGCGACAAAACTATCACAACATTGAACACCTGAACAACAAAAAAATGTTATATTTGGACAATAAATGAAAATTCTATTTGGATACTATCGCCCCCGCCACAATTTTCAAGATTTTACCATATACACTAAAATAATCATGAATGAGGATAATGGGGTTCGGATGCAGAAATTATGTGGTTGGCTTTCTTCCCTCGGGGGACCGTGAGGTGAGGTTACCCTTTTATAAATTGTTTGCTACTGAATTAATTTTCAATTTACTCAAGTCTGTAAATTATACCTTTCACTGCTTTTTGCTTTAATCCAATATAAGAATTATATAGTACAGTCAACCCCAACACTTTGGGTTCATCGAAAGATCTTATAAAATGTCGTTTTGATTGTTTACTATTATATACAGTGAAACCCTTAATAACGAATACATCGAAAGAATTCATCAAATGTCGTATTCTTCACTTTTTGATAATGGAATGTTGCCGATATTTAGTTTTTTAATTAAATGATTATATGGAACTCTTTAAAACTGTTCCTGCATATTCATATCTATTTATTTCTTTTCGCAAATACTAAAATTTACGTAATATAGTATAAAACTCATTAAAAAATTGTCAAATTGTCAAGACGACATTTGATAAATTCTTCCGATGTATTCGTTATTAAGGGTTTTACTGTATTAAATCTCAGTAATAATAAAAATAAATAAATAGCTCTGAAATATGCAGAAACTGTTTTGAAAAGCTTCATATAATTATTTAATTAAGAACTAAATATCTGCAGCATTCCATTAGCAGGTTTAGAAGACGACCTTTTACAAATTCTTTTGATATTTCCAAAGTTCTGGGTTAAACTGTTAAATACATTACATTATATATGATCAATTCATCTATAAAATTATAATTCGCTCATATATAAATATTTGTTATAGCTGGCCAAACGCCTGGACCAAATTGGCTGAATTTTTTTAAGAGACCCAAGGGTACCCTAGTAGTGAAATAGGCAAATTTTTTTTAAATCAAATTTTTTTCTTCAACGTTGACGGGTAATGCCGCACGCCGGGTACTTCAGCTAGTTATACATAAAGGACAAGTTTTCCCTGTTTCTAACAAACAATATGATTATACTTTGAGGAACTGTAGACGTAATTTACAGAGTGATATGTTCGATTCACAACTGTAAAGTACAAAATTACGCTTCATAGAAAATGATTGAAATTTACAGAAATCAGAAAAACGAAGATATCTTCCTCACGATTTATCAGATAAAGGTTTAAAGGACACTGTTGTTAATCGGGCATGACATTTTTTAAATAGGGTTAATTAAAAAATTTAGGAACAAGTTGAGAAAAACAAAATCAGCTCTTATCATCAAAATAAATATATTGATTTTAAATTTATTTTGGTCATTTAGAGTTTTTAAAATTTCTCCGTGTATTTTTCGCGGGTTTTTGAAAAAGTTGAATGTTGTGTGGCATTATTTTCAAGTACGCGCAAGCCACTCGTAATTTAATAATTAGAAAAAAACGATTCTCAAAATGTATCCACCCAAAAAGATGATGTTGAAAGTTGACTTTGCGATCAAACTCAATAAATATATGTAGACAAGTTTTACTACTACCAGGGGGATGATAGTTCTCTACCTGTGTGCTCAATTAGCTGTACTGTAGACGTACTACTGTTTACTAATATTGATATACTATAGGTTAGGCCAGAATCAACCAATAATACACAAATATGCAGTACGCTCTCAGTATAGTTTATGTCCTATACAATTAGTGAAGGATTAGCGTACATCATCAATATATACACTATAACCTCGTTGACTACTACACAATACTACATTCAGTTCAACCGCCAGACATTGCCGGTCACTCCCTTTAACAACAAATATAATGATAAAGTTTACCTCGCAACAAATATAATGATAAAGTTTACCTCGCAACAAATATAATGATAAATTTTACCTCGCAACAAATACAATGATAAAGTTTACCTCGCAACAAATATAATGATAAAGTTTACCTCGCAACAAATATAATGATAAAGCTTACCTCGCAACAAATATAATGATACAGTTTACCTCGCAACAAATATAATGATAAAGTTTACCTCGCAACAAATATAATGATAAAGTTTACCTCGCAACAAATATAATGATAAAGTTTACCTCGCAACAAATATAATGATAAAGTTTACCTCGCAGCAAATATAATGATAAAGTTTACCTCGCAACAAATATAATGATAAAGTTTACCTCGCAACAAATAAAGCCAGCAGCGTATGAATTATACTTATTGTGCAAATGTTCCTGAAAATACCAAATCCAAATATATTTGTCTGATGAAGGAACTTGAACTTGCCACAATTTCTAACTTTCAAATCTATATATCGCTGTAGTCTGACGTCGAAGACTTCAAAATTCTAGCTATGAATTCTGCCAAAAAAAATTTTTAGCGCTTGAGATAACATGAGTTTTCACCATCAATTGAAAAAACAATATTTATCGAAGGATAAAAATTTGTGGCAAGTAATCAGTTCTTAAAACGTCAAAACGGCCCAAAGGCACTGAGTCTTTGCCACAAGCTCTGATTTTCTTAATGTAATAATATATCTTAGATATTTCAAACTAAGCATTCCGTTAGACCAAATAATCTAAGTTTGAAATAGCAAAGGTTTACATGATCAGGTTGCAAAGATTTGAAAATACGAGTGTGTAGCAAAGACTCAAATCCTTTTGTGTGGGACCTCACATGACCCCAGGGAAGGTTTATGAATGATCCAAATTTTAAAATAAATTTTTCCTTAAAGAACCTGTCAAATCATTCGTTGGGATGTTTAGAAAGATGAAAATTTCCCTGTATGATAATTGAATTTAAGAAAGTTTTAGATATATATTTGCAATCATCCAGAACAAAAAGTTTTTTCAAAAATTAAACTTAAAAAGTTTTATAGAAGTTTTTAAAACTATGCAAAAAAAATCATTGCTGACACCCCTAAATTTTATCATAAATTTTATCATAAAATCCACAAACTTATTTTGTTTGTTTTTGTTTCACAATGTTTATAAAGAGGAAATGTTCCAATTGTAAGCATAGTTTAATAAGAATTACCTGGAAAGTTCTCAGAAGGTTTTCTCTTTTTTCACACGCATCTTCTATTATCTTTCCTCTATTGTTGGTTTATATTAGAAGATAGACATAATTTCAAGTTACTCTTTGCTTCTGATTCTATTGATTTATGAATCATTATTGTTTAGGTGGCTTCCGTGTGCTTTGCTACCCCTTTAAAGAAACTGCAGACGCAATTACAAGTTACCTTCACATTAATGGTACCCTTTAAAGGGATATAAAATAATGGAAACTTTATGTTTTGTCTCAAAATTAATAATTTTGAATTAAGGTTCTGTATAAATGTAACAAACGCTAGAAATGAAAAAACGGCGGTCCTTTGTGTAGCTCTATAGTCTACACATTATGGTTTAAAAGGTACTCTTGAGAATCGGATCTGCCACTTCAAAAATGGAGTAACTTTAAATTACATCTACAGTTTCTTTAAGCAGACAAATATTCTTTTTATCGAGAAAGTTCTGACATGTGTACTGAAACGTGAGAAGCAAAAATCATATTTTCTCGCCTCAAACTATTGCTGGCATTTGAAAAAATGGCATTAATTTTTTTAAGTATTTGAAGCAAACTATAAGGTTCTCAGTTTATTTATGTCTAAAATAATTTAATATGATTTTATGAAAAAAAAACTCAGTTTTTAATGAATAAGATCGAATTGAGACTAGGTATAAACAATGTAATGAAATATATCAATCCGTTGTTTGGTTGAGCTGAGGTGAAAAAATGCAGCAGAAATCAAACATGAATAATGAATATATAAACATGTATCGTATTTTGAAAAGAGAGGTGTGCAAATATTAAATTAGCATATTTTATGCATCTTTCCGATACAAATTTCCTTTTCTTAAATTGAATAAAACCAAATTGTATAAGAAACCGTGATCGTTCTTGATTTTTTTATTATTCAATGTATACTTTCTCTTCTCTCTAAACCCTTCCTGGCTCCTTTAGCGAGAAACTTCATGAGACCTCCCTCTAACATCAACCAGATAGAACGAGGAAGATAAAACAGAATTGCCTGTAATTATTTACAAATGAATAAAAATACAGGGTGTCTCGTTAAAAAGTTTTAGTATGAAAAGATTTTTAGAGGCATTGTAATCCAAAGGTTTTTTGAATGATTGTCCGTCTTTCTCTTGCCCCAATCCATCCACGTTTTGATATTGTAAAAATAATTTATCAGTTTTCAAACCAATGTTTTATCTAACTTTTCCATTTTTTCACCTCAAATACGAGATACAGAGAGACCCACTGATAGTAGGTGTTGTACAATGTAGCACCGTCATATTCTCGTTTAGCACACGAACCCTGTACATCAATGGACATGTATTTACATTGTACATATTATGTGAATTAAAGTATTCCACTTATACTTACTTTTTAACAAGAATTAAAGGAAAATGAGGCGTAATTTAAAGTGACTCTCTGATTCCGTAAACGCTTATCTATGTTTTCTTTTTGAGAATTGTCTATTTTCAATTAGGGTTCTCTTTAAAAGTTACGACGACGACGAGTGTACTGTTAACAGAAGTATCAAAGTGACGGAGGAAATTTTAAGAATAAAGTAAGGTTTAGTATATCGGTGTTGTCTTTGACATTAAATTGTTCTGAGGCCGAATTTAAAGAATTTAAGCCGTGACTAAAATATGGTTGGTTCCATTTAAATCGTATTCAATGTTTCAAGTTTGAAACTGGCGCTCAATTAAAACCGGTTTTTGGCTGATTTAAAACACGGCTTAAATTCAATAAATTCGGAAACAGAAAAGATTTAAACGGCACCATGTAACAGTTATGCATTTCTTTTAATCAAACGTCACTTGAAATTACGCCGACATGCTCTTAAAATTTACAGAAAATCTGTTAAAAAGTTCCTTTACCTTAAAATCTGGTGGAATATTGAAGTTAGAATACATCCAACAATAACTGTTCAAAACATCCTGATTCACCCCACCTTTGCGCTAAACAAATATGTTTAGATTCACCCCGCCTTTGCGCTAAACAAATATGTTTAGATTCACCGCACCACTACACTAAACGAATATGTTCAGATTCACCCCACCTTTGAGTTAAACAAATATGTTCAGATTCACCTCACCACTACACTAAACAAATATGTTCTTATTTACCCCACCACTGCGCTAAACAAATATGTTCAGATTCACCCCACATTTGCGCTAAACAAATATGTTGAGAATCACCCCACCACTGCGCCAAACAAATCTGTTCAGATTCACCTCACCACTGCGCTAAACAAATATATTTAGATTCACCCCACCCTTGCGCTAAACAAATATGTTCAGATTTACCACACCACTGCGCTAAACAAATATGTTCAGATTCACCCCACATTTGCGCTAAACAAATATGTTGAGAATCACCCCACCACTGCGCCAAACAAATATGTTCAGATTCACCCCACCCTTGCGCTAAACAAATATGTTCAGATTCACCTCACCACTGCGCTAAACAAATATGTTCAGATTCACCACACCACTGCGCTAAACAAATAGGTTCAGATTTACCACACCACTGCGCTATACAAATATGTTCAGATTCACCACACCACTGCTTTACCACACCACTGCGCTAAACAAATATGTTCAGATTTACCACACCACTACACTAAACAAATATATTGAGAATCACCCCACCACTGCGCTAAACAAATAGGTTCAGATTCACCCCACCACTGCGCTAAACAAATATGTTCAGATTCACCACACCACTGCGCTAAACAAATATGTTCAGATTTACCCCACCACTACACTATACAAATATGTTTAGATACACCCCACCACTACGCTATACAAATATGTTCAGATTTACTCCACCACTACGCTATACAAATATGTTCAGATTCACCCCACTATTACATATCTTTTATTTGTTTTTATATATATAGGTTTACAATATATCTATTTCTTGACTTGTTTGTTTGTTACATCCTGTAAAAGAAGGGAGGGAATATTTTGAAACCCTGGTTTAAAAAGGCAGTTCAGAGCCAGGGTCAGAAAAACTTGTAGATACTAATTGTACAATGTCTATTCGTTAAGTGACTGATTAATTTTTACCCCAAACAAATACATAAACTTGGTTTCGCTCTCAAGACTCTATGTTAAGTTCCCAGCTCTGGTTAACGAGGATGTAATACTCCCAGAGGAGACATTTTCTTTTTCAATACATTATTTGGAGAAAATTAAGACTGCAACAGTTACGTATTGTTTGCAGTATGTGTATCAGTAGAAATGTTATCTATTAACAATAATATATTCAAATATACTATATAGTTCAGTTATTGCATTAAATAAAAGATGTCGTATTAATTGTTTTGGAAAAACCCCTGTATTTTTTATGTACAGGATTATCCACACAGAATGGGATTTTAATAACTTAAAAAATATAAAAACCTGAAATCTGAACTTTGTCTTAAGTTAAAGGGACTGTAAGCTTAATGGAAGGGATTTTGCTTTCAAAGATTGCAATAGTAATACTCGATACGTTGCCATTAACAGCCTTGTTTGGTCCAGCATGAATACTGATTATATTCAAGTTTGATTTATTTAAAAAAGTTATTTGCTAATTTCTACTGCAGGAAAACATATTGAGCTTTTTATGATTAAGCACTTGGTTTCAAAGGTACCGTTATGAATCGGGCATTGAGATCTTTGCATGGAGTCACTTTACACGTACAGTCCCTTTAACGGTTGCAGGGACAACTGAGTAAATTTCATAACGTTGATTTTTCAGTCTCATCCTCTGCGGGTAACCATGTAATTATCGAATAGCTCACCACATCACATGATATAGGATCTCCAAAGAACTGTTTTGATGTTGAAACTACTGAGAGAGCAAGTAGTAGAGTAGTAGTTGCCTTTTGTAATACTTTATTTTATTTATAGTTAAGAGTCAGGTTTTGTTTATGGTTTTATCTTTATTTACAAAAACCTTGAATTGTAGAATGCATATTTTAATCATAAAAGTATTTGGAGGACGGGGTGGGATAAGAGAAGTATATTTTCGGCCCCCCCCCCTCTCCTCACCTCTTTCTATAGAAAAAGTTTAAATATAAGCAATGCATGCTAATTTTCTTTCAAAAATAATCTTTTTTTATGCAATTAAGAGATGCATTGTTTGGCTTCTCAATCAAAAGTTTATTTATTTATCATATTCAATTTATTTAGCATATTCAATTTATTTATCATATTCAATTTATTTATCATATTCAATTTATTTATCATATTCAATTTATTTATCATATTCAATTTATTTATCATATTCAATTTTTTTATCATATTCAATTTATTTAACATATTCAATTTATTTATCATATTCAATTTATTTATGATATTTAATTTATTTAGCATATTCAATTTATTAATCATATTCAATTTATTTATCATATTCAATTTATTTAGCATCTTCAACTTTTTCCTATTTGTTACAAATAATTGCGTTATTTGATTTTGCTGCCCCTTGAACTTGCCAACGTCTTTTTAATTTTTTAACTATCTCAAAGGAATTGAGTTATTACCAAAAAGATTTTCTATTCCCTATATCTGAGCAACCCAATGTTGTAGACCTTTAACATTTCAAACTATGAATTCTGTTAGATGAAATAATCTAAGTTTGAAATATCAAAGAGTTACACCATCTGCCTGCAAATATATAGGGATTACACATTTGAGTTTGTGGCAAAAACTCATTTCCTTTGTGGACATATCTTACTAGGAAATACAGTTATTAACGAAAATAAAATTCTAAATTTTTTATAAAATAAAGTATGTTTCCTTGTAGAATAGTTTAAACGTCCAGTTGTCTATACTTACTTGATTTACCTAGATAAAATAGAAGATCATATTTATCTTTGTTTAAGTCACATTTATTTACCTCTAAAAATAATTTTGTCGCAGTGGTTGCAGCACCCAATATTTCCGCCATTTTTGGTAATCTAGCAAATTCAGGTAATTTATAAGGTACTAGGTAGTTTCTATGTAACCTTGCTTATACTGCTTAAATAGCTCTTTGTCTATCGAAATTTATGTTTTTATTTTGAAAATCTGTTTATTTTCATTCGTGGTTTCTAAACCGAAGCGACTTGCACATATCTTTCTTCAGAAACAAAAAGAAATTATCAAAATTAAACACTTTCCAATCAAGAAGAACAATCTATCTTCCATATTAATGATCAGATTGAGGTTTTAAGGGTAAAGTTGTGAATCGAGTATGCCACTCTTTTTTTGAATAGAGACTTAAAATTACATCTGCAGTCCCTTTTTAAACCGTTGCAAAATATAAGGATTAGTTCTTTGGTTCCTTTGATTTGCAGGGTCCGTCATAGAGTACGATTTTTTGACCCCCCCCCCCGCCCCCCCCCCCTCCTATCAATTTTGTACATGACCACTTATTTTTCAGCAAATTTATTATTATTTATTTAGGGTTAGGTTAGGTTAAGACAATTTCTGGGCCGAGCACTGCGGCTAGGACAGGCTAGGGGGCCGAGCGCTGCGGCCACATGTCTTGCATTTAAGATCCTCTTACATTTAAGATCCATGTACAAAATTGATAGGAGCGGGGGGGGGCGGGGGGTCTCAAAATCGTTCTCTAGGAAATTACCGATTTGTATAATAGTCTAAACAGAGAAAATCTTTGAATACTACATACAATGTAAACAGTGCTTTAAGGTCTTGAAATTTAATACTTTCAGCTAACAAGATGTAGAGAACCTAAGTGCTATCTTCCCGTCATCTTATCTTGAGAATACACCCCTTCAAAAATACAATTAACTACATGTAACTAGACCGAGTAAACAAAACAAGAATCTTTCATCTTAAAAAGTAAATAAAAATAATATTTACTGAAAAAACTACAGAAGTTTATTGTTATATTTTTTACATTAAACATTAATACTTGCAGAGTTAGAAATCATATTTTTAGAAGATTCTCTTCTAATATACAATTAACTGCCATAGAAGTTATCAATGAACAAAAAGTTTATTTGATAACAAAGGAATTGAGTCTTTGCCACAAACACTAATTTTCAAATCACAATATCTTTGTAACCCAATGTAGAACACCTTAGATATTTCAAACTATGAATTATATTAGATTAAATAATCCAAGTTTGAAAAATCAAAGGTCTACTACAATACATTCTAAAGATATGGGGATTACAATTTTTAGTTGGTGGCAAAGACTCAATTCCTTTACAAGAGCATAAAAACTTTAGCATTTATTCACAAGTCTCCATTTAAATGAATTTGGTCCTGCTTTGAATGTTTAACTGTAATTCTAATTCATAGCACAGGGTACCTTTCACACTTTAAAGTATTTGACGTCTGGCGATTTGTACGTCAATTGCATGCACTGACCATTGACCTCGAAAGTATCCTCTAAAATTGACAAATGTCTAAGTGCAAAATGCTAATAAGCCTTTTTGAAGGAATTTAGCGCTTTTTTAGATATTGTCAATTCAAATTCTGTAATTTTGAAAATAAAACGGAGTTGTCATTCTCGAGTTAAAGAACAAAAATATATACAATAATAATTTTCATTTCCGAAAAATTATTAAAAAATGCTTTCTTCTCAATTCTAGCTTTTCTGTTCACATATACATGTAAATGTTTAGAGCTGTAGGGCAGACTGAGTATGTTTGTATATGGGGGAAATATTACTCCTGGCTTTCCCCCATGTTTTATTTTCCCCAGGCTCTGTATTACTCACTATACTCTTGTACTATGTAAATATCCATTACGTCGCTTATCAGCTATCATTTTTTTATCTTTCCTTTTTTAAAATAAATTTTATTCTATTATAGTTGAATTGACATAATATTTCGTTTTACCCTATTTAATTGTTTTCTCCGCTACAGCCACATTGAAACCAGGCATAATAGAATGAAGATGATATTAACACTGCAATAAACCCTGTTTACATCCAATTTTAATCTGTTAGTTTTAGTAGAGTATTTTTAATTTTTATTTTATTTTACCTCTTTCATTCTTTTAACCTTTTTTGCTTGCTTTAAAGGTTAAATTGTAATTGTAATTATGCTGTGTTGCGGCGCCTTTTTGAAGACGACATTGATTCATGATTGTACACTGAAAAAAAAATGACGTGACACTATATAGTTGTTTCTTTAAAGTCTTAAATTTTCGCGTCAAAAACAACAAAAGTAAAAAGTATAAAATGTAAATCAAACAGAGTTCTACAAAATAACTAAATTATAATTAATCTAAATCTAATTATAAAAATAGGTTAAATGAATGCGCAGCGCTACATCATTTTCCAGGAAACCAATTGATATACAATTAGGAGACTTCAGGGATATCCCAAGGTTAAATATTTAACTCCTCGATTTGGTGACTTAATAATTTATTCACTAGCTTAAAGTTATGGTTTAATATAAACCAGAGCGGCATTTAAGCTAAAACTTAACATTTTAGGTTGTTACTTTTTGTTTTTTAGATTCGGCTCGGAGAAAGGGTAGAACAATGTACTACTGCAAGGAAAGTTAATTGTGGTTGCGTATACTCTGCGTACATATTGAAACCAGTTCTCTCTGAGTGGAATTTGTAAACAAGAATAGATGCATTAGTGTTCGTTTAGTATCCGAGAAGGTTAAAAGCATTTAATTTTGATAATTTTAATAATCCACATAAAAGTTTCCAATGACCAGAATATTTCATAGATTATTTTTGTGAAAATAGATTCCATGTCAGGCTGTGACATCTGTCTTGTGTTTACCTTTCCGCCCAAAGATAGTACACTGCAGTACAAAAAATGCGTACACCTCTGAAATAACTTTCCTTGTATTAGTACCTTGGGGTAGAGTATAGAATGCTGATAGACACTTTGTACAGGGGAATTGTACAGACCCCTTATCATTGAACATAAAGGTTAACATGTAAATTTAAAGATGAGGGGAATTTTCGTAGACGTCATTTTAAACATGAATAAAAATGCAGAAACCAATTAATGTACATATTCTAACTCCTCAGGGTTCGACATGACAAGAATTTGAAGTATGTTTGGACCAAAACATTGTAATTCATTTTCTATCTCTAACTTAATAGATAATACTCTAAATGTTCTACACTCTAATCTTAAAGCATAATTTGTTGTCTTTATTCATGACAAATTTTATTCAATACATATTATAAATAACAAGCATTGGCACGTTAAAATGTAATATAAAAACAAAACAAAATAATTTAATATTTAAGTTGAACTAATCATAATTCTATATTTACAAATATTCAAACTCAAAGGAACTTAACGCTTAACAAAAACTCTAATTTATAACCGTTATTTTGATATATCAAATGTCTATGACATCATGTAACAGGTTCCGAATTTCCAAATATATAAGAATACAAAATGTTTATTTTCAGTTCCTTCCTGAAAAAATACTGATTTTAAAGAAGAAGAAAAAAATTCAAAACAAATTCTTATAAATGATGATCAAATACATTAAAGCACCTTTAAAATTTAAAATAATACGACATACAGATAGAAAGGAACAGCTTCAGGTATCAAATAAAATCATTATTTAAATCTTTCTTGAGATCTTACAAAGAGCGAAAAATTTCAAACTTGACGCAAATAAAGCATAAAAATACTGCAAGGGATAAATAAAACGTTTAAAGTAAAAATAAAAATATTCGATGCGTTGTAGTTTTTAATATGAGGTCTTTAAGAAAAAGCTTTTTCATTTTTGAAATGAAGATTAAACGAAGAAGAAAAAATTTAAAAATAAGAAAAATATTGGAAAAATATTTTCATTAATTGTACGTTTCAAATTGAGCAATGATCAATTCCATGATGGGCGGATTTTTGGTAACTAATAATTTGGTAACAAACATTTTGGTAACTTGACCATTTGGTAATCTCACAATTTGGTTTGTTAGGTTAAGACGATTTCTGGGCCGGCGCTGCGGCTAGGACAGGCTAGGGGGCCGAGCGCTGCGACTATATTTATCAACTAATACAATTATATCCGATATTGGTCGTTAGGTTAGGTTAAGACAATTTCTGGGCCGAACGTCGCGTTGCGAGGAGAGGTTAGGGGACTGAATTTACAAACAGTTTTTAAGAAATTCTGCATATTGTTTTTTCTCTCTATCTATACAACAAATAAATATTAAATATACAAACAATGATTGTGAAGCATAAGTTTCAATTATACAAATTGTTAGTTACCAAATTGTCGGATACCAAATTGTCGGATACCAAATCTTCAGGTTATCAAATTTTCAGGTTACCAAATCGTCAGGTTACCAAATATTTAGGTTACCTAATTGTCAGGTTACCACATTGTTGGTTACCAAGTTGTTGGTTACCAAATTGTCGGGTTACCAAATTGTTAGTTACCAAAATATTAGTTACCAAATTATTAGTTACCAAATTATTAGTTACCAAATGTTAGTTACCAAATTATTAGTTACCAAATTATTAGTTACCAAATTATTAGTTACCAAATTGTTAGTTACCAAATTATTAGTTACCAAAATTCCGCGTATCCAATTTCATAAATTATTAACTAATTAGTACTTGAAAGCAGCAAAAATCATTTAGTTGAACTAATAACAGATAAATCGAATCTTACCAATTAGTGACTAATCGATCGGTAAATGATCAATCGAATAACATGACTACCTAATCTACCGTGGTCGGCGTTTCTATCAATACAATGAAAACATCTTTTTTATTTAAGTTTAGATTTTTAACAAGCTTTTATAAAATTACAAGTTTACTAGTAAACAAAGAGAATCTGTTAATTGACAGCTTTGATCCAATGTTTATATGTTGTATATGTTGTGAAAGCTTGGTAGAAATCAACAATTGAAAATTAAAGTCGTCTTTATTTTATTGATATATACGACGACGACTGTAGTAAAAAATTGATGTATTGACATAACAAAGAAGAATTTGTATCCTGCTTAATTGATCAATTCGATAAATTGAATGATCATAAGTAAATCGATTAATTGAATGATCGTAAATGATCAAATTATTGATTGAAGTATCTAGAGCTGTGTTGTAGCATCTACAGGGTGTGCTCTAAAGCTGTGAGATTTCTTAGGAGTGCTTGTGTTGAAATCCTAAAATAAATATGAACATTAAAACATTAAGCTTAGATATATGCAGTATCAACCACAGACATACAGGGTCAACCATAGACATAAAGGTCAACCACAGACATACAGGGTCAACCATAGACATAGAGGGTCAACCACAGACATACAAGGACAACCACAGACATAAGGATAAACCATAGACATACAGGGACAACCATAGACATACAGGATAAACCATAGGCATACAGGGTCAAACATAGACATACAGGATACACCATAGGCATACAGGGTCATCCATAGACATACAGAATAAACCATAGACATACAGGATAAACCATAGATATACAGGGTCAACCATAGTCATACAGGGTCTACCATAGACATACAGGGTCAACCACAGACATACAGAACCAACCATAGACAAACAGGGTCAACCATAGACATACAGGGTCAACCATAGACATACAGAATCAACCATAGATATACAGGGTCAACCATAGTCATACAGGGTCTACCATAGACATACAGGGTCAACCACAGACATACAGAACCAACCATAGACAAACAGGGTCAACCATAGACATACAGAATCAACCATAGACATACAGAATCAACCACAGACATGCAGGGTTAACCACAGACATGCAGGGTTAACCACAGACATACAGGGTTAACCACAGACATACAGGGTTAACCACAGACATACAGGGTTAACCACAGACATACAGAATCAACCACGGACGTATGGGGTCAATCTTTGACATACAGGGTCAACCGCAGACATACAGGATCAACTACAGACATGTGTACAGTGTACGATGTACATACAAAATTAATCTTGTTTTCTTAAATATATTGTGCTCTGCATTTCAACTGTCAATTTATCCCATTCTTTACTTTTATCATTTAGTATAAAATTCAAAGAATATATTCATGGAAGAACATTAAATTCATCTTTTTAGAAGAGATATTTAATCGTTTGTGCAAAAGTCAATCTTTTTATAAATTATTTCAAACTATAAATCATAGTTTGAAAATTTGTTATATTCATCAATAAGTTTTTTGTATGTTCTTTTAAATATTTTCTTTTTCTTTAGATTTTGATGTTTGTCACAAGTGATTACACCATTTTAATAGGAACAGTCCTATTTAAATTTAGTGAAACTGGTCTCCCCAATTGCTGTGGTTCGTGCTCATTTGACTTTTTAAAGCTAAAACTTGATTCGTAAAGTCGTCTTCCTATTCCATAGATTTTTGGTTATCACTGTATTAAATGTTTTATATTCATATTTTAACAACGTTGTTATCTAAATGAACGGCCACAAAAGGTTAAATTTTTCGATATTGATAAATTTTATTTTTTTGACTGTTACCTGAACTCCATGAAAAATGAGGTTCTCTTGATCTTGATAAACTGGGTTTACTCTTCCTACATCTACAGGAGCTACTTCGACCCTATACAAAGTAGCATTAATAACTGCCATTAATTACATTTACAGGGGCTCTTTCAACCCTTAATAAAGTAGCATTCAAAATACAAATACAATGTTATTAAAGTAATGTTTATAAATTAAAATAAAATCAAGATATCAACAATAGCTAACGTTTATTTTTACAAAGAGAAGCACAATATCAGAAATTAAAATCGATAAAATTTTTATTTCATTTTTAAGTTTGAATTTTTAATGTCTGGAACAATAGAATTAAAGAAAAAAATATAATTAACCACTCGAGGAAGATCTATTTATAAATTGCATTATATCGTAAAATTCTCTATAGAATTTTATTGCGGTTGTTTAGGCTTAACTATTCCTTATTCTTCAATGCAAATATAGAGATTGTATTCACTGTCCCAACCCTATAAACTTTCTATACCATTTTGTATTTAAGAGAATATTCAGAATAATACATAATAAAACGTTTTTAAATACAGCGTCAAACCTTATAGAAATCCAACGTAGTGTAAAGTAAATATAATTTTCATAAAATCCTTTTATTTAAATGGTAAAACGAAATTTTATGAAATCATATTAGCATTACTGGAGAACTTTTATTAGACTTTTAAGAATTTTTCCAAACCTAAAATGTACGTATTAAACTATTTTGCTCCTTTAATGTCTAGGTTATGTTAAGAAAATAGAAATTATGATAATGATAATGATAAGCTACAATATTTTACAAAAACGTTTAATTTTCAAAAATATAAAAAAATGTTCTCCCGGAAAATACGCCATGTTGCTATACATAGCGGGTCCATACGTTGGATTTCTATAAGGTTTGACGCCAACTGGTTCAAGTCAAGCCTACTGGTCATTTCATCATGGTATATTGTACAGTGACAGGCGATTATATTGATATAATGAAGACAACTTTTGATTTTAATTTTGATTTTTATGAAGCTTTTAAACAGCATAGATGCACAAAAAAATGGAAACAAAGAGAAGCTGTCAATCAAAAAAGCTTCTTTAATTACTTGTGAATTTGTAATTAAAAGATAGGTTTTAACAATTAAATTTTAAATAAAAAGACGTCCTCATTATATTGATATTATCCGTATATAAATATGTGTACATTATATCTCTACAGGTGAGAAACCGCTGATCTGCATCAACAAATTGCAAAAAAATGTAAAATATTTCAAAACTAAAGAAAACCAATGTATTAGCATTCTTTTAAATTGCAGCAGACTACGTTTATATATGGTGGTCGCCATCATTAATTGAAAAAGGAGCACAACTGAATTTTAATCAAAACTGTATTTTCTGCTTACAAGTTAATATGTAAGACGATATACTTTTAAAAGGACTAACAAAAAAACAATGCAACTGTGGAAATCAAAAATTTCAATCTTGAAAATAATTTAAGACCATGAACTTTACTTACTTCCTAGAGCTGGATAAATTACGGTATACAGGTCGACCAGCCCGTCCTGATACAGTCGCTGCTCTGAAGGTTGAGTGGGTCAACCCGGGCTCTTGGACTGGCGAACTTCCAGCTGAAAAAGATTTAGTTTCAACTTGGATGATAACTTTGTTTGTTTTCCCTGGAATTGAACTGAAAACTCGCCACAAACTCATATTTTTTAATATCTATGATTTTTATACAGTTAAACCCTTAATAACTAATACATCGGAAGAATTTATCAAATGTCGTCTTGACAATTTTTCAACAAGTTTTATACTATAGTTCGTAAATTTCAGTATTTGAGAAAATAAATAAATATCCATGACTATTCGGGAACAGTCTTTAAGAGTTCTATATAGTCATTTAATTAAAAACCTAAATATCTGCAATATTCCATTATTAGAAAGTGAAGAATACGACATTTGATGAATTCTTTCGATGTATTCGTTATTAAGGGTTTCACTGTATGAAAGTGCACACCTTTTGAAATTTCAATTTTGGACTATTTGATTAAACTTTTAAATATCAATATTGTCTTTGACGTCAGGTTGTAAAGATTATTAGAATTAGAATTGGGGGAAAACTTTCAGATCCTTTATAATTGTTATTCGAAAGAAATCCCTAAAAGTACTTGCTTTACTTGAGAAACTTTCGAATCCGTCTGTGTGTGCACGAGTTGCCCACTAAGAATGAGACTGTAGGGACGACTGTAGGGAATTTACGTCTTTCTTATATTTCAAGTTCCCTGGAAGTTGACTCTTGTTTTTTTGGTTTGACAAATCACAAGTAGATTAGATAAAGATTAGGTAAAAAAAGACAAATAAGACCTTTAGATCTTCATAGTTTAATATTCTGCGATCGTCATTATCATCATCTTTTTCTTTGCTGGTCACACTGTCTCTAAACTAACTAGATCATTTACTTACATGAGCTTGTATCGTGAGTAATATAACTGACATTGTCCAGATGAAATCCAGGATCAAATCCTCGTTGCTTTCTGAAATTATAAAAATAAAACTTTCAAATCTCGAAGACGACCTTCAAAACCATTATATCAGCTGATTCAGCCTAATATACCTGTTCGTGAAATCCATTCTCAGATCATTGTCAACATCATCAATAGCAACACTCATCTGTAGAACCTGAACACAAACACATGAAAAAACTCTGCCATGTAAACACTTATATAATAGCCAGGATGTTTTACATCATCATGGCTTAACATGCAGATCATCTTAAAATTATAAAAAACCTGTAATGAAAAAATAAATGTTTAATCTTTTTATACATTTTTTTTCGAGATGGTTATACTCATACCCGATTCCTATCGGCTGCAATTCAAACTTTAATCTGATCAAAAAATGTGGAAGATATCGTTGTTTCTCTATACTTAAACATTGTTTAATTCTGATAATTTGGTCATAGTACAGAAAAAATTAAAAAATGCGCTTTTGCAGGAACCCTCAAATGAAAAAAAAACCAGTTTTCAATAACAAAAACATGGATATCTAATTCATGCTTGATAAGACAAATCTTTTAATGTTACCGTTGTGAATCGAAATTACTGGAATATACGTTCCCAGTCCCTTTTATCAAATTGTCAAACTGTCAAACTGTCAAACTGTCAAACTGTCAAACTGTCAAACTGTCAAACTGGCAAATTGTCAAATTGTCAAATTGTCAAATTGTCAAATTGTCAAATTGTCAAATTGTCAAATTGTCAAATTGTCAAATTATAAAATTATCAAACGTCAAAAAAATCATAAATCCAAATGCTTCTCTCAAGTTTAATTAAAATCAGGAAGCAAAGTAGATATTGCTTTTATCCGCACTCATATCTTACTTGCGTGAAGACGACATTTATTAGTATCTGGCTTGTTTACCTGTGTTTCATATTCCTTGAGATTTGGCTCTACAAAGACTGGTTCATATTTAGGTATTATCACCATTCTCTCAGCTCTACTTTTAGCGTCTCTTAATCTAGAATTAAAATAAATAAATATTTATTAATATTCTGAACAAGACAACACTATTCTGGCAACTAGTTTTTTAAACGCTCAAATACAAAAAGTCTTGGAATATTATGTGTATCTTAGTAATGGGAATCAATCCACCAAGATGGGAGGTCAATATTTTCAATATTGTGGTTTCTTTACTTTTCCTATAAATTGCTTTAATATTCTACTTCTTGATTCAAATTGATATTTTTTCTTTTATTTATTCCAAATATCGCCAAAATAAAGTATGTTTTTTTGCTGAACCATAATTTACCTAATATATAGGAAGAGAAGATAAAGTATAGCTATAACAGAACTAGCAAACACCAGACAACCAATCGCAATCAGGACAGCTGGGTACCCACTGAAAATTGTAATTAATTATAACAGCCGGATAGCCATGCACTGAAAAATATAATCAAATTATAATTATATATAAAACTAGCTGAAGGGCCCGGCGTTGCCCGTGAAAAAAAAATTTGCAAGAAAATTTTTTTTGTTTTTTTTTTAGCCTATAACACCCACCGGCCAGTGGCCACCCATGAGTGTCTACAAAAATTTCAGCCCAATGTATTTAACCGTACCTCTATCTACAAATTTACCTGTGCGGATTACTGTACAGTGTACGGATGTAAGAAACCGTACCTCTATTTACAAATTTACCTGTACTGATTACTGTACAGTGTACGGATGGATGTTGTTGATGGCTGAGCAGCAGTAACTGGTGTTTCAGCAAATACTGTATGTATATCGCTGGCCTGATAAATAAATATATAGATAAATAATTATTGATTTCATTCAATATTTTTATCTTTTAAACCAAAGAATAATCTAATTGTAGTGTAAACTGAACGTTCACCATATAATGGCAAAAAGGACATATTTTTTGATAATATAATAATATAATAATATAATAATATAATAATATAATAATATAATAATATAAAAATATAATAAAAATGGATGACGGGTCATTTATCGGAGTACAACTGCGTACCTGTAAATGAAGCTGTCCAGTAACTATGTACATATACACCTGTACATGAACCTGTCCAGTAACTATTTACATATCTTCCTGTACATGAAGTTGTCAAGTAACTATGTACATATCTACCTGTACATAAAGTTGTCCAGTGATTATGGCCATATCTACCTGTACATGAACCTGTCCAGTAACTATGTACATGTATAACTGTACATGAAGTGTCTGGTAACTATGTTAATGAAGTTGTCCAGTGATTATGTCCATATCCTGTTCATAAAGCTGTCCGGTAACTATGTACATATCTACTTGTACATGAAGCAGTCCAGTAACATGTACATATCTACCTGTACATGAAGTTTTCCCGTGACTATAATGTCTTCATCTATCTGTACATGAAGCTGTCCAGTATGTACATGTATACCTGTACATGAAGCTGTCCATTAACTATGTAAATGTATACCTGTACATGAAGCTGTCCATTAACTATGTAAATGTATACCTGTACATGAAGGTGTTCATTAACTATGTAAATATATACCTGTACATGAAGCTGTCCAGTAACTATTTAAATATATACCTGTACATGAAGCTGTCCAGTAACTATGTAAATATATACCTGTACATGAAGCTGTCCAGTAACTATGTAATTGATACTAGTCTGTGCTTGTTTACTAAGTATTTTCTCCTCAGATAAAGTTTGATTTATCTTCAACAGTTCCTGGGTTTCAGGATCCACACCATAAAACCAGACATCAGAATCTAAATATTAAATTAGACATTTCAGAATGTAAATATTAGAATCTGAATATTAGAATATATAAATTTCTGTAATTCTACATAAATAACAGAATCAAAATCTAACTATATATAAATGTCTGAATGTAAACGGCAGAATCAGATATTAAAATATAAATATCAGAATTAGGTTGTCAAATTCCAATTGTTAAAAACTTAACACCAGAAATTTATTATCAGAATATACATAAAGATCATTATCTACATACTTTCTGAATATAACTATCAAAATCTAATTGTTAGAATCTTGGGAGAATGAAAATCAAGATTCAAAAATATTAAAATGATAAAACTAGTTGAATACCTGTTAAACTTGTGACGCAGCATGTTTCATTCTCGTCTTTACTTAGCATAGGCATGGTGCGGTCTGAACACAGATTTGTCATACTTGGATTTATCAAAATGGGGACATTTTCTTTAAAATATTTTGTATAACTTATAGAAATATGTATTTCACTGTAATCTTCCCAGGCTACATTTGTTGCATAAAACGTTCAAGGTACACTTGGTAGTCCAGACTGGACGGTACGAATTGATGCATATACACAACATGTTGTGCCAACTTTTAAAGCATGGTGTGGTTAAGAGACTTTTTAGGAAAATTAATTTGTTTTAACTTTAATGTTTATCCATTGTCTACTGACTATAAGGCTAGCATCTTTTCATTGTAAACGATCTGAACATTAGCCACAAACTCAATCTTTGCAATCTGATGTCGTTAACCTTTGATATTTCAAACTATTACTTCTGATAAATAAAGAGTTTAAGGTTAAACATCAACGGTTTACACTATCAGGTAGCTCAGATACAAGGTAATGAAAGAGTATTCAGTTCCTATTGTAATAAAAAGTTCTGTAAAAGCATTATTTTATTATATTCTAAAGAATTACCTATATTAACGATAAGGTTTGTTTGAGAGCTAAGGAGGTCAGCCAACTCTTTATGTCTAAATACAACACAAAGTTAGACTATTTAATCTTCAAACATCAAGGGGGATATACCTCTCACCTCATTCTTAACATACCTTTAAACATGAAGGGGAATTTACCTCTCCCCTCATTCTTAACATACCTTTAAACATCAAGGGGGCTTTACCACTCCCCTCATTCTTAACATACCTTTAAACATCAAGGGGGCTTTACCACTCCCCTCATTCTTAACATACCTTTAAACATCAAGGGGGATTTACCTCTCACCTCATTCTTAACATACCTTTAAACATCAAGGGGGATTTACCTCTCCCCTCATTCTTAACATACCTTTAAAGGGACTGTCTAAAATTTTCCCTTCCCCCCCCCCCTCACAAGGAAAACAAAATGAATACACACATCATTATAATAAGAAAAAACAAAAACAAAAAACAAACTTAAGCATATAGACGGATCCTTAAGAGAACTACTAGGATGGAACGGGTTCTCCTAGTAAACCATGGAATGATCTGTACTAAGGTTGTATTTTAGAGAACTAGGATGAGACAGGTTCTCCTAGTAAACCATGGAATGATCTCTACTAAGGTTGTATTCTAGAGAACAAGGATGAGACATGTTCTCCTAGTGAACCATGGATTGATCTCTACTAAGGTTGTATCCTAGAGAACTAGGATGAGACAGGTTCTCCTAGTAAACCATGGATTGATCTCTACTAAGGTTGTATTCTAGAAAATTAGGATAGGAAGAGTTCTCCTAGTAAACCTTGGAATGATCTCTACTAAGGTTGTATTCTAGAAAATTAGGATAGGAAGAGTTCTCCTAGTAAATTGTACCTTGGAATAATCTGTGCTGGGGTTGTATCCCTGAGAACTAGAACGAATAGGTTCTCTCTAGTAAGAAGGTTTACAACTAGCTCCGTCCTGCTCATCTTACTATCCTCGGGGTATCCTGGATTATCCCTACAAAATAATTATTGATAAATTTATTTTATTTAAACATGGATTTATGAAGTATTAAAATTCAACAGTTAGAACCCAAAGGAAAGACATGAAAAGGTATTTGGTTTTAGGCGGTTTTTTTTTAAATCCTAAACGTACATATAGAATATGCCTGGGTCCACGTTTGTGAACTGGTTTCGAAGATTAAGGAACTTAGTATTCACTAAAAACTCTAACAAGATCAGATATATTTGATCTGCGTTAAAGAATCGTGTAGAACTATGAAATATTTAAAACTATGAATTCTTCATGCTGCTACATTGCTTGAAATATCAAAGGTTTACCTCAATCAGTGGAACGAATTTGAAAATTAAAGGCACATACCAGATTTAAAACAAAGAAATTCGCTAGGTATTCTACTCAAAAAACCACCATTGAAAGTAAACAATTTTTTCATTATGAAAAGGTTTTAAGGATGTCGTTATAAATCCTGCCACTCTATATATATAAATCCTGCCACTCTATATATATAAACCCTGCCACTCTAAATATAAATCCTGCCACTCAATATATAAATCCTGCCACTCCCTTTATATAAATCCTGCCACTCTATAAAAGGTATTCATTCATCACTTGAAATCTCGATTACAGTTCCTCTCGACTTCAGACCTGGCATTAATGATGAGGTTGAATGATGTATCCTGGTTCTCCTCCACCAGGTTCTCTTGGAACTCCACCAAGCTGAACACCTCCCCTGTCTTCTCATCTACCTTGAAGTACCTCCTAACAGATACAAAAATATTAATAACTAGCTTGAGAACCCAGCTTTGCCTGGCAACTTTCTCTATAAAAGTCAGTCCACTTAACTGAGAAATTTTTTAAACCAAGCTTAAAACATTGCCGTGGTTTTACCAAAGCACCCCTGTAAGAATTTGAGGCAAATCGGTCAAGGGGTTCATGATCAGACATACAAACAAAAAGACAAATATTGCTACATTATAAATAACAAAAAATATTAAAAATTTATGATATTAATAAAAAACCAATGAAAAATAAAAATAACTATGGATAAAGATATTTTTACAGATAATGCCATGCATTGTTCTTGTTGAGTCTAGTATTTCTTAATTGTTTTCACCACATGGAATTGGGCACGTGATTTAACGGTTCTGTCAATATTCCAGGAAGCTCTCACTTTCATCACAATTTGACCCATTAAAAATAATTTTTTGGTCTTTTTTCCTGTTTACTTTTATGCCGGCATGAATGAAAAGTATAAAACAAAAAATCCATAAGATTGTTGAATAATAGACCAAAATACGTATGATTTCAAATAGAAGAAACAGAACGCCTCTCACTCTGGTTGGTCCGGGGTAAGGGGGGGGGGGGAAGAAGGCGTTGTTTAACCAGTACCTGCCGTCTGAAGATGTTTCAGTGGAGAGATCATATTGTATATTCCCAAATTTTCCACTATCTCTATCCTCAGCGTAAACTTGAAATATCCTGCTACCAACCTGAATATCAATAAGAGTAAAAATGACAAAAGGAATTGATTACTCGCCACAAACCTATATTCTTTTGCAGACTTTTAATACCTGATATAGCAGAATACTAGATCCAGCAGAATACTAGATCTAGTAGAATACTAGATCTAGACTAGATCTAGTAGAATACTTGATCTAGCAGAATACTAGATCCAGCAGAATACTAGATCTAGTAGAATACTAGATCTAGCAGAATACTAGATCTAGTAGAATACTAGATCTAGTAGAATACTAGCTCTAGCAGAATTCTAGTTCTAGTAGAATACTAGATCTAGCAGAATACTAGATCTAGTAGAATACTAGATCTAGTAGAATATTAGATCTAGCAGAATACTAGATCTAGCAGAATACTAGATCTAGCAGAATACTAGATCTAGCAGAATACTAGATCTAGTAGAATACAAGATCTAGTAGAATACTAGATCTAGCAGAATACAAGATCTAGTAGAATACTAGATCTAGCAGAATACTAGATCTGGTAGAATACTAGATCTAGCAGAATACTAGATCTAGTAGAATACTAGATCTAGTAGAATACTAGATCTAGTAGAATACTAGATCTAGTAGAATACTAGATCTAGCAGAATACTATTCCATTGTTTACACCAATGATTTATTAAACGCCCAAAGTTAAGCCATAGAGGGGTTGAGCGTAAAAAGTGACAGTTTTATAGCATACACAAGTTTTGCCCTGAGTTTACAAAGATTACCAATTTAGGGAATGTGAAAGTAAGTAAGTAAGTAAGTAATATCTAAGGCACATTTAATCAAAAATCTAAAAAACCCCATAATAATCTTTAAGAACAGGGAATTCCTTACCTTTGTATTTTGATCTACTATTGTCAAATAGTTCTCTTTGATGACGTCATTGTATGTTTGGTTGTAAACAAACACAGGACTGTTATCATTTTTATCCAGAACAGCTAAGTGTACGGTAGCAATTCGTCTCTGTGTAGTTTATTCATTCATTTTTCAGTTTTTAAACCTTTTTCTTTGGCTCCATTCAATTTAATTAACTTCAGTGTTTTTGAAATGGTTTCTTTAAATCAGTTCAGCTCAAAACTATAATAAAATTTTTTCTAAAATCTAATTTTAAGATATTTTTGAATGAATTCTCCCTGTGGGTTTATGAAGGCACTGAGAGTAATTATTTCCATCTCAACAGTGTACTCAGTCATTGTCTCATAATCCAGACCAGACCTTGAGATTTATAGAGTTTAATAATCTTCTAATTGTTAATATAAAGGTTGTGGATAAGATTTCACTTAAAGGGAATGTATGCGTAATTTCAAGTCATCCATCATTTATAGAGGGATATGTTCATTCCAATAAACAACGGTATCATTTCTTTAATAATAGAGGAGCAGAAACAGAAAATTTATTTGGTAACTTATTTAAATCTTTTAAAGTTAAAACATAAATTTTTATCCGATAAAAAGAAAATTTCATATTATCTAATAATGGTTGATCTTAAACATTTTTTAATTTTCGTAATGCTTCCCTTTAATATGAAGGTTTCACCTTGCTAGGATCAGATTGCATTCTTTCTTTTCATTCATTTCCGCCATAAATAATTCCTTGGCATCTCGTCTATTCTTATCCACAGCTGATCCAATATTACACCTGAACAAGAGTATATTCTTATCTAAAGCTGATCCAATATTACACCTGAACAAGAGTATATTTAATATTACATCTGAACAAGAGTATATTTAATATTACATCTGAATAAGAGTATATTTAATATTACACCTGAACAAGAGTTTATTTAATATTACACCTGAACAAGAGTATATTTAATATTACACCTGAACAAGAGTATGTTTAATATTACACCTGAAAAAGAGTATATTTAATATTACAAGATTTTATTATTTTAATATGTTAAACATTTTATGTTTTAAGACTTTTCATTTTTTAAAGATTTTAAAATTTTCATTGTTTGGGAAACAAGAAATCTAAGAAGCATTATAAACTGGAATAACAAGTGTACTGTAGCTTAGCACTTAGCCCAGTGGAAGTTTCTGATATATTCCTTTATAGGAACAGTATTCTCATAAACTAAGTCTAAATGAAATATAAATGACCGTGACAGTAAACTACTGAAAACAATGATATTTCACTTATCCAAGGGTTTTCCTATGACTTGCTTTTACAGACCAATACAAAATTACAAGAAATTCGATTTATTAAAATATAAATAAAATTATCTTTCTATTAGATTAATAAGAATAACTGCTAAAATACTTTGTCCATATGTGCTATGAGACAAAAATACACTTTAAAGAATCTTAATAAAACTTTTGAAAGTTTTGAGGATTTGTTCAGATTTAAATATGAACATTACAATGGTGTTTAATGCATTATCACAAACTTTTCTTGTAAAACCTTTAATCCTTCCTTTGAAATAAATTAATAAAGTAACACCGATAAAATGTGGAACATGAAGACGACTAAAAGACTATAATTATGATATTTTTCAATGAGCATAAATCACAGGAATTCTGAAATGTACAGACCGACCTTATTCACTTAATAAGTTTATTATATTGGTAAAGCTATTTGCTTCTGTAATGAGGGGAGGGGGGTAACCAACTATACCTCTATATGATGGTTGAGTAGAGTAAACCCTATCCCTGTATTGGGGGGCAGAGTAACAACTTGTTCAACTCGAATTATAATCTCAACACTGGAAAACAATGATGGAGTTCCCTAGACAAATCAACATTTTCATAAATTTGACTTTTCCAGATTTCACAAAAAAAAATATTCTGGACAAAAAATTCATTTAATTTGGCAATTTGGTGGCAATATCATTTTCAATTAGATGAAAAGATTGCAATTTCTTATTTTAGAATGAGTCTTGATTATAGGAGTGTATTTACTTAAACAATTTTAAACAATTTTATATTTGGTTAAATGTTGGTTTCCTGGTCGATTGCTTTAACAATTAGTCGATACTCGTCGTAAACTTCATTGCTAAATAACGTTTAGTTATATCTCAAGCTTTAACTTTTTCATTCTATTTTTAAAGAAATAAATCTTTTCCTTCTTAATTAATAATTAAAGAAGAAATCAGCTTTTATATCACTAATTGAATTAAATGAAAATATGTTTCTAGTTATAATGCAAAAAAAACAAGCTTTAATAAACGATTCAGAAAATATTCAATTTAAGAAAAATTTGTTGTAAATGTGTATCAATAAAGTTGCTAATTTGGAACTAAAAATAAAACCAAGAATAGAAGGTTGTTGATAAAAACTAAATAAAACTAAAAAAATAAAAAATAAAACTAAATCGAAAAAATTAGAAAAACGCGAGAACAAATTTAATTTTGTTACATCCAACCCAAATATCTGAAACTAAAAATATATCAGAAATAAAATAAAAGTTTTAAACAAGAAAAAATAGAAACTTATTTTTTAAACTTATGATTACATCTTAGGTATTGACATTTATTAATGAAAAGTCCTTTAAAAAGTCCTTTTTTTAATAGTTAGGTTCTTTTCAAGCTTTAGCTGAAAAATGCGACCCAGAAAGCTGAGTATAAGTATTCCTGAGATCACCAAGCAGAGTGATTTGACCGGTAGGCTGGTCTATACTAAAGTAGCGTCTGCTTTCTTCACTACTATCCTCTCCTGAACCAACTCATGTTTTTCAAAAGAGCAAACAAAAAAATCCTTGCAGGTTGATTGACATCGACAACAGCTTTAATTTAAGTTTTACAAGTACTTTACTGACAAGAAGATTTCTTAAATTCTTCATAAAAAGTATTTTTTTTTCAGAGAGCACAATATTGAAAGCATGAAAAAAGGATTGAGAAGTATTTTATAAAAGTGCCTCAAAAATGCTACATAAGACGGATTGAGAAGTATTTTATAAAAGTGCCTCAAAAGTGCAAGTGCCTCAAAAGTCCTACATTAAACGGATTGGAAAGTGCTTTATGAATTGGAGAAAAAAACATTGTGATAATTTTGACATTAACTTGTTTCCGAGGTTGTTTTGCTGCACAAAGTAGACATAAAAATAAGAATTCCAGAAGCTAAGATATCCATAAAAAGTTCCCTAGTTCAAATCTAACAATGTTCCCAGGTTCTGTTCCGTCCAGATCTCTAGCTTCAAGAGTTCCTATTACTTGGTTGATATTTGCATCGTTCCTCACATAAATCGTGTTCCCTGAAAATTTATTAAATATTAAAAAATACTTATTCTAATTTATTAAAAATATGATTTTTTTCAAATTTTACCTGCAGGCAGCCTTATAAACTCTGGTGGGAGGTCGTTGACATCTTGTACAGATACTTGTACAGTACATGTACTCATACCTCCTTCCTCACCTATATATGATATTGATGTACATATACTTGTACAGTACATGTACTCATACCTCCTTTCTCACCTATATATGATATTTATGTACCTATACTTGTACAGTACATGTACTCATACCTCCTTCCTCGCCTATACATGATATTTATGTATGTAGTCATACTTCCTTCTCTACCTTTATATGATATTTATGTACAGATACTATACAGTACCCATACCTTTTTCCTCACCTTTATATGGTATGTATGTAGATACTTTTACAGTACATGTACTAGCTATAGTCATACCTCCTTCTCTTCCTTTATATGATATTTATGTAATACCTGTAAAGTACATGTACTCATACCTCCGTCCACATCTATATGTGATATTTATGCATAGAAACTTGTACAGTACGTGTACTAATCATACCTTCTAAAAGATCTATGTACTGATACAGCTAGATTTTATGTAAAGATAATTTAAGCCAATCTTGTCTTTATAGACATTTAAAAATACAGTAGAATCCCAGACCACCAACATTGCCAGTTGACATGTCACTGAAAATTCTAGTTCATTTGAAATACGGCTGAGCTCTGAATAATCGAGCAACCAGTGGCAGAATTTAAAGAATTTGAGCGGCGGTTTAAATCTAAGCCGCGGCTTAAATATTGGTTCCACTTAAAATTGTATCAAATGTCTCAAAATTTAAGCCGGCGCTAAATTTAAACCGGGTTTTGGCGGATTTAAGCCGCGGCTCAAATTCTTTAAATTCCATCTCAGAGCAATGTAAAAATTGCCAAACTTACACTGGAAAACGGGACAATACATGGATCATATTTACAGTAAACATTTACATTTATGTACTGTTACAGATAATGCTACCCATCAATTTTACAGTTACCAAACTTACACTAGAAAACGGGACAATACATGGATCATATGTAGAGTAAATATTTACATTTATGTACTGTTACAGATAACGCTACCGATCAATTTTACAGTTACCAAACTTACACTAGAAAACGGGACAATACACGGATCATATGTAGAGTAAATATTTACATTTATGTAATGTTACAGATAACGCTACCCATCAATTTTACAGTTACCAAACTTACACTAGAAAACGGGACAATACATGGATCATATGTACAGTAAATATTTACATTTATGTACTGTTACAGATAACGCTACCCATCAATTTTACAGTTACCAAACTTACACTAGAAAACGGGACAATACATGGATCATATGTACAGTAAATATTTACATTTATGTACTGTTACAGGTAACGCTACCCATCAATTTTTGCCAATTACTTCTTTCAAAGTCTGGACCTATGTGGTGTTCTTGTACAGTTTAAAATGACACACAAAACCAACCTAATGCAGCTGATTGTTCTGTTCCAATTATCAACGTATGCTCCTTCTCTAGTTCAAAGTCAAGTCCCTTTAAAAATACAACATTTCATTTTAATGTTAAATAATTTATCAACAAACAATTTTAATTGTGAAATAATAAAAAAAAATACAAAAAATTACTGATTTGCTGCATTGTTTTCAATTGTGTGCAATTATAAAATTCATCTGAAAAATAATATGATTTAATTCGACCTTCTGCGGTATCAAATTCCAAGATTAACTGCTTGAATTTCAAGCAGGTGGTAAATATTTCAGAAAAATCAAACACGGAGATTGGAGAACCCTGGTTTCGGCTGCTTTCTATTGGTCTATAGAAGACGGTTTTTATAATTCTACTTTGATCAAATTGACAAAGTTTGAAATGTCAACGTTTTATGCGATTGGGTTGAAGAGATTTAAGGATTATAAAACTAAAGCTACTTGCGGAAGCTCATTTTATACCTCATTCCTTTTTGGTCTAAATAAAACACCTTGATGTTGTAAAATGTGTTTAATCTGATTAGTAGATAATTAGTTTGAAATGTTTGTGTCCCTGAGTAGTGAATATTTCCCCTGTATCAGCATCTATTCGAAATTTATCTAGATCTCCAGAAACAAGCCTAAGGGAATTTGTTTTCAACTACATCATTGACTTAAAATGTTTTCTTTAATTTCTTTGAATCCAGTTTTCATAATGATTAAAATCACTTCTATTAAAAAATGTAAAATCTATTTTTTGTTCATTATTCTATTTTTTTAAATGATGTGGACACGACAACAAATAAAAATATTTGAAAGATGTATAATTGAAACAATATTTTTCCTGTAGTTGATCTGGGCTATTGAGTCTTTATCTTCAGCTTTAACAGTTACAACCAAGAAATCCTAAAAAAATAAAATTTTTGTTTGGTTTGAAAAATATATATAAATATTTTTTAGAGATTGATAAAATTATTGGATGTCTTTGTACAGTCTAATATAATGTCTGGTCCGCTGACTTTAGTCTGTCTTTAAACTGTCTGGTGTACAGTCTAGTACATTATCTGGTATACTGTCTGGTGTAGTGTTTGGTATAGTGTCTGGTAAACTGGCTGGTGTACAGTCTAGTACATTATCTGGTATACTGTCTGGTGTAATGTTTGGTATAGTGACTGGTAAACTGTCTAGTGTGAACGGTCTAATGTACTTTGTTGTGTTCTGTCTTATTACAGTCTCTAGTGTACGGTCTTTTGTGTGCTGTCTTTTAAGTGTATTTGCACTGTTTAGATCTTATGTACTATGCTTTGACTGAACCTTGATATTCTCTGGAACTACAGCTGAGTACAAGGGTTGAGGGAAGAATGGAATCTCATCAGAAGTATCCTGAATTTAAATAGTATTATAAAAATATAAATTTATGTTGATACACTATGTATGAAATGATTATACGCAGGAGTCGAAACTAATGGATGTTATTCCCATGCTGTATCAAGCAATTACACAAATTGAATTAATTTCTCTTGGATTAAGTTTTGTTTTTGTTGTTTGGAAGGTGAAATATAAATTGACTTAAACTGAGACAAATCTATATTGTCTTGAATTAAAGTCGTATTCCATGCATTAACATGGTTAAATAATAAACCTGAACTAGAACTGTAGCTGTTGCAGTTGCAAGTCTAGGCTGTTTTCCTCCGTCCTTGGCTGTTACAACAACATAATGAACCTAGGGAATTTGATTTACAGTCAGGATGAGATCTTGATGGAATATCAATTGATGCTGAGGTCTAAGAGATGGGATTATTTTTTTTCTCTCTAAATCTTAATCTGTCGCCCAATAGGCTATTAAAAATAAAGATCGTCAAGAATCTAAATCTTACAATTGTTTATAGATATGTTGTGCCTCCATTAATAATTTACGATTTTACCTAGGTTAAATACAAATGTTTATTACCTGACTTTTCTCAAAGTCCAAAGCCATCTTCGTAGTAATTTTACCACTGAAATACAAAGAAATCAGTGGAAAAAATATAAACGATTTTTTTTAAACCTTTCTTATCATCAAGTAATTCTGCTTTAATTTATGAATGTTATCTTTGCTACTTAATTTAATTGGATTAATATGAATAACAATTATTTTTTTTTAAGAAGACATTAAAAGAAAAACTAAAGATCACAATAAACATAGATACTCCGTTAGTATATTAAACAAATGTATTCAAAGATTCAGATTAGAAATTTGCTTTTTCTTTGTCAATCTTACTTCTTTGGATCAATATCAAACTCCTCCATCGAGCTGTCAAGGGAGTAGGTCACGTTACCGTTCTCCTAGATCAACATTGTTATAGGAATAGGAAACGGAGCAGGACAAGGATTAAGACAAGGATTAGGACAAGGATTAAGACAAGGATTAGGACAAGGATTAAGACAAGGATTAGAACAAGGGTAAAAAGAAGAGTTAGGACTAGGGTCAAAACAAAGATTAGAACAAGGATTAGTACACGGATTAGGACAAGGATCAAAACAAGGATTAGGACAAGTATTAGAACAAGGATTAGGACAAGTATTATGACAAGGATTAGGACAAGTAATAGGAAAAAGATTAGTACACAGATTAGGACAAGGATCAGGACAAGAATTAGGACAAGGATTAGAACAAGGATTAAGACAAGATTTAAGACAAAGATTAGGACAAGATTTAGGACAAGGACTAGACAAGGAAAAGGACAAGGATTGGACCAGGATTAGGACAATATATAAGGATAAGGATTAAAGGGGTGTGGTATGGAAAGATAGTTCACCAGATTTTGACTATTTATCATGAACCGTCGACCCCTTCATTGTTGATTATATATTGTTGAATATAAGAAAACACTTACATCAGCATCTTTATCCTCAGCTAGAACTTCTCCAACCCCAGCACCAATCTCACCCTCCTTCACTCTAAGAAGATCGTCATAAAAAAAAAATGACGAAATATCACGACAATTATTTTTACATTATAAAATGCAATGGAGTTAACTGGTGAAATCAAAATTGTTTTTGATCATAAAAATATAAAAATATATGAAGAAATTGTTTTTTAAAAATTTTGGTACTTTTTGAGAAAAAAGCGGAGATATTGGAAGTTTTAGAAAAATCGATAATTTTTTATAAATTTCTGATAAATTAATAGTTATAGTTATAGTATTTATTTTCAAACACAAAATACAAATAATAATGTATGATGGTTCAGCTTAAAATAAAACACAAAAGAAACTTTATTATGAGCCAATTCAAAATATAATGTTTGATACTTTTGTTTGGTCGTTTTTGTTGAAACAAAGTATACATATTGAAATCTCAATTGAATATACATTCATTATATTATGAAACTCGATAAGCTTATCTAAAATATAACTTCAATATTTATTCCTTTAAACTTATAAAAAGATAAATTTCTAACTAACCTGAAGGAATAAGGCGTGTTCTTAAACTCTGGAGTTTCATCATTGATATCTATAATCTTAATATTTACTGTTGCAGAGCTAACCTTTCCGCCCTCATCTGCAGCTTGTACAACCTTCAGAAAACAAAATTCCAATTGAAAATATAACATCACAAGATTGTTCAATTAATCAGGGGGGGGGGGCAGATAGGTTCAGTCTGCTTATAATAGTCTCATCAATTTTTAAGCCAGGGTCGACTTTGAAGTGTCGCACTGACATGGGCTTTGATTTTACCGCTCTATAACTCATTTAGGCTTTTCTGTACCCCTTTGCATGTACATTTTAGCACTAAAAAGCAGTTGTTGTTAGCTTTGGTTTTTAGGAAGTAATTGGAAACATTGAAAGATTAAGACCTTTAAATCACAGAGTGGGGGATAAACTATTTCAAAAAGTGTTGATTATATAGTTGTTTGAGTTTTCTTATATACGTATAAAAAGGAGAACCAGGGTTTCCAAATCTAAATTTAATTTGAATTTAATCACAAATTTTTCCTGCTTGGTTTTTACGGGAAACTATTTATCACCGCATGGATAATGGATAATGCAGGAGCAGGAGAATAAAGGAAGATTAGAATGATATCGGAAAGATAATTATGATAGTAATTGAAGGTAAAGAGGAAAAATGGGAACAGGGACAGTGAATAGTGTAGGGAGAAAGACAATATGAAGTTTTGGACAATTATAAGAAAAAAAAAGGAAAGAATTATGAAAAAAGGAAAAAGTCTAATAAGAAAGAAATTGAAAGGAAACACAGTCATGGGAGTAATGGATAAGGAAAAAGAAAAAGGCTAGCTATACATGAAAGAGGAAAGACAGAATAAGAAAAAGATTGAAAGGTGTAATAGAAAGATAGTTATGAATGGTAAATAAGAAAAGGCCAGAAATGGAAAATAGAAGAAGGATAATAGAAAGTGACGGGAGAGAATGGGTGATGAGAAAGGTACACAAAGTTTAAGGATAATTATACTAATATCAACCGTTACATTTGTTTACTTAAAGGAATTAATTCTGATTTTCTAATATATATATCTTTGCAACCCAATGTCGTAGACCTTAGATATTTTAAATTATGAATTCTGTTAGATAAAATAATCTAGTTTGAAAAATTGAAGGTTTACGCCATTAGGTTGCAAAAATATTGGTGTTCGAACAAATGACTTTGTGGCAAAGACTCAAGTCTTTTACTGTTTTCTTCTATGAAAAAGAAATAATTATTAAAAAGACTGAGATCAAATAAAATAATTAAAACTTCAGCATACTTTAACAAAAGTAACACTCTCCAATAAAGCTATAAACCTACCAATGTAAAGGTTGGATTGATCTTTCTTTCCAGGGATTTATTAACTCTGATAAAGCTATAAACCTACCAGTGTAAAGGTTGGATTGATCTCCCTATCCAGGGACTTATTAACACTAATAAAGCTGTAAACCTACCAGAGTAAAGGTTGTCTCCCTATCCAGGGACTTGTTAACTCTGATAAAGCTATAAACCTACCAGTGCAGAGTAAAGGTTGGATTGATCTTCCTATCCAGGGACTTGTTAGCTCTGATAAAGCTGTAAACCTACATGTGTAAAGGTTGGATTGATCTCTCTATCCAGGGACTTATTCACTCTGATAAAGCTGTAAACCAACCAGTGTAAAGGTTGGATTGATCTCCCTATCCAGGGACTTATTAACTCTTTTAAAGCTATAAACCTACCAGTGTAAAGGTTGGATTGATCTTTCTTTCCAGGGATTTATTCACTCTGATAAAGCTATAAACCTACCAGAGTAAAGGTTGGATTGATCTCCCTATCCAGGGACTTGTTAACTCTTTTAAAGCTATAAACCTACCAGTGTAAAGGTTGGATTGATCTTTCTTTCCAGGGATTTATTCACTCTGATAAAGCTATAAACCTACCAGAGTAAAGGTTGGATTGATCTCCCTATCCAGGGACTTATTAACTCTGATAAAGCTATAAACCTACCAGAGTAAAGGTTGGATTGATCTCCCTATCCAGGGACTTGTTAACTCTGATAACCCCGGATGACTCTTCTATACTGAAAAAACTCTCTGGATCTCCTGCAAGAATAAAAAAGAAATGTCATTACAGTTTTAACTAAGGGATAACTAGTAAATATCTTCCATCCATCCCATTTTCGATATGACACAAAAACATATATTGTAAGAAATCAGTGGAATTATATAATCCAAGAAAACAGATCCCTAAGATATCTCTCATAATAGTATTGATGTTTTACAGAGATAAACAAAGTATGGGTTTTTATTTTTTTAATATATATATTTATATATATATTAAATATTTCTAACCCGGATTTTTTCTCCAGCATATTTTATAGTTTGAGATAGTTTGAGAATTAGAAAATTACAGTTTGAGGCGAGTAGCGAGTAATCAGTTCCTTTATAAAACCAATAGTGCTTGAGTAGCTTACCAACCCCTTCTCCGGGTTGAAATAATCTGTTCAGCTCAGTTAATCTGCTAGGGCAGAATAACTGAGCAAACCCTTCTCAGGGTAGCTAAGACTGAACAGCTGGAAACAATATCTGGTAGGACTGAGTAGCTGACCAAACCCTTCTCCGGATAGAAATGAACCTGATAGGACTGAGTAGCTGACCAAACCCTTCTCCGGATAGAAATAAACCTGATAGGACTGAGTAGCTGACCAAACCCTTCTCCGGATAGAAATAAACCTGATAGGACGGAGTAGCTGACCAAACCCTTCTCCGGATAGAAATAAACCTGATAGGACGGAGTAGCTGACTAAACCCTTCTCAGGATAGAAGTAAACCTGATAGGACGGAGTAATTGACCAAAACATTCTCCGGGTAAAAACTATACGTGATAGGACGGAGTAGTTGACTGTCCCCCTCTCTCCGGGTTGAAACAATACCCAGGACAGAGTATCTGACCAAACCCTTCTTCGGGTAGAAACAACATCTAGTAGGAAGGAGTAACTAACCAAACCCTTCTTCGGATCGGAACAATACCTGATAGGACTGACCAAACCATGTATCTGGGTAAATACCTGATAAGACGGAGTAACTGACCAAACCCTTCTCTGGGTCTCTAGCTTGAACCCTGCTAACTGTTGTATATTTGCTGGCACCTTCGCTCACCTAGACAGTAGACAATACAATATTATTCTTATTATTTATAGAACTAAAAATATTTAAATATATATTATTCAAGACCAAACAATCTTTCAGAAGTACTGGCTATTGCTACTCATTATTTAGCTACTTTTAAAAAACTAAATAAGTTGAGTTTTTGCCACAAACTCTGATCTTTTAATCCCTCTATCTTTGCAACCCAATGTTGTAGACCTTAGATATTTTTGATTTTTTTAAAAATAATTTTCGCTGGCGATGGATTTTCGAACATTCCTGGAAAATATGAAAATGTCGTCTTTATTATCAAAAATCCTCGAAACAGGAATAAATGTTTTCAAAAGTAACTCTTAGATCATGAAAAATACAAAATATTATGAAATATCAATTATTTTCGAATGAGTCAAAAAATAACCGATGACTATTGTTTGAAATATTTGAATGATTTGTTTGGAATTAAATGGATTTGTTTACAATCCGAGTTGAATGTTGCATCTTTCTGAATTTGTATGGACACTTCATTCTTCGGTGTTAGTCGTTTTAAACACATTTTCTCCTTATAGACGCAACAGATAGAAATAAGATTAGTAGCGATCAAAAGCGCTTTTTATCGCATTAAGCCTATACCCCCTTCCATTTATCGCGAACACTCCCTTTAACTATACCATCAAATTCAAGTTGAATATGTATAAAAAAGATTAGAAAATTGAAGTTTTAGGCCAGTTATCAGCTCTTTTACATATACATATTTTTTTGTTGTGGTTGCAATGTTACCTGAGCATTATATATTAGTTTAGTGAATACTGGAGGGTTCAAGTTAGGACCTTGAGACACAAGAACGTCAATCACAGTTTCACTTACTGCATCAGCTTCATCTCTATATATTTAATGAATATATTTTTTTGTGCACAATTATCTTACGATCTAGTTAAACAACAACTATATAAGAAAAAATATAAAGATATACTTTTTTTTGGGGGGGGGGGGGTAGTACTAACTTACTAAGAAAACAATTTTTCAGATAAATCTGATGAAATCTAAGAATCTTGATTTTTACTATGCTTTGAACGGTATAATAGATAAGATATCAAGCAGACTGCAATATGTTATTTGTAGAGGTACTTCATGTGTAGAGTATCTGATTCACAACAACACCCTTTAATCTTTTTATTGATCAATGTTTTTTTTGGAATTGGCACTCTAAATACAAACTGAAGGTCACGAGAAACTACGACTAACGGTCCTTTAAAAAAAAGCTAGCAAGAAAAAATCGGAATAAAGTTACAAAAATTCTTACTTTACTGTTATCAGGATTGAATATTTATCTCCGGGTTTAACATCTCCGATAACCTCGAGGTCTCCTAGGATCAAAATTAATCAAGAGAGAGAAGTTATATTTTATTATTAAATAAATGGCACTTAATTTTTTATCTATATATGCAGGCTATACCTGTAACCGGGTTCACATAGAATATTCTCTTCCCGTTATTAGAAACTTCAGCTATCCTATATTTTAAACTGTCATCCTCGTCTAAAAAACGCAAAAATAATATTGCTTAAGGACGATTAGAGAAATACGTCAATATTTCTTTTTAAACCTAAAAATATGACAATATCTTTCACATTATTGATCAGATAAAGATTTCAAGGGTACTGTTTTGATTCGGGCGTTGCCATCTTTGCCTGGAGGGTCACTTGAAATTAGGTTTACATGTGTCTTTTTAAGATAAATAAGATACAAAAGATAATGTTGAAAAGAATTAAGAAAATATACAATAATTAAATAGTTGAATTGCATCTAACATGATGCAGAACAAAAAATATTAAAACTTGTTAAAGACTTTCTTCAGTAATTATAGCAATTTGGATCTAGTTGAAATAATTACAGTGAGTTCTGATAAGAACTCCAATTTTTAAAATTACGTATAAGATTATCCCTAAACCCTAATTGCTTGCCATTTTGAAAATACAAACTAGGTACCCTCATTTTTCGGAATATGGAACATAACAAAATAACAATTACTTAATTTATAATATTGGATATCAGTGCAATGTTCGAAAATTATTTTTTAAATCCATGAAAGGAATTGAGTATTTACCAAAAACTCTGATTTTCTAATCCCTGCATTGCAAACCCAATGTGGTAGACCTTAGATATGTCAAAATAAGAATTCTGTTAGAGCAAATAAACAAGGTTGAAATATCAAAGGTTTACTTCATCGGGTTGCAAAGAAATAGGGATTAAGAATTTTGAGTTTGTAGCAAAGATTCAATTCCTTTACAAGAAAACTTTTTTTTTAAGAGAGCAATCCCTTTATTGATTTTGGTTACCTAGATCAGAGAGCAATCCCTTTATAGATGTTGTTTACCTAGATCAGAGAGCAATCTCTTTATTGATTTTGTTTACCTAGATCAGAGAGCAGTCCCTTTATTGATTTTATTTACCTAGATCAAATCCCTTTATTGATTTTGTTTACCTAGATCATAGAGCAATCCCTTTATTTATTTTGTTTACCTGGATCAGAGATCAATCCCTTTATTGATTTTGGTTACCTAGATCAGAGAGCAATCCCTGTATAGATGTTGTTTACCTAGATCAGAGAACAATCCCTTTATTGATTTTATTTACCTAGATCAAATCCCTTTATTGATTTTGTTTACCTAGATCAAATCCCTTTATTGATTTTGTTTACTTAGATTAGAGAGCAATCCCTTTATTTATTTTGTTTACCTGGATCAGAGAGCAATCCCTTTATTTATTTTGTTTACCTAGATCAAATCCCTTTATTGATTTTGTATACTTAGATTAGAGTGCAATCCCTTTATTTATTTTGTTTACCTGGATCAGAGAGCAATCCCTTTATTGATTTTGTTTACCTAGATCATAGAGCAATCCCTTTATTTATTTTGTTTACCTGGATCAGAGATTGATTTATTGATTTTGGTTACCTAGATCAGAGAGCAATCCCTTTATTGATTTTGTTTACCTAGATCAGAGAGCGATCCCTTTATTGATTTTGGTTACCTAGATCAAATCCCTTTATTGATTTTGTTTACCTAGATTAGAGAGCAATCCCTTTATTGATTTTGTTTCTTTAGATTAGAGAGCAATCCCTTTATTGATTTTGTATACCTAAATCAGTAGCATTGAGATGAGTGATGATTCGTCTTGTGTTCCCTGGTTCTATTGTGAAGGGAGGGAAGGAGGGGAGGAGGGGAGGGTTATCATTCTCATCCCTAAAAATTTTTTTTTTTTTTCTATTTTTTCTTGCAAAAAATTTCAAAGACCATTTCAAAATACAGAAAAGTATATTTCTGATAAATATCAAAATAAATTTTTGTAAAAAGAATGAGAAAAAGGTAAAGAATTAGATTTAAAATTGTTAAATTATTTGCACCAGAATTTCCTTATAAATCCATTTAAGATGAAAACAAACTATATACATATATATATATAAATATACCTGAGGTTTATTTTGATGCTGACCGGCATAGAGGATTTACCATTTTCTATATTCTCCCTGGCAACAACCTACATTATTAAATTTTTTTTAATTTTTTTAAATTTTTTTTTTTGTAGGATGGAGATCGTTCTTTTGTTAAACTTTGCGACATTTTAAAGTCGAGGTTGTCAAAAGTTTGATTACTAACTTATAGAGTTGTCTATATTGTCTATAGAGTTGCCTATATTGTCTATAGATTTTTCTATATTGTCTATAGAGTTGTCTATATTGTCTATAGAGTTGTCTATATTGTCTATAGAGTTGTCTATATTGTCTATAGAGTTGTCAATATTGTCTATAGAGTTGTCTATATTGTCTATAGAGTTGTCAATATTGTCTATAGAGTTGTCTATATTGTCTATAGAGTTGCCTATATTATTATGGCCTTTTACTTTTAATTATTTGATCGACGCAACGTATAGAAATAAAAGAAATGTATTTAAGAGTGAACAAAGTATAAATAATGATTATAATTACTAGAAAACTAAATTGTTCAACATCCGCTTCTGTTATTACATTTTCACCGTCTCTACCTCCATAGATTATACGTCTTCCTGGGTATCTATCTATTTATCTATCTATCCATCTATCAATCTATCTATTTATATATATATCCATCTATCAATCTATCTATTTATCCATCTATCTATCTATCCGTCTATCTACCCTATGTGTATTCCTCAACCCTACTTTCTCCTTGATAAGCCAAGAATCTGCTCGAATATAATCAAGATTTTAACGTCGGGAGACAAAATTGCAAAAACCTTGAATGAAGGAGCTGAACCTTCTTGATATATTTTGTATGTACTGTACTGATGTTTCTGGGAGAAATATTACAAACTTAAGTTAAGTAGATTAAAGTGTGTTTATATTCATCAAAGAAGTACACAGCACTTGTTTAAAATACAGATATGGGGGTTCCTGGTATATTGATCTTACATCAGAATTCAGGGTATTTAAAAAGCTGACAAATCATAATAACTATTTCTAAGCTATCAACATTTTCACGGTGGGGGGGGGGTGTAATTTTGTTAACTTTTATTATATCGATTAACAAGATGAAACTTAACCCACAATTGATTATGACCCAAGGATCTAAATTGAGTGTGGACCCCCCCCCCCATATAAAGGATCATGCATGTATGGAGTGTGTAATGTATAATTACATGAAGAGTCCTGTCTACTTTATATCCTAAAGCTATTGATTTCTATTCAGTTTCAAGTTGTACACAGTTCTCATCTTATAGAGATATACATTATACATATACATTATACATATACAATATAGATATACATTATACATATACAATACAATATAGATAAACATTATACATATACAATACAGTTACAATACAATATAGATATACATTATACATGTACAATACAGTCACAATACAATAGAAATATACATTATACATATACAATTCAGTTACAATACAATATAAATATACATTATACATATACAATACAGTTACAGTACAATATAGATATACATTATACATATACAATACATTTACAATGCAATATAGATATACATCATACATATACAATACAGTTACAATGCAATATACAATTAAATGCTGTTGGTGTTATGTATAATTTATAAGTTTGTTGATTTGCAAAATAATTGCAATTTAAGTAAAAAACTTATTTTTAAACTTCTTTACTCATATAAACTTTTAAAAACTGATGAGTTCTTATAAAATCACAGAAAATTTTTTATTTATTTTTATTTAAAGATTTCATAACATGATTTGATGACATAAAAATTGATTTTTTAAATCACTGAACAAAATCAAACCAAGGCTGTTAAATTATTCAAAATATGTTTTCCCCTAGTATTCCTAACAAACTCGAAATTTCTAATCCTTATATCTTTGCAAACTGATGGTTTAAACCTTCGCTATTTTAAAGACGTACAGTACTGATAAATCTGGTAACTCAGAGGTGTCAAACAAGTTCTAAATTGCAGAGAAGGCCGGAGAGAACAAGATAATATGTAAAATAAAATGTAAAAAAACAGATGTACAGCACACTGTACAGTGTACATGTGAAGGACTGTTCGTACCTGAACTATAAGTAGTGGTTGATTTGGTGGGTCTCTATCAAGATTAGGACTGCTAACGATTAATTCGTTCTTCTCGTTTCGATTAAACAAATCGGAAGTGAACTCGAGAATATATTCCGGGGCATCACTAGCATTGGACTAAACACGATAAAAAAAATGATTTTAATGACAATTGAACTAGGTGGATATAAAAACAGTATTAAATAAAAACTCAAAATTCTACCTTTTTATAAGGGTTTAAAGGTTGTACAGATTTTTTCCGAAAAGATTAATTTCGTTCATTTATACTTCATATTTGTGTTGTTGGCCATATGTAATTAGACCGACAATTTTAGCTTTTGTCGTATTTTGCATTTTGGTAAATTGTTATTTTGTATTCGTTCTTTTTTAAATATAAATAAAATTTGATTCTGTTATCAGTTTTTTTAAAACAAATAAGTTTATAAAAAGAGGGAAAATATTAATATCATAGTCGGGGGTGATAACCTACCAAGTCTCTATCTGATACAGTAAAGATTATACTGTTTCCTGTGGAGTCAAGGATCAAGGTTCCTGAACCCGAGTTCTCCGTTACATAACCTTAATTTCTCACAATTAGGACCAAATAATTAAACACCATATTTCAAAGTGCAAAGCAAGAAAAATCCTTTATATTTTGATCGTATTATCGAAAGCATTGCAAACCTAATTGATTAGGGATTCAATGGATACAATGTTACATTGCAACCCTTAAATTAGAGATACAATGTTACATTGCAACCCTTAAATTAGAGATACAATGTTACATTGCAACCCTTAAATTAGAGATACAATGTTACATTGCAACCCTAAATTAGAGATACAATGTTACAATGCAACCCTAAAATTAGAGATACAATGCTTAAATTAGAGATACAGTGTTACATTGCAACCCTTAAATTAGAGATACAGTTTTACATTGCAACCCTTGAATTAGAGATACAGTGTTACATTGCAACCTCAAGACCTTGGATGCAATGTTACATTGCAACCCTAAGATCAGGGTTGCAATGCTAAATTGCAACCCAGAAACTAGGGGTGCAATATTACGTTTCAACCCGATACCAGGGTTGCAATTTTACATTGCATCTTTAGGTTTGCAATGTTACATTGCATTCCTGCTTTCAGGGTTGCAATTCAACTATCAATTATTCAACAGAGCAACAATTGTTCAAAAGATGTAAACAAATATTTTCTATTGCTGTGTACGTACAATGATCTGTTTTTTCAAGTTTTGATAAATATAAACATAATAAATATTCTACCTTGATTACTAGAAACAGTAAGCTGAGGTGGATAAGCATCTACAGCTCTCACTGTAATAATTAGTTGACTCTCTTCTCTTCGTCTATTCAGTGTATTTTCTTCAGCTTGGATTTTTAACTCAAAACTAAAAAATATTACACTAATTATAAAAAGGATAAATTTATTATTTTTTTCAAACAATCATTGATTGGTTTTACTTAAAATGTTTCTTTTTTCTCCCAAACTTTGGACTTGTATTAAAGCATTAATTTAAAAACAAAAGCTCACAAAATATATGGAAAAAACGTTATTTCTAAATTAGATTGTAGATTATTCTTTTTTTCAAAAATCTTTATTACAATCTTCCAATTTTCGCTTTTCCACTCAAATAAAAACGAAGAGATTATAAAGAAAAAAAATTATTATAAAAAATCAATATTTTTGATAAAAAATGTACCTTTCGATTTCTACTTGAGGTTCTATCACCTTGATTTGACGAACAACTCCTTAAACAGAAAATATATGTGCCTGTCTATAGCTCTAACACTATAAGATACATGAAAACACAAGTAAAACAAACTAAAGAACTTGTCTTTTTTCGCCGGAAACTTATGACAGTAAAGATCCATGAAACCCGTTGCCGAAAACCCGGTTTCGTGCATGGGAAAAGGAAATGAATTAAAAACATTATCATGATAAATCACTAATTGAGAATATCATTTAATATACCTAGCAATTTAAGTTTCTTAGATGTAAATCTGTAAAATTGTTACCAAAAACAAAAAATGATTTTGCAGACGTAATTTCAATTTACTCTTCAGAAACTTACACTCAAACATTTGTGTGTTCAAGGATAAATAATTTTATTTTCGGAAAATTGATTATTCAGGAACTTTAAAGATTTTCCTAATTACTCAGATGGCGTTTAAAGGGTTCCTTTGTGAATCGGGCAGGTACTTTTTCAAATAGTGGGTCATCTGAAATTACGGCTACAGTCCCTTTAAATTTGTATCAAATCAATAAAAAAGTAAGACAAACAACAAGTCTACGAACTCTACCTGTTTGTCGGTCAATGTTAAAATATTCTGAATATGACTCCGGAGTCCCCTCCAGGACGGAGTACAGGATTTCAGAGCGGAGAGAGTCTCCGTCCTCGGCCTGTATCTTCTCTGGACGAATATCTAACAATTAAATATGTTTTACTATCAATATTTACAGAATATTAAATCATTTGTAATTTTCAAACCGTGCTCAGTTGTTAAACAAACTTTGGCAAAAAAACTGCCTCTCTTTACCTACAGGGTTACCCACAAAATATAAGACGTTAAAGACGACTTGAAAATTATTAAATATGACGATTCCAAGGTTAAATTAAGTTTTTTTGCCATGAATATACACTTTGAATAGCTTATTTAATGATTTGGCAGAAGAAAAAAAAACAGTTTACAGTTGCAGAAACCCAAAAACATGGAATCAGGCAGTATATATTTCGTACAATCGTCTCTGAAGTCTCATTCTTTGTGGTTAATCCTACGAATTTTATGAATTTATATTTTCAACATGAGTCGTTCTTTTATCTAACGTCAATTTACTAATAGATGAGTAAACAGCTATATCATTCAAGTTAAAGAGAAATGTAGTTCAACTGAGACAAAGTAGTTTAACTACTTCTAGGTATTCATAAAACATGGTCCCTGGAGTATAAAATAAACTAACCTAAAGCTCCTGCTGCAGACCCTCTGGGTACACTAGCAGTATATACAAGGTGAGAAAACTTCGGACCTAAAATCATAATTAGGTTTTTAATCGCCAATACTTGGTTTTTTTTCATGCGTAATTTTTTATTCACGTCATTTTTGCATTTTACAAAAACTTTTGAATAAGTTGTTTTTAGACTATTCACCTAAATCATCGCTATCCATGACGTTGACCCTAATACTGGTTGTTGTAGCTCTATCCCCGCCTTGACCGGCCTGATCTCTGGCCTCCAGGGTCAAATAGTACCTACCGTCCAGGTCAATATTCATATTTTCAAAAATAGAAACTTAACTTGTGCTCAGAACGTTGGTCTTCAATCTCAAAAAGTCTTAATTACGATTGGAATGAAGGATTATCGAGAAACATAGCTGAACTAGGTATGGCTAGGCAAACTCCTCCTTTCAGACACAGGAAAGACGTAGTTCAACCATAAGTACCTAGTTCTACCACTTCTTTCTTTTTATTTGTTTGATTTAACGACTAATCTTGGTTCGAATTATTTAAAAGAAAATTCAGTTTTTGAATATTGACTCTAAGTTCCTGGAAACTGTCTCAAAGTCCAAAGGTTTGTTCAAAGTAACGATTCCCTAAAAAAATTGTTATTTTGTTTATTTCTTTTATTTTTTTAAATTTTTTTTTGTGAAAATCTTAATTTTACCTGATGTGGAAGATTAATTGAGAAAACTCCAAAACCGTCTGATTCTGAACCATCCCCTGGGAAATTTTAAAAATATTTTATCCTTCACAAATTTATTTTTTCCTTTTTTCCTTTTCTCGAAATTTTCTGCATCAATTATTTTTAAATCATGTAAAACTCTCAGGGTTTTACTGAATTGTGATTCAATAATGGATCTTAATGGTCCACTTAAAATTACTTTAAAATCCCTTTTCTTATGAGTTTACAGTACAGTAGTTTATGTTGCTTAGCTTACATGTTGTGTACCTGGTATAATAGTGCATGCACTAAACCATTAGTTTGCAGTACAGTAGTTTATGTTGTTTACATGTTGTGTACCTGGTATAAATGTGTACTTCACTAAATCATCAGTTTACAGTACAGTAGTTTATGTTGTTTACATGTTGTGTACCTGGTATAAGAGTGTACTGCACTAAAACATTAGTTTGAAGTACAGTAGTTTATGTTGTTTACATGTTGTGTACCTGGTATAAGAGTGTACTGCACTAAACCATTAGGGCCAGAATCCGGGTCTACAGCTTGAATACCCCTGGATAAAAATTATAAATTATATAAATTTAGACTTTGATACAGACGTTTTTAAGAAGCTTGATATTTGTTTGCAACATTACAAAAGTACAAAATTAAACAATTTCAAAGCAAAAAATTGTAACTTTTTTTTCTATTTTTAATCAGAAAATCCTTAAGGACACCTCAACAAAGGAAATGAGTCCTTACCAAAAATTAAATTTTCTGATCTGATATTATTATAAAAAATTGTTTTCAATTAAACAACTAGATTAACTAATTGTCTAAGAAAAAATAATGGAGTGAGTTATCCTAGATTTTCCATATGAAAAAACATAATCTTCAATAGCGGTTCTTTAAAACAGTTTCTGGCGGATTAACGCAGGAATGATAGGGAAAGAGATTACGTTGATTGTTTAAACTTGCAATAATTCTTTTTAAATCCCACTCGGTTTAACAGTTTAAAGATTGCTGACTGTAATTGGCTTTAAAATAACATCTTCATTTTAAGTATAGAAATGCAAATTCTGTAAACCGTTGAACATTTTATCTTATCTCATCAAGTGTTTATTCAGAAAAAGTTTTGATGAATTTTTGGCTGGGATATTTTTTACCTTTTTTTGCCCCATCAATGAATATCTACAGATTTTCAAACTCATTTAGATTTTTGCATTTTTGTTTAATAAATTAAGATGGGTATCAGTATTTACGTCTTAAAACACTAAGTTCTCTTTTTTTGAAAAATCTTTGTCAGAGTTTTTTAAAACAATTTTTGAAATATCGAAAAATGAACAACATGAACGGTATTCAGTGGTTCAAAACGCATCTTTTAAACCCTAAAACAGTATGTTCAAAAGAAAATCGTTCTTCCCTTATTTTTAATCCATTTTTTAAATCGTTAATTGCTAAATGAGTTTTGATTTTTTTAAATTCTTTTTAAAAATGTTGCTTCAAATTTGCCACTGTATAAATTTTTGCTAGTGCAAAAAGGATTTAACCATTTTTAAAAACGAAAAATTTTATAATTTATTTTTGTATCTACCTGTAGACAATTGAGTTGACCGGCGTGTTCTCTGGTATATCTATAGTATATGGAGTACCCTTAAACTCAGGTGAATTATCGTTTAAATCGTTGACCCGTACAATTACAGGGATAGTGCGCCGCTTTCCTGTACTTAAAACCGTGCAGGTCACCTGAATTATATACATTAAATTAATCAAAAAACATTTATCATTTCTTCTAATCTCTCTAAAATTTACATGGGGAGGGGGAATGCGCAAGCGCCAACTTTTTATGAAAAAATGGGAACACAAGCAGATAATTAGTTCAAGAATGACTTAAAATGAGGTATATATGTCTTTTTATGTTTTTGAATTTTATGTTTGAAATGGAAATTTAGTTTTTAACGATAAATAAGTCCAATTATATCTATTCAAACTTGTAAGTGAAAAATACATCTGCCTATCTATCTATCTAAACAATTGGCTAGTACCAAACCAATGCAGTGTATGTAAACCAGGACTTGTTGTTCATAGCACCAAGCCCTTTACTGCACCCTGACCAGGGGGGTTACTTACATTTAAATACTTGCATTTCATTGTAATCAGGCCTAAAAGCAAGATAGATAGATAGATAAATGGACAGACAGACAAACAGATAGATATATAGATAGACAGGCATAATATAGCTACGGACAATGACATGTTTATTGTTACTCTATGTTGTATTATTTATATATGTAAATGAAATACGTTAACACTATTTATCTAGAACAGGTAAGAACCTATTTGTTCTGAACGCCACGCCCTATATTAGTAAAAGAGGATTGAGACATAAGAAAGGGTGTGGTCTCCCCGCCCCTCCTTTACACTACTTCAATACTACTTCAACTCGGCTACTTTATATTCAAAACAAAAATCTATTTAGAATTCAGGCGAAGGTCCAACTTTGGTAAGGGGGGGGGGAAGGTTGATCTTATCAAGCATTAAAAAATTAAAACTTAATTTCTGAATGATATGTTTTAAGTTCCTCTCCCGTTTTAAACATTTCAGAACACATCGGTAGTTTTTTATCATCTTTTCAATAATGTTGATACAGATGAAATTAATTCTAGACAACTGTTTACAACAAGTAAAGTAACAGAGGTTTGAAATAAAAAAAAAAATATGATTAGGATTTTCTAATATTTTTCTCTCTTATTGGTATATCAAAAAGAAAACATCCAGCGCTATATATTTCGAACCCTGTACTAAAAATATTAATGAAAATTTTGATTATTCGAGAAGCCATTTTGAATTTCTTATCGTGGTTATTTGGGTTTGCAAGGTATATATTTACACAAAGAAATGAATGAGAAAGTTTTAAAAAGATTGTACCTGCAGAACTATTGACGAAAGATCTGTTGTGTCCCGATCAAGAACTTGGACTAAATTCAAGGATTTACCGCTCAGTTGAAAAAACCGGTTTCCTGGCGTAGAAACCAGTTCTAGCTGGATATTTGAACCAATTTGACCGTACAGTGGCAGTTCTCTCGGATTTGTTGCTTGGCTAAAATCTCTCCCGATAGATTCGAATATGTCCAGGACAATATTTGATCTACCCCTGTATTCATGGCACATGTTTTCAGTGCTTGTTTCACCTTCAAAATTCTGTGTTGTAGTTTCTCGAGTTGTAGAGGTTGCTGTAGAGGTTGATGTTGTTGATGATGATGCTTCAGACACGGAAAAGCTGGAGGGGCTAAACACAGGGATATTTTCATCAATTTTACTCATAAATATTTCATTGGTATTTGTGTCTGGAAATTCTTCATTTGCATTTTGATTGAAAGTGTCCAAATTATCCTGAGTGTTTTGAAGAACTTCAGTGATCACAAAACCATTATTTGGAGGTTCAGAATTCTCATCGTTGTCAAAAATCTTTGTGTTATCTAGGTTAGTCGTTGCTGAATCTTCTTTTGGAAAATCTTCATTTATAGAATTTTCCGCTTCATTTAATGAGTTAACTTTAATGTTTTGATCTGAAATAGTTTCCTGTCCATTTTGATCAAAAGGTTGTTCATTAACATTATCTGAATCTATTTGATTGTCATAATCTACAGAGGTTTGTTCTTCATTTGTGTACTCCTCAATCTCACTTTCTTGACCAAACAGATTTACACTTTCAGAATCAGCTTGACTTTCAGAATCAGCTTGACTTTCAAAGGCAGCTTGACTTTCAGAAGCAGCTTGATTTTCAGAATCACTTTCATTTGTAAGATCACCAGTTGCTTCTGTAGCAATATCTTGACTTATGTTATCTTTAGCAGTTTCTGGCTGGATAAAGTTAGCATTAGCATCAACTAGGTTGGGATCTAAGTTTACAAAACTATTAAAAAGATCAGCACTAGGAGTCTCAGGTCCAGGACTGTAATCAGTGTAATCAGTGTAGTAAATACTACCATTATCATACTCCGCCCCATCATCATAGTACTCCTGCTGTCCCTGGACTAGACCAGAGACAAGGAGAACAGGGAGAACCAATCCAAGCATCATTATACCATTCATTCCATCATCCTGAAATAAAAAAACTTATTTATTAAAGCGACTAAAAATGTAATTTAAAGTGATCCTCCATTCACATCAGTGCCCTGTGAACCTGCGTCTAATGAATGAGATATTCCTAGTTTTCTATCTCTACAATTGACTTATGGATTTATGAAGCAGAAAAAAGGAAGGAAATTTTTAGAACTCAACATTTTTAAAGATTGAAAAACGCTTGTATCTACCTTGCATTGCTGGTCAAATAAAGGTCTTCAAAGTAGCGTTGGGAATCAAACATGTCAATTTTTGAACAAAAGATAACTGTAAGCAACGTTTATCTTATACATTCCCTTTAAGAGTCTGGGTAGGACTCAGACATCTTATAGAACCTGCACATTTCAGTTCAAATAGTTTCAGCCTTTGACCAAAGTTTTAGATTGCAAAATTAAAGATGACTTTTTGCACTGAACGAAATCTGTAATACATTATCAGCCAAACTTGGTTTAACCAGCATGACGTAAATTTAAATAATAAAAGATTGAAAATTTGAAGGATTTGGTCCTCAGAGTATGGTTTAAAAGCTATATTGGGCCACAAGGTTATGTAAATTTTGATAGTGAGTGTTTATTTAGTGTACATATTTAATATTGCACAACATGTGCTCAACTTGAGATTTGACAGAAAGTGGGGAAACTACACAGTATGGATTCCATTAATAAAGGTCTTATTACCCTCCAACGTATTTGAATATGTTATTAGGTGACTTCTAAATCATCAAACAGCGAATCTAGATATAAAAACATATTTAAAGAGCAAAACGTGTTTTTTTTTGAGTGTTTAAGAATTAAATTTTACGAAAGAAATGCTCCCACTGGAAACCGAATTGAAAATAGGAAAGTTTCAGACCATTTTCACTGTGCATGTCTGATGCAATAAAAAAGACATTAAACTTTAATGTGAAATGGAATTTTAAAGTCAAGGCTATAAATGACCTTATCTCTAAACACAATTGGTCTCTCTCCCTCCAAGAATCTTAAAACAGTTTTTTTTTCAGTAGAAATAACCTTTGAACAAAGCAACATGGAAACTTTTTTTAATTGCTTTAACATTTATATTTTCATGATTTTTAATTTTTTGTTTATAGGGAGAACCGAAATATTTTAGTCTTATCCTAGTTGATAATGTCAGAGGGGTTCAGAGAGATTTATAAGTTGTGTCTGAGATTAAAATGCAAACCTTGATTTTGCATCACAACTCCACAATCGAACTAAGAAGAAACCTAAGAGGGGGGGGGAAGGGGGTTGACGTTATTTTTTTTCCTTAACAATTTCTTTTTTGTCATCAGGAGCTGCATTTGTCATGATAATTTGAACTGTCTTCCAATATCCCCCACACCACCCACCCCCCTCATCTAACCATGTATATTAAAAAATTGGTAAACCACCCTTGTTATCAAAAATAAGGTTCAAACCCGCGAACCAGAACTTTTAAGAAAAGCAAAATAAAAACTACTATTCTTATAATATAAGATCTATCTTTGCAATCAGGATTAACAAATTTTATTTTGAGAATAGTTTTTAGATTCTTCATAGCCAAGTTATTATCATTGAAAGTATTTGGCCGGAATTAGGATAATTTGTCAAATATCCTAGATTTTATCCCAAAAAATGTTCAGTGGCCGAATTTATTATTTAAAGAATTTGAGAGGCGGTTTAAATTTAATTTAGATTCTTCATAGCCAAGTTATTATCATTGAAAGTATTTGGCCGGAATTAGAATAATTTGTCAAATATCCTAGATTTTATCCCAAAAAATGTTCAGTGGCCAAATTTAAAGAATTTGAGCGGCGGTTTAAATTTAAGTCGCGGTTTAAATATGGATGGTTCCACTTGAAATTGTATCAAATGTTTCAAGATTTAAGCCGGCGCTTAATTCAAACTGGGTTTTGGCGGATTTGAACCGCGGCTTAAATTCTTTAAATTCCATCTCAGGTTACTAATTCTGTCTCCTTTGATAAGAATTAAAACTTAGTTTCAATATTTTGTGTGTTTCCCTTTAAAAGCCCCGAGGCAAGGAAACCTATATATTTTATGCTTTAATTCCTTTGTTCCGTCACAAAGCTACACTCTTCCTACTTCTTCCTGTCTTCTCTTCTCTGGCACTCTTGTTCCTGTTTTTCCTGTCTCTTCTTCTTTATTCTGCCTCTTCTTCCTGTTTCTCATTGTCGTCTATTCTCTAGCACGTCTTTTTCCTATTTCTTCTTTTCTCTTCTTCTCTATTTCTACGTCTTGTTCCTATTTCTTCCTGTCTTTTCTTCTCTATTTCTACGTCTTGTTCTTATTTCTTCCTGTCTTCTCATCTCTATGTCTACGTCTTATTCCTATTTTTTCTTTTCTCTTCTTCTCTATTCCTACGCTCCTATTTCTTCCTGTCTTTTCTTCTCTATTTCTACGTCTTTTTCCTATTTCTTCTTTTCTCTTCTTCTCTATTCCTACGTTCCTATTTCTTCCTGTCTTCTCTTCTCTATATTTCTACGTTTTATTCATATTTCTTCCTGTCTTTTCTTCTTTATTTCTACGTCTTGTTCCTATTTCTTTCTGTCTTTTCTTCTCTGTTTCTACGTTTTGTTCCTTATTATTTCTACGTCCTGAGTTTTAAAGTTTTTTACTTTCTAGAATTTTGTTATTCGTATATTTCAACCTCTGTTTGTAGTCTGTAAAACTTGTTTTATTGGATGAGAGAATGTAAAAGAAGGGTTTGTTAGAGGATGTGAATGGTGGGAAGGGGGGGGGGAGGGTTAAAATGGAAGGAAAAGGGTGATGTCGCGGAGATGATTTCAAGGACGGAAACCACAACAGAGGGATAGGGGGAGGGAGGTAAAGATAGGTAGATGGTGCGGGTGTGATAGAGGTGCGGTGGAATAAAACGTTAGTAAATACTATTCGTTTGTTTCCATGAGAACATTTCTAAATTACAAAACTTGTTTGAAACAATAGGGATGGATTTACTTTCTTTATCCTTCTTTTGAACTGAAATGACTCAGAAAATTATCAATAGCATCTTGATAATAAATGCACGGCAATCCTTACTTTACATTAAATGTAAATTGCATCCTTTTTGTTTATTTGAAAACAAATCAATACATCTCCAACCCCACACATCCTTATAATGATAATATTTTTATAAAAATATATATCCCGAACTGACAGTCTGTATTTTTTTTAAGTTTGGTAGAGATTGATTTATTCCTGTTTTAACTTTTTATTTAATAACAAAAATGGTATGAAGTCAAAATTAATCCCATTTTGATTAATGTCTCAGAAATATTTGGTTATTTTTCCTTTATACATATTTCTACTTCTTTGTAGTGAACAAAATCTGTTTTAATTCTTCAATCATTAAATGTGATGTATTCTATATATTCTGTGTATTCTATTTATTCTATGTATTCTATGTATTCTGTGTAATTATATTTATTCTGTGTATTTTATGTATTCTATGTATTCTATGAATTCTGTGTACTCCAAGTATTCTATGTATTCTATGTATTCTATTTATTCTATGTATTCTATGTATTCTATGTATTCTGTGTATTCGATGTATTTTATTCATTCTGTGTATTCTATGTATTCCATGTATTCTATGTATTCTATGTATTCTATGAATTCTATGTATTCTGTGTATTCTGTGTATTCAATGTATTCTATGTATTCTATGTATTCTATGTATTCTATGAATTCTATGTATTCTGTGTATTCTATGTATTCTATTTATTCTATATATGCTATGTATTCTATGTATTCTGTGTATTCGATATATTTTATGTATTCTGTGTATTCTATGTATTCCATGTATTCTATGTATTCTATGTATTCTATGTATTCTATGTATTCTGTGTATTCTGAATATTCAATGCATTCTATGTATTCTATGTATTCTATGTATTCTATGGTCTGGGTTGAGTATGAGTATGAGTATAAGTATGAGTATGAGTATGAGTATGAGTATGAGTATGAGTATGAGTATGAGTATGAGCATGAGTATGAGTATGAGCATGAGCATGAGTATGAGTTTGAGCATGAGCATGAGTATGAGTATGAGTATGAGTATGAGTATGAGTATAAGCATGAGTATGAGTATGAGTATGAGTATGAGTATGATTGTGAGTATGTATGGAGTTGGACTGGAATGTGAGGAGGATCTCAGAGCTGAAGTTTCCTTGCAAAACCCTCAACTTTCTACCCCAGGAATACTCAGCAATATAAACTCACAGGGGTCGACCGTAGAAATCAGTGTGTGTTTGTCACGTTTTATATATGTATATACACCTCACCTATAGGGTGACACACAAACGAATGAAATTTTAATGACGGCCTAGAACTCGTCTAACCCCATAATCTGAATACTTTATTCAGTCTTTGGTATTAAATATATACTTTATCCATAGAAGTTAAAAATTATTTACGTAATGTTTCTGTAATTATATAACCATCGCTTCATTAAACAAACAGATCTAAAAAACAAGAATTTAAACTGAATTTACAAAACATTAAATCTGGAAAAATCAGAGTAAAATGAGGTCAGAAAATCGAATTCTAAAAAATTTCCTTTAAACTGCTGAAATCAGATTGATCCAACTGTAAAAACCAAACCTGATGTAAAATAAAGTAATGAGTTGTAAACACTTTCTTCAGTTCCGCTGTCTCACATTCACCGTTGAAGTCACTCTAGTTAATTACGTTTTCTGCGGAAAAGAAACCCGGGAAATCACAATCATGCTTTCACCTCATTCATTTCTACTTTTCTTCACTTTTCCCGATAAAAGTGGGTATTTTATTTAAAACTGATGTTTAGTAAAGGTTTATATTTTCATATTTTCATGATGATCATTGCTCCTCTTTAGTAGGATCTAGAGTTTCACCTGTACTCCTGTGTCTTGAAGAATAAGAACTAAAGCCGGGTTTGGGCTTGTATAGCGGGGCCCTAGTATACACCGTAGACTCTAGTCCCCGGTACCTATGGGGAAATACAGGGATGGATATTCAAGTTTAAAACAAAATTTAAAAAAATAAACCATCTAAGTTTATTTTCGATTTAAACATTTTTGACATTAATTTTTTATTTTTAAGGAAATTGTTAATATTGAACACTGATCTCGTATCCTTTAAGCTTGTGTATGCTGTCCTGACTTCAGATCTATGTTTGCGTGCATCTATCTAACTATCTATTTATCTAGCTAACTATATATTCATCTTTCTAACTATATGTGAATCAATTTATTTATCCATGGATCTATCTATGCAGTTTTATCTACCTAGCTAACTTTCTATATCTCGATGTATCTATCTAACTATCTATACATCAATTTATTTATTAGTATACGTATATTTATGTAAATATGTATCTATGTACCTAATTGTTTATCTATCTATTGTCTATTTGTCCATCTATGTACCAATTTATCTATAAAACTTTCGATTTTATCAAACAAATTATCTAATTGTCTTAGTATCTATTTATCTATTCATGTTCTATCTAAATATCTTAATCTATTTGTCTATCTATGAATCAAATAATCTACGAACTGTTGATTTATCTATTCATCTATTCATGTTCTATCTAACTATCTACTTATCTATTTGTCTATCTATGAATCAAATAATCTATGAACTGTTGATTTATCTATTCATCTATTCATGTTCTATCTAACTATCTACTTATCTATTTGTCTATCTATGAATCAAATAATCTATAAACTGTTGATTTATCTATTCATCTATTCATCTAGAAGAATCTAACCAATCTATAAATCTAAATAACTAAATAGTAAATGACT